TTTATGCATGTAGTAATGGATAACTGCATTATCTGATTTCAAAGACACCATATGTATTGGCTTCATATATTTCATTTGTGCATTTAGTATGTTTATGTTTAGCACTATCTTACATATAATCTTATATCTAACCAGCTGTTGTAAAGGTATTACCTGGAGAGGTATTTACATAAGCAAGTTTTGCTTGTTTACCGATCCAGATTTGTTCTGAAATAAAAATATGTTTAAACCAAGTATGTGCCAACATTAAATAAGCTTGCAGGCAGCATTGTATGTTATATAAGATAACATGCAGATAAGACATCCGAACTCTGGAGTTCACAGCATGCCAAAGAGTGTAAACATATATGTGAAATCTCAACCGCCACTCTTTCCCAGTGTCGTCAAGCATGCAGGGGAAATATATCCGAAGCACAAATAGGATGTTTATCGCGGTCCATTAGTCAATTCTCACCGGGGCATAGTCCCAAGTTATTCATGAGGTGTCTCTGTGGAGACGTTCACACCCCATAAACCGCCCCATTACAACGGTCGACATATGCTGCTTTCACAATCCCGCAATGCCATATGTACGCTGTGCCTGCTGTGCAATATGTCAGCGTCATCGCGTTAAGTGTTATAGCTCATCGTGATTAGATACTTCAAAAGGATTTACCCGCTATCGATGTTTTCACACTGAAATGACAAATACATGAAGAATTGTTGATACTTGAAAAACAGCAACATCCGTCTCTGTATGCCATTGAATCAAATCATTACAAAGACGACGAAATGGCAAATAATTCTTGGACAGCCATCGACAACTTTGTCAATTTAATTAATTGAAATCCAACCCTAAGCACTTTTAAGATCTGCAAGATTACGTCTATTCTAGTGATATCTTAATGTCTATATATCTTTAACAAATTTTGTCTTTATTTGAGAATCGACAAGTTTACAGCATTAAGGGCTGCCCAAATGTGGGTTAAAATATAACACTGCGCTGCACTGCACAGCGCTGTCGCAGCGTTCGTTCCGTGTGGTGCGTCCTTTACACTGTTTCGCGTGATAGTGGGTATAACGATGTATATTGTTTTGCACTGCAACCTATAGTTCTGAACCTGCCCTACCTTGTCCTATTGTAATACATTTTGCTCACGGTATTTTTACCTATATAACAGCTTCGTACGTGATTTGTATCCAAGTTGCTACAACTAGTGTTTGGCTAGATGCCAAATTTGACGCGTGCTTTTTCTTCATTACGACCAGGGTCTGTTCAGATCTACAACAAATCTGTGTGTTATTACTGACATAGTTTCCTTGGAGAAACGAGCTGAGGTTTAAGTGTGCACATTACTAAATGTCACCTTTTGAATTTTCTCACTCAAACTGATCAGAGGCGTATACATATAAAACAAGTGTGAGCAGACTAGATTCCTGTATGAAGATGTTCGCACGAAGTGTCACACATGTTGTTTCGAACATGTGCCTGAACTGATTACTTTATGTACGGAATAGTTTCAACTCCCTGGAAGGGTTCCGTCGTCCTCACTGTGTGTGTGTGGCTGCAGGGAGTTTGGTTCACCCCGCAAACACACCCTGTCCCAGATAGCTGCTCTGTCACGTTACAGAATGTTGTTTTTCTACATAGTTTATTAAACGATTCATAAGATGTAGGCAGACAATGCGCTTCAGCTAAATTTTACGCTGAACAATTCCCTTCGTATCTGACTACACTGCATCTATTATTGAATCTGTCGATCACAGGAGCAGTGGGTCTCCTTCAACACTGAGACGTTAAACCTGCTGCTGCAGTAACAAACCGTTATTACCTTACAACTGTGGGCTATCAGATCCATATCAACCTTTGTTCTATATTGGACCGCTTAGCGTGTTTCGTACTGAATAGAGGGGAACTTTAAGCTCGACCCTGTAGCTGACTTGAGCAACTGATCCGATATGCTATTGTTAGCTGATTGGAACAGACTACAGGTAGAACATTGCCAGCTTGGCTCAGATCGATGTTCTCGTGTGGAATTAGGCTACGCTCGAGTGGAGTGAGTTCGTGAGGCAGCGGAGTGAGACTGGGTTGAGCGGGATTACTGGTCCACCCGTCGCCACGGACACTGTCAAACAGTCGCATCAGATCTCCAGACCCTACCCATACCTAAACAGGTGTACTTCTGTTGTAGTACTGGGGCCAGGTGAGTTGTGATTGTTTACCCTGTTTACGAAACACTTTTGTTTGTGTATTTTCTTCTGTATTCCTAGTTGTTGTCGACGACAGCAGAAAATACTTCATTAGATGTTAAGAAATTAATTGAATCGAAAAGCTACAATACCATCTTACCACTGATGCATTAGTTTCCAGCGGGAGGTAGCCAAACCCTGCTACCTGCCTTCTCATTAATAACACGCTACGTCGATCTCTTATCTGACAGTAACGTCGATACACAAACTTGGTCGAGCCATAGGCTTAGTATCAACAGTCAATATGTATTCTTTCATTTTATTAGTTGATTTTAATGAGTTAATAATATTCTTTCATCTAACTTCGTCTAACGGAAATATATGTCGATATTGTCCACTTTTTCGCCGCGAGTCTTTTGAGATGCCCCCTTCGATATTGTTTCCTGATATATGTGTAAATATATGCCAGTTTGTCTAATTGTGCGTGTGTGATGAGTCACATGTGCCACTTGCGGGTTATGCGGCATTTTACGAGCTGAATGGTAAGGGGTACACATACAAGAACGCTTAGCTCCTAAAACCCCTTACACCTCTCTAGCTAATGTTTGTTTGTTGTTTAACGCCGCACTCAGCAATATTCCAGCTATGTGACGGCCGACTGTAAATAATCGAGTCTGGACCATACAATCCAGTGATTGACATCATGATCATGCACACAGTTGGGTTACGATGACATGCATCAACCAAGTCAGCGAGCCTGACCACCCGATCCAGTTGGTCTCCTCTTACAAGCATAGTCGCCTTTTACGGCAAGCATGGGTTGCTGAAGACCTATTCCACCCCGGATCTTCACAGTTCACAGAGTTATAAAAACGCAGAATCGTGATGTAATAAAGATGTTATAAACATATATATAGGTAATCGGGTGTATGACAAACAGGTAATAAGGGTGTGTGACAGACGGGTAATCAGGGTGTATGACAGATAGGTAATCAGGGTGTATGACAGACAGGTAATCAGGGTGTCTTACAGACAGGTAATCAGGGTAGTATGACGGACATGTACTGAGGTGTATGACAGAAAGGTAATCAAGGTGTATAACAGACAGGTAAACAGAGTGTGTGACAGACAGGTAATCAGAGTGTGTGAAAGATAGGTAATCAGGGTGTATGGCAGACAGGTAATCGGGTGTATGGCAGACGTGTCATCAAGGTGTAAATTCCACGTGGGCAGGTAATCAGGGTGTATGACAGACAGGTAATCGGGTTTATGGCAGACGTGTCATCAAGGTGTAAATTCCACGTGGGCAGGTAATCAGGGTGTATGGCAGACAGGTAATCGGGTGTATGGCAGACGTGTCATCAAGGTGTAAATTCCACGTGGGCAGGTAATCAGGGTGCATGACAGACAGGTAATCAGGGTGTAGGACAGATAGGTAATCAGTGTGTATGACAGACAGGTAATTAGGGTGTGTAACAGACAGGTAATCAAGGTGTATGACAGACGGAAAAACAGAGTATGTGACAGACAGGTAATCAGGGTGTGTGACAGACGGGTAATCAGAGTGTATGACGGGCAGGTAATCAGGGTGTATGACAGGTAGGTTATCAGGGTGTGTGACAGACAGGTAATCAGTGTGTATGGCAGACAGGTAATCAGGGCGTGTGACAGACGGGTAATCAGGGTGTGTGACAGACGGGTAATCAGGGTGTAGGACAGATAGGTAATCAGTGTGTATGACAGACAGGTAATCAGGGTGTAGGACAGATAGGTAATCAGTGTGTATGACAGACAGGTAATTAGGGTGTGTAACAGACAGGTAATCAAGGTGTATGACAGACAGGTAAACAGAGTATGTGACAGACAGGTAATCAGGGTGTGTGGCAGACGGGTAATCAGAGTGTATGACGGGCAGGTAATCAGAGTGTGTGTGACAGACGGGTAATCAGGGTGTGTGACAGACAGATAACCAGGGTGTATAGGTAGGTTATCAGGGTGTGTGACAGACAGGTAATCAGGGTGTGTGACAGACAGGTAATCAGGGTGTGTGACAGACGGGTAATCAGGGTGTATTACGGACAGGTAATCAGGGTGTTTGACAGACAGGTAATCAGGGTGTGTGACAGACAGGTAATCAGGGTGTGTGACAGACAGGTAATCAGGGTGTTTGACAGACAGGTAATCAGGGTGTGTGACAGACAGGTAATCAGGGTGTGTGACAGACAGGTAATCAGGGTGTGTGACAGACAGGTAATCAGGGTGTATGACAGACAGGTAATCAGGGTGTATGGCAGACAGGTAATCAAGGTGTATAACAGATAGGTAAACAGAGTGTGTGACAGACAGGTAATCAGGGTGTGTGAATGATAGGTTATCAGGATGTATGGCAGACAGGTAATCGGGTGTATGGCAGACAGGTAATCAGGGTGTATAACAGATAGGTAAACAGAGTTTTTGACAGACAGGTAAACAGAGTGTGTGACAGACAGGTAATCCGGGTGGTTGACGGACAGGTAATCAGGGTGTATGGCAGACGTGTCATCAAGGTGTAAATTCCACGTGGGCAGGTAATCAGTGTGTATGACAGACAGGTAATCAGGGTGTAGGACAGATAGGGAATCAGTGTTTATGACAGATAGGTAATCAGGGTGTATGACAGACAGGTAATCAGTGTTTATGACAGATAGGTAATCAGTGTGTATGACAGACAGGTAATCAGGGTGTATGGCGGTGGTAGTCGGAATATATATTAGGAAGATAGGTGATGTGTACTTGTATATACTTTATTATGCACTAAGCGTCTTTTGACATCCGGACTGGTCTTGCTACAGACTGACGTCATGGACATCAACCCCGCTGACTTGAGGCAGCACTGCCAGAAGGAAATTGCCAACCCCACAGGTTCTGCCGTGGATAAATTCAGAAGCAAGATCTTTTTGAGAAAAGGAACAGCAGGGATTAAGAGTATAGGCAGGTATGTACATGCCTACCACAGACCACACAGGTACGACTGGGGAGGTATGTATGTACCTACCACTGACCACACAGCTACGACTGGGCAGGTATGTATGTACCTACCACTGACCACACAGCTATGACTGGGGAGGTATGTATGTACCTACCACTGACCACACAGCTATGACTGGGGAGGTATGTATGTTCCTTCTCAATGACATAGAACTGAGTGAAGTGAACACTGAACTGTGGCCGTAACTGCCTTGTAATGCTGCATAGGCAAGGCAGTAGACTAAATTATTCTAAAATATTTTGCTTTTGTAAACAAACATTAATACACTGCAGATACTTGATTGTGTACACATCTTTCATTCTTCATGTTGACAACTAGCATCCTCTCCTGTTTCAGGATGTTTAAGATTTTCGATGATGACGGCAACCGGAATCTGAGCCGGGAGGAGTTCAAGAAGGGGGCAACAGAACGCGGCATCAAACTTGAGGAAAAGGAAATGGAGGAACTCTTTGCCGAAATTGACAAGGATTCCACAGGATTTATCGAATATGAGGAATTTTTGAAAGCACTTCGGGTATGTGAGAACTCTTGTTGTGCTGTTCAAACAGACCCCACAAAGCATGTCCTCTTGTAGTCCACAGAATAGCTTGTGTCGTTGCATCAGTTCAATTTCACATTGGATGTAGGTTCAAACACTGACTCCGTCTGTCTCTAGGGCCCGATGTCTGAAAGCCGGATGGACCTTGTGAAGAAGGCCTTCAAAAAGCTGGACGAGACCGGTGACGGCATTGTGACGGACCAGGATCTGGTAAAGAAGTACGACATCAAGCACCATCCCAAGTACAAGAGTGGGGAGTGGACTGCTACACAGTGCAGACGCTCATTCTTAGACACTTTCGACATTCAGGATAACCCAGATGGAAAAGTATGTGACATCCACTTAGTTTTGTAGTAAATGGTAAATCATGAATGTAAGTTCCAACTCTCTTCTATCCCACCCAACCCCAACCAACAGATTCTATCACTTCCTTTGCCCCATTCTTGAAACTCACAGGATTCACAAGAATCAACAGGAACAAGAACAGGAAGAAATATGCATGTTGATAGCTGAAGAAAAGTTACTTCTTTTTGTCGCAGCAAAAAAAAATATCCCAAATCAGTCAAGTGTCCCTCAAAATCTCAAGTGGATCTTTTTTTTTAAATATAGGTAACTATAGAGGAATTCATAAACTACTACAGCGGAGTGAGCATCAGCATCGACAAAGATGCCTACTTTGACCTTATGATGAGGAATGCCTGGAATCTCTAGCAACCTTGACAGGTGAGATACGGGTGAGATCATTGTTGAGTGGGGAGTGCTTTATTTAGACATGGAGTATAGCAGTGTGATCTCCAGCAACCCCAGGACAGGTGAGATACGGGTGGGATCATTGTTGAGTGGGGAGTGCTTCATTTAGACATGGAGTATAGCAGTGTGATCTCTAGCAACCCCAGGACAGGTGAGATAAGGGTGGGATCATTGTTTAGTGGGGAGTGCTTCATTTAGACATGGAGTATAGTAGTGTGATCTCTAGCAACCCCAAGACAGGGGAGATACGGGTGGGATCATTGTTGAGTGGGGAGTGCTTCATTTAGACATGGAGTATAGTAGTGTGATCTCTAGCAACCCCAAGACAGGGGAGATACGGGTGGGATCATTGTTGAGTGGGGAGTGCTTCATTTAGACATGGAGTATAGTAGTGGGATCTCTAGCAACCCCAGGACAGGTGAGATACGGGTGAGATCATTGTTGAGTGGGGAGTGCTTCATTTAGACATGGAGTATAGTAGTGTGATCTCTAGCAACCCCAAGACAGGGGAGATACGGGTGAGATCATTGTTGAGTGGGGAGTGCTTTATTTAGACATGGAGTATAGCAGTGTGATCTCCAGCAACCCCAGGACAGGTGAGATACGGGTGGGATCATTGTTGAGTGGGGAGTGCTTCATTTAGACATGGAGTATAGCAGTGTGATCTCTAGCAACCCCAGGACAGGTGAGATAAGGGTGGGATCATTGTTTAGTGGGGAGTGCTTCATTTAGACATGGAGTATAGTAGTGTGATCTCTAGCAACCCCAAGACAGGGGAGATACGGGTGGGATCATTGTTGAGTGGGGAGTGCTTCATTTAGACATGGAGTATAGTAGTGTGATCTCTAGCAACCCCAAGACAGGTGAGATACGGGTGGGATCATTGTTGAGTGGGGAGTGCTTCATTTAGACATGGAGTATAGTAGTGGGATCTCTAGCAACCCCAGGACAGGTGAGATACGGGTGAGATCATTGTTGAGTGGGGAGTGCTTCATTTAGACATGGAGTATAGTAGTGTGATCTCTAGCAACCCCAAGACAGGGGAGATACGGGTGGGATCATTGTTGAGTGGGGAGTGCTTCATTTAGACATGGAGTATAGTAGTGTGATCTCTAGCAACCTTGACAGGTGAGATACGGGTGGGATCATTGTTGAGTGGGGAGTGCTTCATTTAGACATGGAGTATAGCAGTGTGATCTCTAGCAATCTGGACAGGTGAGATACGGGTGGGATCATTGTTGAGTCGAGCATGCTTTATTTAGACATGGAGTATAGTAGTGTGATATGGAACATGGTGTATAGTAGTGTGATATGGAGTATAGTAGTGTGACATGGAGTGTAGTAGTGTGATATGGAATGTAGAGTATAGTAGTGTGACATGGAGTATAGTAGTGTGACATGGAGTATAGTAGTGTGATATGGAACGTAGAGTATAGTAGTGTGATATGGAACGTAGAGTATAGTAGTGAGACATGGAGTATAGTAGTGTGATATAGAACGTAGAGTATAGTAGTGTGATATTGAACGTAGAGTATAGTAGTGTGACATTGAGTATAGTCCTGTGACTTTGAACACAGAGTATAGTCGTGTGACATGGAATATAGAGTATAGGAGTATGATATGGAACATGGAGTATAGTAGTGTGACATGGAACATAGAGTATAGCAGTGTGACATGGAGTATAGAGTAGATATGGAACATAGAGTATAGTAGTGTGACATGGAGTATAGTAGTGTGACATGGAACATGGAGTATAGTAGTGTGACATGGAGTATAGTAGTGTGACATGGACTATAGTAGTGTGACATGGAGTATAGTAGTGTGACGTGGAACATAGATTATAGTAGTGTGACATGGAACATAGAGTATAGTAGTGTGACATGGAGTATAGAGTAGATATGGAACATAGAGTATAGTAGTGTGACATGGAGTATAGTAGTGTGACATGGAACATGGAGTATAGTAGTGTGACATGGAGTATAGTAGTGTGACATGGACTATAGTAGTGTGACATGGAGTATAGTAGTGTGACAAGGACTATAGTAGTGTGACATGGAGTATAGTAGTGTGACATGATATATAGTAGTGTGACATGCAGTATAGTAGTGTGACATGGAACATAGAGTATAGTAGTGTGACATGGAACATAGAGTATAGTAGAGTGACGTGGAACATGGAGTATAGTAGTGTGACATGGAGTATAGAGTAGATATGGAACATAGAGTATAGTAGTGTGACATGGAGTATAGAAGTGTGACATGGAACATAGAGTATAGTAGTGTGACATGGAGTATAGAAGTGTGACATGGACTATAGTAGTGTGAAATGGAGTATAGTAGTGTGACATGGAGTATAGTAGTGTGACATGGAGTATAGAGTAGATATGGAACATAGAGTATAGTAGTGTGATATTGAACATAGAGTATAGTAGTGTGATGTGGAGTATAGTAGTGTGACATGGAGTATAGTAGTGTGACATGGAGTATAGAGTAGATATGGAACATAGAGTATAGAAGTGTGACATGGAGTATAGTAGTGTGACATGGAGTATAGTAGAGTGACATGGAGTATAGTAGTGTGACATGGAGTATAGTAGTGTGACATGGAGTATAGAGTAGATATGGAACATAGAGTATAGTAGTGTGACATGGAGTATAGTAGTGTGACATGGAGTATAGTAGTGTGACATGGAGTATAGTAGAGTGACATGGAGTATAGTAGTGTGACATGGAGTATAGTAGTGTGACATGGAGTATAGTAGTGTGACATGGAGTATAGAGTAGATATGGAACATGGAGTATAGAAGTGCGACATGGAATAAGTAGTGTGACATGGAGTATAGTAGTGTGACATGGAGTATAGTAGTGTGACATGGAGTATAGTAGTGTGACATGGAACATAGAGAATAGTAGTGTGACATGGAACAGAGTTTAGTAGTGTGACATGGAGTATAGTAGAGTGACGTCGAACATAGAGTATAGTAGTGTGACATGGAGTATAGTAGATTGACGTGAAACATTGAGTATAGTAGTGTGACATGGAACATAGAGTATAGTAGTGTGACATGGAGTATAGAGTAGATATGGAACATAGAGTATAGTAGTGTGACATGGAGTATAGTAGTGTGACATGGAACATGGAGTATAGTAGTGTGACATGGAGTATAGTAGTGTGACATGGACTATAGTAGTGTGACATGGAGTATAGTAGTGTGACAAGGGCTATAGTAGTGTGACATGGAGTATAGTAGTGTGACATGATATATAGTAGTGTGACATGCAGTACAGTAGTGTGACATGGAACATAGAGTATAGTAGTGTGACATGGAACATAGGGTATAGTAGAGTGACGTGGAACATGGAGTATAGTAGTGTGACATGGAGTATAGAATAGATATGGAACATAGAGTATAGTAGTGTGACATGGAGTATAGTAGTGTGACATGGAACATAGAGTATAGTAGTGTGACATGGAGTATAGTAGTGTGACATGGACTTTAGTAGTGTGACATGGAGTATAGTAGTGTGACATGGAGTATAGTAGTGTGACATGGAGTATAGAGTAGATATGGAACATAGAGTATAGTAGTGTGATATGGAACATAGAGTATAGAAGTGTGACATGGAGTCTAGTAGTGTAACATGGAGTATAGTAGAGTGACATGGAGTATAGTAGTGTGACATGGAGTATAGTAGTGTGACATGGACTATAGTAGTGTGACATGGAGTATAGTAGTGTGACATGGAGTATAGTAGTGTGACATGGAGTATAGTAGAGCGACATGGAACATAGAGTATAGTAGTGTGACATGGAACATAGAGTATAGTAGTGTGACATGGAACATAGAGTATAGTAGTGTGATATGGAGTATAGTAGAGCGACATGGAACATAGAGTATACATGTAGTAGTGTGACATGGAACATAGAGTATAGTAGTGTGACATGGAGTATAGTAGAGCGACATGGAACATAGAGTATAGTAGTGTGACATGGAACATAGAGTATAGTAGTGTAACATGGAATATAGAGTATAGGAGTATGATATGGAACATGGAGTATAGTGAGTGACATGGAGTATAGTAGTGTGACATGGAACATAGAGTATAGGAGTATGATATGGAACATGGAGTATAGTGAGTGACATGGAGTATAGTAGAGCGACATGGAACATAGAGTATAGGAGTATGATATGGAACATGGAGTATAGTGAGTGACATGGAGTATAGTAGTGTGACATGGAACATAGAGTATAGTAGTGTGACATGGTGTATAGTAGAGCGACATGGAACATAGAGTATAGTAGTGTGACATGGAACATAGAGTATAGTAGTGTGACATGGAGTATAGTAGAGCGACATGTAACATAGAGTATATAAGTGTGACATGGAACATAGAGTATAGTAGGTAGACATGGAACATAGAGTATAGTAGTGTGACATGGAACATAGAGTATAGTAGGTAGACATGGAACATAGAGTATAGTAGTGTGACATGCAGTGTAGTAGAGCGACATGGAACATAGAGTATATAAGTGTGACATGGAACATAGAGTATAGTAGTGTGACATGGAGTATAGTAGAGCGACATGGAACATAGAGTATAGTAGTGTGACATGGAACATAGAGTATAGTGGTGTGACATGGAACATAGTGTATAGTAGTGTGACATGGAACATAGAGTATAGTAGTGTGACATGGAACATAGAGTATAGTAGTGTGACATGGAACATAGTGTATAGTAGTGTGACATGGAACATAGAGTATAGTAGTGTGACATGGAACATAGTGTATAGTAGTGTGACATGGAACATAGAGTATAGTAGTGTGACATGGAACATAGAGTATAGTAGTGTGACATGGAACATAGAGTATAGTAGAGCGACATGGAACATAGAGTATAGTAGTGTGACATGGAACATAGTGTATAGTAGTGTGACATTGAACATAGTGTATAGTAGTGGGACATGGAACATAGAGTATAGTAGTGTGACATGGAACATAGAGTATAGTAGTGTGACATGGAACATAGTGTATAGTAGTGTGACATGGAACATAGAGTATAGTAGTGTGATATTGAACATAGAGTATAGTAGTGTGATATGGAACATAAAGTATAGTAGTATGATATGGAACAGAGAGTATAGTAGTGTGACATGGAACATAGAGTATAGTAGTGTGACATGGAACATAGAGTATAGTAGTGTGACATGGAACATAGAGTATAGTAGTGTGACATGGAACATATTGTATAGTAGTGTGACATGGAACATAGAGTATAGTAGTGTGACATGGAACATAGAGTATAGTAGTGTGACATGGAACATAGAGTATAGTAGTGTGACATGGAACATAGAGTATAGTAGTGTGACATGGAACATAGTGTATAGTAGTGTTACATGGAACATAGAGTATAGTAGTGTGATATTGAACATAGAGTATAGTGGTGTGATATGGAACATAGAGTATAGTAGAGCGACATGGAACATAGAGTATAGTAGTGTGATATTGAACAGAGTATAGTAGTGTGATATGGAACATAGAGTATAGTAGTATGATATGGAGCATAGAGTATGGTAGTGTGACATGGAGTATAGTAGTGTGACATGGAGTATAGAGTACAGTAGTGTGACATGGAACACAGAGTATAGTAGTGTGACATGAAACATGGAGTACAGTATTGTGACATGGAGTATAGTAGTGTGACATGGAACATAGAGTATAGTAGAGTGATATGGAACTTAGAGTATAGTAGTGTGACATGGAACATAGAGTATAGTAGTGTGACATGGAACATAGAGTATAGTAGTGTGACATGGAGTATAGTAGAGCGACATGGAACATAGAGTATTGTAGTGTGACATGGAACATAGAGTATAGTAGTGTGACATGCAGTATAGTAGAGCGACATGGAACATAGAGTGTAGTAGTGTGACATGGAGTATAGTAGAGCGACATGGAACATAGAGTATATAAGTGTGACATGGAACATAGAGTATAGTAGTGTGACATGGAACATAGAGTATAGTAGTGTGACATGGAACATAGTGTATAGTAGTGTGACATGGAACATAGAGTATAGTAGTGTGACATGGAACATAGAGTATAGTAGTGTGACATGGAACATAGTGTATAGTAGTGTGACATGGAACATAGAGTATAGTAGTGTGACATGGAACATAGAATATAGTAGTGTGACATCGAACATAGTGTATAGTAGTGTGATATGGAACATAGAATATAGTAGTGTGATATTGAACATAGAGTATAGTAGTGTGATATGGAACATAGAGTATAGTAGTGTGACATGGAGTATAGTAGTGTGACATGGAACATAGCGTACAGTAGTGTGACATGAAACATGGAGTATAGTAGTGTGACATGAAACATGGAGTATAGTAGTGTGATATGGAGTACAGTAGTGTGACATGAAACATGGAGTATAGTAGTGTGACATGAAACATGGAGTATAGTAGTGTGACATGAAACATGGAGTATAGTAGTGTGATATGGAACATAGAGTATAGTATCACGGAACTATTTTCATGGTATTTTAGTGATTTTTGATACATCTTTTCATTTGAATTTATGCTTTCTTCATTTCAATTCAGTTAATGTTATCAGTATTATTTTTTTCAGCTTCTACAACAACGTGGACCGTGTCGGTCACACAAGATGTCCACCAAGGTCAACATTCGAACATCAGATGTCAAGAACCTGAATCTGGTTATTTGACCTTTGTGGGTGTCTCCACTTGTCTCCACTTGTCGGAACACCATTTGCTATTTTTAAGACGTCCAGGCTGTAAATTATCTGTTTAAATTTTAACTTAATCATCAGTTCCTATCAAAGAAGTCAGTAAATTCCTAAAGGTTGAGATGACGCCCGTGTTCCTTGTCACTGTAACTAGGCAGTAGTTGTTGATCGGGGCAGCTGATTAGGACTGTGGTAACCCACCTTGCCAGGGGGACAGCATCAATGTTCACACAGTAGGTAACAGGAATACTGTTGAGTATCTCCGGCTATAAATAGTTCTTTGGGGGAAATGAGGCCGGGTGACGAATTCTGCTAGGGGTATGCTATATTCAACGTTAGTTAGTCCGTTCCTGTTTGAGTATCCAGCCACCACCACCAGACAAGGGAGTCGGAAAGCAGATATCCCTGAACCCTTTAACATTCTATTCATATCTATGTTTACACATTGTATCTCGCTTGAATTAAGTTTAATTCCATCAACATTTGACCACACTATCTTTTTATGTACGTTTTCAAGTTAAGGCGGCGCATGTTTTGTTTTGAATACTAAAGCGGATATGACCTGTTTCTCCTCCAATGTTTCTAATGCATGTAAATTTCATTCATAAAACCTGTATGTGACTTTTGTTGTACTTTTTAAGTTTGCTCAATACAAATAAAACATTGTCATCTTTCTGTCGTGTGTGCTGCCCTTTGTTTTGAAACGTGCGGTAATTATCATCAATTCTAAGACGTCTTGCATATGTGTAATGCGATTCCTGTGCTGGGGGTGGTTCCCTATACTACAGATCTTGTAAATAATTTCAAGGCAACTAAGGTTATATACAAAAATGTTTTGTTTCCTGGGGAATAAGCTTTCGCTGTATGCATGTGTAAAATAAAATAATTCTACGCGTACTTCATAGATAGAAGTGGCGGTTTCGTTTTTTTTATGAATTTGATCTATAGCTGGGATCCATTACCTATCTATTGTGATAGATTTATGCAGGAAGTAAAACCCAACTATTTTAACCCCAAACAAATTCTTTGCAAAGATGGAAGCCAGCTTGAATCCCCGATGAATGTTGAGGCAAGGTTTTGTATGAATATTATATCGCCGCTTCACTTATCACGAAGGCTTGTGGTTGAGCTTGGCATTAAAACGGGTTTAGCCAAAATATGTTGTTCTCGTGTGATCAGTTCTCGGTTGGCCGTTACGTGCGAACGTGTCGATTGCTCACCCTCCCCACAGCCCCAGCGTCTCTGTACATCTGGGAAAACCAGAGTACCGCAAATACGTCTGATATCAAACGACAGAGTGAGTGAAGGTTTTGTTTTCTCAACCTGGCAACATTACAGCTATACTACTCAATGTTTGCTAAGGATCGCCAATGAAACTAATACTTCAAATTGTGTTGACACAGCTAAAGACAATATTGCGTGAAGACATGTTTAACATGAAACCGTTGTCATGTGCCACGCAGTGACAAACAACGGGTGCTGTCTTAGTTTATTGAAGGCGGTATTAAGACTTGAGGAGGGGGATGTTATAAATGCAGTTGTCGATGACAGGTATACACACAGCATTTCCATGCATAAATAAACACAAAGGACACAAAAGTTGCCATTGCCACCGACGCATAATTGACATTTACAACGAAAAGCATTTTCAAAGGTATATGTGGTAGTGTGTGCCTGCGGGTGTACGTGCGTGAGAGAGAGAGAGAGAGAGAGAGAGAGAGAGGGGCAGAATTTCTGCATCGAAGTGAAAATTAAACTCTTCACCAGTTCACCATAGTAAACACAACAAGTGCCCGAAGACCCACTATACCCCGAGACCACACACATCCAACTTCAAATACACGCAAAACAAAAAGCTTAACTTTGGAAAAATTCAGTTTCTGTCCATACAATTTGGCCTGAACGGTTACCCGGGTGCCCGGGTGTAAGTCGTGTATGAAAACTAATCGCGTAGTACATTATTAGTCGAGTACTAGGAGAATTTTCTCCCTTGTTCATTTTAATTTTCTCCTTGTCATACATTCAGACTTTTTTTGGAAGAGCTGTTAATGTAACTGCAAAATGTACGTATTTCCTTTGGAGTGTAATATTAAACATTGTAATTTCATATAAACAGTTAATTGAATAGCTTTTTTATTTTTTTTTAACTAAAGTATCTAATAATTAAACAATAATATTGCTATTAAATATATGCACACATATTGAAGAAATTGAAAAACAAAATTTGTGATCGTTTGACAGAATATTGATGTCTAACTGTTCACCCAAATCGCGTTTAATCCGTGACATCCGATTGATGAATTCCTCCTCTCGTTTTGTATAATATAATCAATTGTTAGACTTTTTTTTATAGATATTGTTATCACAAGATATTTAGTTGTTTACTTTACAAATACATATACATTTTAAAATATATTTGTTTGTTTTGAAATAATCTTTTGAGTATTTCAATTAAGTAAATTTGATGCCTTAAAGGTTTGCGTCTTATCCAATTAAGACACACGATCAACCCATTTAATTTACTACCTATCAATGACAGTCGTTTAATGCTGTATCTAAAAGCACCAAATTCTGTTTTACAAATCGAGATTTGTCACATTAAGAACGAAAATATGTTGAGATATATATTAATCAATATACAAAAGTCGTCTTTATCCGACGTCGTAACAGCCATAATACAAGACATGACGCCAAACAAAGGTAACACATGGTCTGTAAATTCAGTACATTATATTATAAGTCAAGCTGACAACAAGTGCACGGTTTCCGTGTCGATAGTTGTGTTTAGTTACTCGTAAACAAATGAATACGAAAAGATATTGTCGTCTCATTTTTTGTTCGGCATTGGTGTCTTTTAATATAAAAATCAGGACATTTCTGTTATTTTTGCAAATTATGGTGCAATATAATTGATACAATGGACAGTTCTCACTTTATATAAAACATAATACAAAATAGGTTATACAGAGCGTCACTGTGGGTACAAGACGGCCGCACCATACTGAAACATACTGAGAGTTTCATTACAAAGGTGAGTCTTGAGTACTGCAAGTCTGTCATCAAGGGCTTTATACATCCTATTTCTGGGAAGGATGGCGCCACCGGCATGTAGGTGAAGAAGTTATTTTCAACATGTGACTGTTCTGTCCTATGGACTAGAGCATCTGGAGGGACTGTCGCAGTAGTCTCTAATGGTTGTGTTTCAAACTGCTGACGATGTCGGTGGTATTGATGTTGATGGACAACTTCCAGTGATTGTGATCACATTTGGTAGCAGACGGAGTGCCAAGTGACTTCCACCACACGAAGTTGGGATGAATCTGATGTTGACTTGTGCGTCCGTCATGTTGCAATGACCATCCATAGTTGTCAGTCCCTTTTACATTGTACAATGCATCATCATCTTCTTGTAGGGGAATAGTAGCGAAAATTCAGTTGTTCACCGTCCTGCGAATACACCAGCCAGGTATACCCCGAGTGTTTCTGCTACTACTTATATATAATTCATATTTTCTCTCGTGCACATACGATTTATGTAAGTTTGGTTATTTCCTACCCTGTGGGTAATAAAAAAATGAATGTTTTAGGTCTAGGGAGATGTAAATACACTTTCAGTTATAATCACCTGCTGCCTAATCGAAAACGATGGCCCAACAAAGGGAATCGTTGAGCCTTTGAATATCCATGGCTGCAAAATCAATGTGGGCGAATACTGTACACTACTTGTATAATTGTACATAGAATAAATGTGTAGAATTGAGAAAATTTAACATCCCCACTCCCTATAATAAATGTCCAATCCCTAAATAATGCTTGAACACAGAACTTTTTAATTGAAAAAAATAGAACTGTGACCCGTATTAGATCACGAAAGCGGAACACGTCGTTCAACGCAGCTGAGGAACTCTATATAATGAGGTACAGCTACAATGGAACAGTCGGCAGATGGCTGCACAAAATTCAACCAAAGCCATGCATACTCCTACTCAAATGAAAGGAAAGTTGAAATTCCCATCTCACGCCTCAGACTCGGTCACAAAAAAGCACTATGACAAGGTTTGTCCATCTTGCAATCAACCTAAATCCATTGCTCACTTGTTACTGGAATGTCAAGACCATGCCCCGGCCTTCTTTGGCTAAAACAAGAATTGCAGTTAGATCAGCTATAACTGTCGTAGATCTCCTGAAGCCAAGAGATGCAATAGCGAAGGCCAAACTAACTAATTTCTGAGAGAAGGACAGCTACTCGAACGTATATAAACAGAGCAGCCAAAGATAACAATGAAATTATATCAATATACGAAAATAGAAATCATAACAATACAAAAACAGAAATTCTAGGAATATCAAAACTCGCAATAGATAGCCCTATGTGTACCCTACTCACACAAATTGCTACGGCAGAAGCTAGGCGACCTCTGAAACACGGCTGAACAACAATGGAAAAGTGCTATATGTAGAATAATACACACTGAATTGTATCGTGTTTGCCAATGACATTCAAATATTTTTGCTTGGGTATATCTTGCCAGAGATAGAATTTAATCCATGAGCGTGCCGGAAAGATATCTCTCCACAATGAATATATATAACGTTTGGGGCAACCAAGCCTCATTGTTTATTCATTAGGCCTACCTTTGTGACTATCCTCGTGGCGACATAATGTATATATGATATAATAAAATGGCACATCGATATATGATATATCCACGTTGATAAGATGCCGTCCATGTTTTGTCCCGACACTCATTTATCGTGCATGTTTATTTTGCGCCCCCCTACCCAACCCTACTTTGCGCATGCTGACCGTGCGTCAATGTGATCTATGTTTGTAGATTCCTGGTTATATGTTATCCAGGTGATCGGGTATACTGATAGTTAAAATATAACACTGTGACTAATTCATTATCAAATACACCCCTACATATATCCAAAAAGCTGTAACCGCGTTTGGGCAATATATGGGACGTACATACTTTAAAAAATGCAGACATCTGATATACGAATATTGTTTTCTTCGCGGTATGCATATATTCGCGCACTTGTTCCGAGTTATCAGTTTAGTTCTTTGTTCCAGTGGCACATTGTAGTCTTGTTAACATAAGACTGACCTGAAACTACTCTTTGTATACAGCTTAATTAGTTCCTGTTCATCACGGTCAGCACAATTAGTTGTATAAGCCCTAATTAAGACATTCTTTGATTAAGACACTAATCTGTTCCTTTGTATGCAATGACCGCTCCCTGTCGCGGTAGCAACAAGCAAAATAAAGGTCTCCAGTGACCCACTTTGACTTCATTTCTCACTCGGTAACGCGATCGTCATTCGTTCGGGAAATTGGTGTTAATACATCCACATCAAAACTGCAGGTTAGTAATTCTACTTTTTTTAAAACACTCCTGTCAGGTCTGTGTTTAATGTCCGCTATCCGTTGTTTGATGTTTCCAAGTAGTTGGTCACTTGCGAATAGACAAGAAAGATATAGGCCTAAGCGCGAACATTGCCGGGAGTACCCCATGTTTTCGTCTTCTTCTCCAGGATGGCTGCTACAGTAAGGACCCAGAAGGAGATGAGGGACAAGGCGATGAAGCAACTGAAACACGAGAAAGATGCTATGGTAAAGTTACGTCTGGCATGTTTAGCGAGAGGCTCAACAGGGATCAAAGGCCTGGGCAGGTAAGACATTTATGGTACACACTAGATCTAGTTTATAACGTGAAACATGCCCCGTCCTGCTAGCTGTCAGCCGCTCTAGACGAGGGGGGCAGTCATGAACATACAAATGTGCTCGTGATCGTATCACGGATTTTGATATTGATTATCACACATAAAAACATCAATGCATACATGCATGATAAACAACAGAATTAATATTCGCTACTGCATGGTGGAAAGTTTGTGTGTGATTTGTACTTGTACAGGCCTAGTCTGTGGCCATGTTTATACTTTTGGTATGATCTAGACCCCTGAACAGTGTCAAGATATGTTCCACCACTGCTATAATGTCTTGTGGTTGTGTATTAGTATCCTTGTGTATTTCTCATTATGTCTCTATAATAATAATCTCAATACACTAAAACTAAGTCTTACCTTTGAAGATATTTATTTCTGTTTACAATTGGATAGTCAAATGACCACATCTTGTCAATTTAGTGGAAATAATGCCCGGCAAAGCGAGACAAGTCAATGAGGCACCATCTTGTTACCGTCACCCGCTTTCAAGCCTCTCCATAACAGTCAAGTTAAACATAGACGCACAGCATGATCAGTCACACATAATGTTACACATGTTACAAACAGCAGCCGATATACCATCAGTGCATATGATTGTTCTGATGCAAAATTATTATCAGATCAAGTTTGATTGAAATGTGCATTAGTGAAAAAGCACAGTTCGAGGTATGTTTTTATTACTTATTGAATATTTTACTTTATTGTATTCGTAACGTAACTTCAGCGACAAGTGGCGAACACTCTTCTGTGAGCTTCAAAGCGTCTACCTTGATTACATCATCATGCACATGGTTATGCATTGTTTAGGGGCTTGAATAGAGGTGAGGCTCGAAAACATGTTACGGGGATATAATATTTAGAATTATTTAGCTAACTCGGTTTATGCATGGTCAGCTCTGCATAATAACTGCTACTAACACTTACATTTGTTTACAAACATTCCCATCCCACACTATCCTGCCAAACAATGTGATAAATACTACCCCCATAGCAACCATATGTAATTTCTCCCCGCCACAACCTATTGGTCATATGCCTACACTACCCAGTGGTCCATTGACATCACTACCTCTGCTGCTCAATTACATCATTTTAACAACACCTGTATGTGCCTGTTAACAATTTCACCAATTTGACCCATGTTAAAAAACAATGTTGCCATAGTGAAAAAAACCCTGAAATCTCAGAAAGTGCTGTAACCTTTAACCTGCTGAATTGTTCAGCATAAGGTGCTGTAATGAAGGCTGGTGATTTCAAACAGTTGATGCTTCATACTCAGAGGTAAAAAAAGACCATGTTAAACAGGCAAATAAATATGACAAATAAGGAACCCTCAACCATTGTACCCTGAGGTCAACTTCATGGCTAAGTATTTCTCTTCATATAAAATTCATCAGTGTGTGAAACAAACGGTTGACAAATGGCCTGTGGCTATCAAAATTGTAATCATTCTACAGAGTGAGAAACTAAGCCAGACCAATTGTTGATGATAATATTGAAGGCTCAGTTTGAACGTTGTAGCGATAATTTTGTTTGCACATTTTAACATTGTTCAGACTTCATTCATCTTGTCAATTTGACAACATCTATTCATATATCCTGCTTAAAATGCACTAAGTAATATGTTCGAAAAAGGTCTTTAACTCTTGCTCTCGATAGCACCATTTGCAGTCTAAATTTTAAACTTTTCAATGAGTGCATGCGCTGCCCCTGTACTCCCCTAGATGGCCGAATTACATTGCATTGGGTGGTCCACCTTCAGAGGTTCTGGGGCTACCAGAATATATCTCTTGATAGCTGATTAGGCTGTATGTGATACTTCTTGGTGTCCTACACTGAAGTGTACCTATTTAGTAATAGTACCAATAGTGCCATATCAAATTGGCCATGTTTGTGCTAATTTCGGTTTGGGCATATGGCATAATGATGTATGTTCCCTTAATTCATATAAAGATTTGTAGATGAAAAGGATGTGTTGCTTCTGTTGTAAAATATTTACTCTCAGTACAGTATAATGCTACATAGTTTCTTATATAATGTTCACTCTGAAGCCAACAGAAGTGTTTTCTGGAGAATAAAGCTCATAAATAAATGTCTTTCGCATTTGTTACTGTGATACAAGATGAAGCCAAACCCAAATCTGATTGAGGATATATGTTGGTCTTTGATATTACAGATGTTTTAAGATCATGGACGATGACGGTAGTCGATCACTTGACTTCAAAGAGTTTAAGAAGGGTATCCATGACTACGGCTGTACAGAGTTGTCTAATGAGGAGATACAGGAAGCCTTCAACAAATGTGACAAGGATGGCAGCGGAACCCTGGACTTTGATGAGTTTCTGATACAGCTCAGGGTAAGCAGCAGACACAAGTAGCTACTCCAGGCTGAGCCAGCAGCAGACACAAGTAGCTACTCCAGGCTCAGCCTGCAGCAGACACAAGTAGCTACTCCAGGCTGAGCCAGCAGCTGACACAAGTAGCTACTCCAGGCTCAGCCTGCAGCAGACACAAGTAGCTACTCCAGGCTGAGCCAGCAGCAGACACAAGTAGCTACTCCAGGCTGAGCCAGCAGCTGACACAAGTAGCTACTCCAGGCTGAGCCAGCAGCTGACACAAGTAGCTACTCCAGGCTGAGCCAGCAGCAGACACAAGTAGCTACTCCAGGCTCAGCCAGCAGCAGACACAAGTAGCTACTCCAGGCTGAGCCAGCAGCAGACACAAGTAGCTACTCCAGGCTGAGCCAGCAGCTGACACAAGTAGCTACTCCAGGCTCAGCCTACAGCAGACATAAGTAGCTACTCCAGGCTGAGCCAGCAGCAGACACAAGTAGCTACTCCAGGCTGAGCCAGCAGCAGACACAAGTAGCTACTCCAGGCTCAGCCAGCTTCAGAAACAAGTAGCTACTCCAGGCTGAGCCAGCAGCAGACACAAGTAGCTACTCCTGGCTCAGCCAGCAGCTGACACAAGTAGCTACTCCAGGCTGAGCCTGCAGCAGACACAAGTAGCTACTCCTGGCTCAGCCAGCAGCAGACACAAGTAGCTACTCCTGGCTCAGCCTGCAGCAGACACAAGTAGCTACTCCTGGCTCAGCCTGCAGCAGACACAAGTAGCTACTCCTGGCTCAGCCTGCAGCAACTGTACATGAAATAATCAATGTGCAAGATAAACAAGAGGAGAGGGAATGACATATTGTTGAGCGAGTTGGAGGAAATAAGTGTGCACATAGAATTATGATGTCTTCAGTAATAATCAAAATGATTTTATAGTATGGTGTATTGACCAATCTCTCTATAATCAGATCCTTGTTCTTGCTTCCAACAAAAACAAAGATCTGAGGAATGTGTTTTCTAATCATGAACCTCGAAAATATTAACACGGGCTGTACAAGTGATTTCATCCAAATTGTCGTCTGTCTCTCTCTTCCCTGGGATAAGCATATCAAACAGAAAAGACTTTCCATAGCCCAAGGGATGTACTGCCATACAATCTTGGCCATCTAGCAATTCCAGAGTTTTCTTTTGTTCAGTTTTCCAATTTGGAATCAAGATCTTTGTCAAAATATTTTTTCAAAGCGAAGTCTTGAAAGGAAGTTGCAAATTTGAAACTGGTCCGTAAAGCTCAAGAAAGCTGCTTTTGATGAGCTATTGTCAAATTCTTGTTAGTCAAACTTTGCAAAAGGTCATTCTCAAGTGACATGTAATGGGATGTCCTCAGATCGTAGCGGTAGTGACCTCTAAGATCTGATTTTAATGAGATTGGAATATTCTTTATCAGAACCTGTAAAAGACAAAGGGTTGAAAATATCATTTGCAATGTGAACCCGATGTTGCCCGAAATACGAATCAACTCAATATACAGCAGATCCCTCTGACCTGCCCATCACTGAGTACTGAAGACATGCTCCCTCTCTTCCAGCCTCCCATGAGCCAAGCCAGAAGGTCATTAATAGCACAAGCATTTAAGAAGCTGGACAAGAGTGGTGATGGTGTGGTTACAGTTGAGGACCTGAAAGGGATTTACAACGTCAAGAAGCATCCAAAATATCTCAATGGAGAGTGGACAGAGGACCAGTGCCTGCGACAATTCCTTGACACATTCGACAGTCAGGACAAAGATGGAAAGGTAAGAGAGACAGTATGCCTTTCCCTTTTGTTTACTACTGAACCTATCAATCCAAGATATATCCTATTGGCTAATATGTTCGGAGTTTAGTATGGTCAAGTTATATATTGGTCTTCATGAACATGATGAATAAAACATGCCATATGAAAGAAAATGTAAAGCTTTGTATTCTGTCATCAAAATATGTACACTTTGCAGGGATGCCTTTAATCCTGTTGCTTGATATGGTTTGATATACTTGGTACACCTGCTTGCATATTAACATTACTGTGTTAGCTAACTTTCTGATAAAGTGTTGTTCACAGGGGTTCACACACCTGATGTATACATTTAGCACAGGCAATCGATGGAACTGGATAGTGCAGCTTTGCCTATGTCAAATAAGATCTTTCTCATTTAATTATTTTTCTTTTTCTTTTATGGAGAGTTTTTGAACATTGAAATTTATAATTTTGAAAGAGATCAAAGTTCAGTTGACAAATTTGAGGATCCATATATACATGTTTATTTCCTGATAATAGTGGGGGGATGTCAGCATCCCTCAGGGGTTCCCCTAAGCTGAACCAGCTGTGACACTGGCACGACTAACTCATACTGACAGCAGTACCACAGCAGCACACCATCAGGATACCACGCACCAACATTCGTTTATCAGGGGTTGAAAATTTATAAAAAATGTTACTTGACCAAGGGCAAGTATGACCAACATTCGTACTTGCCCTATTTTATAATGTACCAAATCAAGCTTATAAACTCAGTAAAATGTTACATCTACAGAACTGAGAATCAGGGATACAGTGTTCACTCGCTGTTGCGCCCCTCATTACAGCACCATCTTGGTTATAGCGCAAGGGTAACACATGGCTCCCAAAATTTACTTACATGTTAAATAAACTCAAGTTTTCCCCCATCCCAAAAAACATTATCATTCAAACCGGAAATACCAGTCAACAAATCTGAACTGAAGTACATAATTTAATCCCATTATTATACTATCTGGTTATAAAAAATGTGTTCATTGTATATCTGGACTTATGTTTAATATATTTTGAAATTTTATTCAAAATTTCATTCAATATTTGTTTACACTCATTTCAGTGTGAAGTGATCAATAGATTGCACAAATTACCTATATTTACAGCAACTACGGTCAGATTACTGCTATTGACGCCTTGATTTTGCCAGAGAATGGATACATATATCATAAATGCCATACTTTGATTCGTCAAAAGTCATGTAGTTTGACTTATGTGTCAACAAAGTTTTCGCGATCGAGAGAGCGTGAGCCTCGAGGGTGACTGGTGTATTCAAATAGCATATTTCATCAAAGCTAGGCCTAACGAAGCTTCCAAAGTCGGCAATAGATCTACCTTGCATTACAAATTCCAAAAAATGTCGTCAACTGTCCATCATTCAATTTCCAAGAAGCATGTGCCATATATGGAAGTGCTACTGCGATCTATCAATGTATTAATCCCATTGGTTGAGTGTTGTAACTGTATGCAAATTAGACTGCCAGTCTGGGACACAAGCAACATATTTACCAATGAAATATTGTAACATGATCACATGATTACATTCTCGTGAAACTTGACCCAGTCCATTTGTGTGCTCTACTTGTCCGCGGACATGATAGAAAACGTATATTACACGCCCGACATCTAAACCTTACTTGGCACGGGTGTTGGGCAATGGTATTTTTTAACCCCTGTTTGATGTCTGTGATGTACCACACTTTAATGATGAACTGTTGTGTTTGTGTTCTGCTTTAGCTGCTGCTTGCATGAGCATGTACCATGTTTGTTGTACTCATGTCTTACATATAGCAATAATCAGCCACACTGTTGTGGGACATTAATTCAGTTTCAGCTTGCTGGAGTGCTTCTAATCTTAACCTGCTGACCTTTTTTCACTGCGACTCTTTAAACATGAGTCTCTACATGTTGACTTGTAGACTAATCCCCAGTGACGTCAGACATTTAGTGTATTCTCGGTATTAACCCAGGGAATATTTTGCGGTAGTTTATGGTTTTACTAATTATTTATAATTCGTGTGACACAGCACGATGTTCCGTTTATAACCAGCTCTTTAGATCAGAATTGTGATTAACACGACCCATTTTAATTCTCCTTGATGTGTTCCTTTTTTACTCACTAATAAGTGCCATGTTTGTGTGGTGTGTATCCAGTATCCTTGGTAGGGAGGGAGGCCTCCATGCTGATGTTCACTGCAATCTTCTGAATGCTTTGCTTACCAATCAGCTTGAGGTTGCTGCCTACATTGTGGTGTGGGCTTGCAATGCCTCAGCAGCTGGCTGTCCATGTGTGGCTGTTCTCTGGCAGGTGCAGTGCTGGAGATCCAGTCAGTCACCTTTAACTGTCAATGAGCTTTTTTATATAAATAGTTTGAACAGTTCAAGTACTTAAAGTGCAGATATGTATTTAACTGTGATATCAACTCCAGATCACACCTGAAGAGTTTGATGCCTACTATGCTGGTGTAAGTGCCTACATAGACAGTGATGCGTACTTCGATCTCATGATGCGAACTGCATGGAAACTGTGAAAACTCTTCGTAAGTTTCATTACATTGGTAGGAGTGATGGCGGTATTGAAGGGACTGTTCTGACAGTGATGTTGGATGTTACATTCATAAATACATTATTACTGAAATGAAGATTAAAGGCAGAAAAAACAACACAAATTTGTTAGGCACTTACGTAATTGAAAATAACACAGGCCGCCTATAAGGAATGCAAAATGTTTTACTCTCATTAATGAAATGGGCAGATTGTTTTGGGCTAGTAAGCAAGTTACATTCATTTCATTTGAAAATTCCATGAAATGGATAACTTGATTATTCACAAAGTTACTCTTTGAGTAATAAGTCATAATTTGGGTAAATAACATTTCTGTTACATGTTTAGTTGATGGTGACCTGGATATAATGCAACATTTCAGTTGAGGAAACTTCCTTGGTAGAAGTGGACAGAAGTGTTGGTGGACAGTAATGCTGATAATAGTTCTTCACGCCCAACATGGACTAACATTGACTAACAGTCTTCACCTGTACTAAACAATAAATGTTGACTAATAGTAAACAAAATGAAATATTGTGTTCTGGTGTTGTGTATGCACACATACAGTGAGCCAGCAGTTTACACACTACAGATACTGCATTGCAGTCAGTTCTAACACATGTATCAACCAGAACTTACAGAAACATTGACATAGTTGTCTCCACTGAATCCACCACCAACGTTGACATGTTCTCTATACTCGCAAATGAAGAACATAGTTTTTTCGATGACGACTTGTATTGTGTGAAGAGAGTATGATGTTTTGCCAAGGTTTTGTGAAATCAAGAAATTTAATAGTGTCATTTGTTTAGTGTCTTCCTAGCTCACTATTTGGAGATAAATGTGTGGGCCTATTGTGAATGTTATGTCTGGCTAGTCACCAGAAGTTCTGACCTTGATGTTGTGTTGTTCATCTCAGTTAGCCTACAGTTGTACTTCCTTGCTATGGCGATGGACCTCAGGAGAATCTAGTGTGCAGTCGGGCAGTTTCTCCTCTTCAAATAAATAGTACATCTTGGGCAATTTTTGCATCTATGACTCAATAATTCCCAGTATCATGAATGTGGGACCTACAAAATGCTACCAAGAATAATATTTTCACATGACCCCAGCCAAAACCTAACCAAGTAACTATTGTAAGTACATTGGTTTTTTTCTGTATGAATTGTGAGACCATAAAAGTTTTGCAGATAAATGTTTTCTGGGGTGTTGACAACCTGCAGGTTTGATGGTGTGTATCATGGTCTAGTGTACAGGGTATTGTGTGCAGCCTGGAGGTTCTAGTGTGTATCATGGTCTAGTGTACAGGGTATTGTGTGCAGCCTACAGGTTCTAGTGTGTATCATGGTCTAGAGTACAGGGTATTGTGTGCAGCCTGCAGGTTTGATGGTGTGTATCATGGTTTAGAGTACAGGGTATTGTGTGCAGCCTGGAGGTTCTAGTGTGTATCATGGTCTAGAGTACAGGGTATTGGTTGACAGCCTGCAGGTTTGATGGTGTGTATCATGGTCTAGTGTACAGGGTGTTGCCACATAGCCTACAGGTTCTAGTGTGTATCATGGTCTAGAGTACAGGGTATTGTGTGCAGCCTGGAGGTTCTAGTGTGTATCATGGTCTAGAGTACAGGGTATTGGTTGACAGCCTGCAGGTTTGATGGTGTGTATCATGGTCTAGTGTACAGGGTATTGGTTGACAGCCTACATGTTCTAGTGTGTATCATGGTTTAGAGTACAGGGTATTGTGTGCAGCCTGGAGGTTCTAGTGTGTATCATGGTCTAGTGTACAGGGTATTGGTTGACAGCCTGCAGGTTTGATGGTGTGTATCATGGTCTAGTGTACAGGGTGTTGCCACATAGCCTACAGGTTCTAGTGTGTATCATGGTCTAGAGTACAGGGTATTGGTTGACAGCCTGCAGGTTTGATGGTGTGTATCATGGTTTAGAGTACAGGGTATTGTGTGCAGCCTGGAGGTTCTAGTGTGTATCATGGTCTAGTGTACAGGGTATTGGCTGACAGCCTGCATGTTCTAGTGTGTATCATGGTCTAGAGTACAGGGTATTGGCTGACAGCCTGCAGGTTTGATGGTGTGTATCATGGTCTAGAGTACAGGGTATTTGTGTGCAGCCTGGAGGTTCTAGTGTGTATCATGGTCTGGTGTACAGGGTATTGTGTGCAGCCTGCAGGTTTGATTGTGTGTATCATGGTCTAGTGTACAGGGTATTGGTTGACAGCCTGCAGGTTTGATTGTGTGTATCATGGTCTAGAGTACAGGGTATTGTGTGCAGCCTGGAGGTTCTAGTGTGTATCATGGTCTAGAGTACAGGGTATTGGCTGACAGCCTACAGGTTTGATGGTGTGTATCATGGTCTAGTGTACAGGGTATTGTGTGTATCATGGTTTAGAGTACAGGGTATTGTGTGCAGCCTGCAGGTTTGATGGTGTGTATCATGGTCTAGAGTACAGGGTATTGTGTGCAGCCTGGAGGTTCTAGTGTGTATCATGGTCTAGTGTACAGGGTATTGTGTGCAGCCTGGAGGTTCTAGTGTGTATCATGGTCTAGAGTACAGGGTATTGGCTGACAGCCTACAGGTTCTAGTGTGTATCTTGGTCTAAAGGGGCGGTCGGGTAGCCTAGTGGTTAAAGCGTTGGCTTGTCATGCCGAAGACCCGGGTTCGATTCCCTACATTGGTACAATGTGTGAAGCCCATTTCTGGTGTCCCCCCGCTGTGATATTGCTGGAATATTGCTAAAAGCGGCTTGAAACCATACTCACTCACTTGGTCTTAAGTACAGGGTACTGGTTGACAGCCTACAGGTTCTAGTGTGTATCTGGTTCTAAAGTACAGGGTATTGGCCGACAGCCTACAGGTTCTAGTGTGTATCTTGTTCTTAAGTACAGGGTATTGGCCGACAGCCTACAGGTTCTAGTGTGTTTCTTGTTCTTAAGTACAGGGTATTGGCTGACAGCCTACAGGTTCTAGTGTGTATCATAGTCTAGAGTACAGGGTATTGGTTGACAGCCTACAGGTTCTAGTGTGTATCATGGTCTAGAGTACAGGGTATTGGTTGACAGCCTGCAGGAACTAGTGTGTATTGATGCTTTCTTGAATGATCTCACCTCATATCTTGTAAGACAGTCAGTGGGCATGGGTGGCCAGTCAACTAAAACAGTGCAATGTGCTGTGCATGGTTGTGTCCCTTGAGGATGCAAGAAACCTATAACTGTTGGTTTGAATCCAAAATATGCCAAAATTGTGTTTCTAGGTTTGTCAGCACCAAATCTGTGCTCATGTGTCTCAATAAAGTGTTGCTGGTAAACATGGGCTTTGGAACACTTTGCACTCTTCTTCCACATCAAGATGACACTCTGTGATATTACTGAAATACTGTTCAAAGCAAACTCACTCTAAGACAGCCATTTATTTATATGTTTTCACATTTCAATTTTCATAAAACTGTAGACATCGGGATACACATTGCTGTAGAGTATCAGTATCATTATTTTCATGTTGCTACATATTGTAACACTGCCTGCTTGATGCACCAGTAAGACCAACCATGCTTCTGTAACTCTATAACTGCCGTTGCCATGCTTCGGTAACTCTATAACTGCTGTTGCCATGCTTTTTGCTTCTCTCAGCTTGCACCTGCTACTTAATTATATGTTAACCATTCATAGCAGATATAGTAGTTTTGCATGATATTCTTTTCAGATGTATCTTTTCTTTTGAATATTTCCAAGTTGTTTCACATGATCTCATGGCATGCATGAAAACTGAAAGAAATTCTGATTATAAAATTCTATGAACACTTTCCTAATCATAGCCAAAAGCTTGTGTTAACTGAGACATTTGGCTTGGAAAGTTGTATTGACTTCTCTGTGATCTGTGTACAACAAAGGAAGCAGTTGTCTCCATTCAACATCTGTCTGCACTGTCAGCACCTGCCTTCACCCACACTGCTTGTTTCAGATTGAAGCCGAGGAGTTTCAGAATTACTACTGTGGTGTGAGCGCGTCTGTGGACAGTGACGCCTACTTTGACCTGATGATGCGACAAGCCTGGAAAATATAGAACCCTGACATTTCACTGCCATCCCAGCATGCATCTCTCTCCTCCATTACCTATCTGTTGTGTTGTCAATTACATGGAAATCTTTTGTAGAATTTTTGTTAGCTTGGAATTTATCTTGCTCAAAATGTGACAGTAGTGTGCGTCAGTATATACTGACTTATTTCCCGGGGTAAATAATATATTTGGAATCATCTTCCAAAAGATTTGTACATTTAAGATAATATCCTGTGTAGATTTACATATTGCTGTAAAATAGCTGCATATGTAATGTGTAGATATCTGTGGTGTGATTTGCTGTAAATGTAAATGTCTTCCTCTCTGTCTGTCTTCCTCTTCACTGCTTCCCCAACCACTGCCTCCACTGTCCCACTGTCTGGCCCAGCAAGCACCACCACTGTCGGCTTAGTCAGGCCTGTAGGATGTCAGTTGAAAACCATGTACAGCCAACATGGAACACATGCAGAATGAAGTCTAACCTAAAGGAGTTTATCTTTTTAACACTTTTATCTGAAAGTGAATATGCAATGCAAGTATATGACCTTTGTTGGTACCAGGGTTACTTTTGGTTTTACGTATCTAGTTGTGTTGCTCCCCCTGCCTGGATGCGGGAGGAAGGATGTTGTAGCGTATGTTGTATATAGATACATCATTGTGTGGTGTAATGTCCCTAGTTTACATCTTGTTTTAGTCTTCACAATCCAGCATTGTGGTGGCAAGTTTTTATAAGGGTATCTTTTGATATTACCACAGATGTATTAATTAACTGTATCAAACACCCATACTGTTTGATAGTATATATTTATTCTTAAAAATAAACAGTAAAATACACATTGGTGTTCTTTTTCTGTGTGGCTATGAATTCTTGTGGGTAAAAGGTTGTGGGAACTAGACATATCGAACACATTGTCATTTGATGGTTACATTTCCCCTTTATCTAATTATGGAGAAACCTAGAAGATAGTGTCTCTTACAGACCACAGAGCCAGCCACCACACAACCCCCACCCCCACCCTGACTGTTCAAGTATGCATACAGAGTTCTGGAAGTGGCAGGGAGCGTCCTAAGTAGATATGCACATCCCAGATGAATGTATATAATCCATGACCCAATTTGTGTAGGATAGCCAGTCACCTTTGATGAAAACATCCCCAAATTACATAGTGTTATATGTTTCCACATAGTGTACCTGCTCACTGAGAACACTTCCAAATATTCAAACATTGGCTCCCGAGAGGTACACACTTTTAAACATCAGACAATTTATAACGTAAAAGTGACTCACTCCTCTTTTATTACTGATACTTCATTTTATCCAACTTTGATGAGTCCATGGCCATTTGTCATAATTGTTGATGATGATGTTAGAAAAAATTGTTAGAATAATTTGCTTTTCCATGGAAATACATAATCCAACAAAATATTGCTGTATAATATTACATGTAGACAGGAACTACCATTCTACATAGTTTAATCATGTGCAGTGTGACACTACCATGTGAGTCAGTCAGCATTCCTTGCAAGCAATAAGAATAATATTATTAAACTTTTCACATGCCAAAAGGCACAAAGTATTAATTAACTGGTGCTATGATTTACATAATTTCCACTCTACTGCAAGGATTTGTTCCAATACAAGTGTCTTTGTGCATCTGTGGGACTGATATTGGTATTCTATAACATTAGGTGTTTCTACCATGTTGGTTAACATTGCACTCAGCAATATTCCAGCTGTATGTCTACGGCCTGCAAATAATTGAGTCTGCGCCAGACAATCCAGTGATTGATATTATCAGAAACAATCCAAGCAATCAACCAAGTCTGATCCATTCAGTCGCCCCTTATGACCAGCATAGGTTGCTGGGGACCTCGTCTACCCCGGAATCCCCACAGTGTTCATGGTTACTGGTGCACTGAAGGTTTGCAAACAATTGAGTGTACGTTTGTCATGTTCACTGGTGAATCCACATTGCAGAATGAGTATGCATTATGTTGACACTACCAGCGGGGATTTCAAATGAGCTAATATAGGAGCTGTAGAACATCGGTGTACTAGCCATGTTTAAAGTACCCACATGACCAGTGATTGAGATGGTCTATTTTGCTGAAGGACTAAGTTTTGAAAAAGTTGCACACCCGATGGTTGGGAGTTATAGTTACTAAGATGACAATCCATCAGTTGATTGTTCTTTTCCGAGAACGAACATTAAACAGTCCTGTTCTTATGTTTACCCTTTTGTTACTTTTGTTCGTTAGTCTAAAACATTCTGGACTGGCAACATTTTATCTGGTCTGGTAACTTCACAAAGTTGCCAGTCCGGTTGTCTGACTGAAATTTGGGGAAATCTCATACACTGGTACAAGGTAGGAGCAATGTGGGGACTTTTGGGGGACCAGCACTAAAACTTGACAATACTTGACAATACATGACAATAAGTCCTCCAGTGCTCCTGATGTATGAAATATGTAGTGTTGAAGGTACGCAGCAGTCACAGCAGTCAGGATGGTGCTGTCTGGGGGAAGAAGGCTGCAGGGACGTGGGTTGTACATCATCTCCAGTCATTAGAACTTTACTTCATTGCTGAGCAAGAATACCATGAAAGACTGATGTCAAGTTACAATGGAATACTAAACTTCTATCACAAATCAGTTTCCATTGAAATAATATGGTGATCCTACGGTTAAATGCTTTATATTACTGTTTGACCTGACATAGCAAGAAAAGGAGTTACATTGTGTTTCTCAAAGGGTAATATCCGGGAATATTTATGGCTTACTTGGTGTAATGAAAATACATGTCATCGTCCACTGTCAGTGCAGTGGAGACACTGGAATACCCCTCCATAGAGTCCTGGGGCCGTTCATCATGGGTGTCACACAGCAGAAGATGGAGGGGGAAGATGTCACGAAAACCACTCCACTGGTCAGCACGGCTAGCTGATGGTGAATAGAGCTGACCTAACACACACAGCAAGAGCACAACAGAAATAAATAAATCAGTCTTCCTGGCATGCAGTTTGTTTTCTTAATGTCACATAAATGTTGTTTAGCTTGCCGATTATGTACAGTATGTCACTGACTTTAGATAGTATCTGTCCCTCTGCAATTTCTGCAGGCCACAGGTCAGTAGACCAGCAGTTTCATTGACCTCTGAGATGTGATGTGTGGCATCTGTGGGTGAAAATTGGATTGAGTGGGACTAGGTGTAAGGTGAAATATTAAAGGAAAAAGATTCCTTAACCCTTAAAGCATGTTTTTTCTGTTATGTTAATATTATGTACTTCTTCAACTAGATCTGTGTAGCAGCCATGTTGTGGAATGCATGCATGCGATTGAATGAGCAAGTGAGTGTCTTGAGTGTGTGAGTGAGTGTAGTGAGTGAGTGTGTCTCGTCTCTGTGTCTCGTCTCTGTGTGTGTGTGTGAGAGAGAGAGAGAGAGTTCGACAATGTGATGTGTTGCTGTTGGATGGCAACACGTCGGCTGTGATGTCATCACCTGCATGATCTCTGCATGGTTCTTTCTGTCTGACTTTCCGCCACTGGAACAAACACAAGGTAATACTTCAGTTTAGATGAACACAGACAAAATGCTACGTATAGAAGATTCAATGTCACAAATACCTTTGATGTATTCATTTTGGACACATTTGTACTATATTTAATAACAACCATATTTCTCTTTTCCTGTCATAACTTTATGATTTGTCCTAGTGTACTGAGGTCAGTTTTTGTTATGCATGTATGTAACTTATAACATGAATGTAATATATATAACTTGCATGGCTTGACTGTTTTCATTCCATCTACACCTCACCTGGGTTTTTTAAATACTAATATCAAGAATTTGTTACAAAGGTTGCCCACACTGCATTGGTTGGAGGGCTTATGGGAGATTCATTTGAACACTTTTTACCACTTTTTTGCCCCAACGACATATTGGTAGAATTAGCTGGAGAAGCATCCTCCATATCTGTAGGGCTAGCATTTCGGTAAACATACATTAACCCTGGATTCATTCACATGGTTCTCGCGATTTCAAATTACCTGGCCTTAATTTTCATTAGTCAGTTTGATTTGCTACGCCGCTCAGTCTAAGGGACCAATCAGGATGCGTGTTACAAACAAGCCTCAATGCTGGGTTTGTGATATATACAACATGGAGGCCAGTCCCATTTATTGAGATAGAATTTGCTAGAAATTCTACATTGACTCGCAAAAGAAAGCATCAGAAAAAAACCTGTTTGATCCAAAGGTTGTCTTCATGTCCATTAAACTGGTGGTGGCAAAGTCCTCCCTTGCCCATTTCCTTATCTTGACGTTTGATTGGTCAGTAAAATGTTAATAATAATCAAGGGCGAGAAATTTGAGATCACGAGAACCACGAGAATTGATCCTGGGGTTAGTGTTGGGTTATCAAAATGTTAGCCCTGGAGATCTAGAGGATGCCCGGGACCATTTACTATCATAATTAACTGATCAACAAAACAAAAGTGTAGCCTCCAATCAAAGTGGTGTGAGCAGTGTGATGGAGCCCAGGCGTGGTAGTCACTGTCACCATGTTCCTCTGTTTCAGATTACCTGTGAGGAGTTTGACAACTACTACGCTGGTGTCAGTGCGTCTATTGACAGTGATGTGTACTTTGATCTGATGATGAGGCAAGCTTGGAAACTGACAACATAGTCAGATGACCTTCACCTTCATGGTAGCTCTCACAAGACCTCAAACAACAATTGTGTCCCGAATTATTTGTAACCCAGGTATTGGGAGCTAGTGACAGTTACCTGACTCCAGTCCTTCAGTGGAAATTGTTACATACCTGCCCTGTATTCCATCACAAATGTTGTGAGATTGAACAGCATTATGATGTTTTAAAACTTGTGTTCTTGCCAAGTTATGATTGCTTCTTAGTATCTGGCAATGAGGCAACAGCGCTGACAACCACCTGTCCAGTGTCTGCATGTGTTCCACAGCGCCAGTGTGCCTTCTCTTACTTCCACTTATGCATGTAATGGATATTGTGGCCTGACCAGTTTTATTACGTTTTAAAGATGTTCTTGGCAGGGTCCAGGAACAGTCATATAGAACAAGTAATGATGATTTTTTTACACTTTATCACAGCTGGCTTCTTGTCCAAATTTTAGATATTAATGAAGTAGAAGAAAATGCACTTTTGCTTTTTTAAAGTAACGCTTCTGAAAAACCCTCTTGAAACATTAATTTAAACTACCACTTGACTACTGGTTGACATTTTAGGATTTTAAATATGACTATTTTGAATTGAAATTTGTATTTGCTTTAGGAATAAAACCTTGGTTATCCCTATCAGTATTCATGACATGATGTCCTGATGCACACCTGGTCAACCATATGCACCCCAACATCACCCATAACATAAATGTAAGAGTAAACCTCCATACTATTCATGAATTTTTACAGAAGTATAACACATAGTTTCTCTTAATTCTGTCTTCCCTCATATATTTTGACTGAATGTTTACACATATCACTATCAGTGGAATATAGATAGCCTCTTTTTATTTGATCATGTTTATATAGTGGCTTTCTATAACACTTATTATACCATAGACTTCTATGGAGGTCTTCCTTGAAGGCTGACGTTTGCTGCCCATACTTTCAACCACTGATTGGTCTGCTTCAGACTCAGTAACACTGAGCGAATGTTATTTTAAGCTGCCACCCCAAAAATATTCCAGGTTTGTTAAATTGGTGTTGACAAGCCAGACTGAATAAAAAACAAGCCATGACAGGTCCCACACTTGAACTACACAGGACCTATACCATGTAAGTCTCATGACAAGCTTGGAGAACTGGGGATCTGGAGACAAGGCCATGACAGGTCCCACACTTGAACTACACAGGACCTATACCATGTAAGTCTCATGACAAGCTTGGAGAACTGGGGATCTGGAGACAAGGCCATGACAGGTCCCACACTTGAACTACACAGGACCTATACCATGTAAGTCTCATGACAAGCTTGGAGAACTGGGGATCTGGAGACAAGGCCATGACAGGTCCCACATTTGAACTACACAGGACCTATACCATGTAAGTCTCATGACAAGCTTGGAGAACTGGGGATCTGGAGACAAGGCCATGACAGGTCCCACACTTGAACTACACAGGACCTATACCATGTAAGTCTCATAACAAGCTTGGAGAACTGGGGATCTGGAGACAAGGCCTTGACAGGTCACACACTTGAACTACACAGGACCTATACCATGTAAGTCTCATGACAAGCTTGGAGAACTGGGGATCTGGAGACAAGGCCTTGACAGGTCCCACACTTGAACTACACAGGACCTATACCATGTAAGTCTCATGACAAGCTTGGAGAACTGGGGATCTGGAGACAAGGCCATGACAGGTCCCACATTTGAACTACACAGGACCTATACCATCTTGGTCTCATGACAAGCTTGGAGAACTGGGGATCTGGAGACAAGGCCATGACAGGTCCCACATTTGAACTACACAGGACCTATACCATCTGGGTCTCATGACAAGCTTGGAGAACTGGGGATCTGGAGACAAGGCCATGACAGGTCCCACATTTGAACTACACAGGACCTATACCATCTGGGTCTCATGACAAGCTTGGAGAACTGGGGATCTGCCCTCAGGAGACAAGGCCATGACAGGTCCCACACTTGAACTACACATGACCTATACCATCTGGGTCTCATGACAAGCTTGGAGAACTGGGGATCTGGAGACAAGGCCTTGACAGGTCCCACATTTGAACTACACAGGACCTATACCATCTGGGTCTCATGACAAGCTTGGAGAACTGGGGATCTGGAGTCAAGGCCTTGACAGGTCCCACATTTGAACTACACAGGACCTATACCATCTGGGTCTCATGACAAGCTTGGAGAACTGGGGATCTGGAGACAAGGCCATGATGTGGGAATATCTGAAGTTTTGAGCCCGGTATATCTAGAATGTTTTATACTTAGGTCTAACATATAATGGTAATTTTTATTGCATCATATGAATCATACTCTGTTATCCATAAAATAAACTGCTTGACAAGTCACACTGTATTAAAGACCTGAGTTCTATGTGTGCCTAGTTGTGTTTGTTGGTCGTGTGACCCTCCTCACTTGTAGAAAAATACAATCATATCATGATTATTTATTATACCATTACCCGTGAGATATGGGATTTATTTCACTGATAGACTAGAGACCTATGATAAACTGACATCGTCACCCAGGTTAGAAGTTGTCCCAAGCAGCCTATACTGGTCGTAAGAGACAGCTAAACAGATAGGGTGGTCTGTTTGGTGCCTTAGTTGATGTTGTGTCATCATACTCTGATGTACAGGTTGACGTCATATAGCTGAAATATTGTTCTGTGCAGCATTATACACAAAACACACACGTTCAAATGGTGATATTATATTTCGTCACTTTTCCAAGTTCAAGGCATTGTCAGCTTGAAAATACCCCTTGATGTTGGTTAAAGACACTTGGCATTAGCTAGTACACAGTTGTCTGCCTGTTAGTGTGTTCCTAAACAGTCGAAACAAGGATTCCTGAGCCATAACAACTACTGTAGATTTTTGTGGGACTAAACACTCCAGCACATTAGTAATATTTGCTACTTCAGTTTGGTTGCATCAAATAAGTTGTTCTATCTTATATGTGAACCCTGATGTAAATTGTATGATACAAGTCTCAACTTGTATCAGTTTAGCACTAAGTTTAAATAGTAGCTAGTCAGTGGTGTACATAGCGTTGTCAGGGCAAGCTAGTCAGTGGCGTACATAGAGTTGTCAGGGCAAGCTAGTCAGTGGTTTACATAGTTGTCAGGGCAAGCTAGTCAGTGATGTACACAGCGTTGTCAGGGCAAGCTGGTCAGGTGTACATAGCGTTGTCAGGGCAAGCTAGTCAGCGGTGTTCATGGAGTTGTCAGGGCAAGCTAGTCAGGTGTACATAGAGTTGTCAGGGCAAGCTAGTCAGCGTTGTCAGGGCAAGCTAGTCAGCGGTGTACATAGAGTTGTCAGGGCAAGCTAGTCAGGTGTACATAGAGTTGTCAGGGCAAGCTAGTCAGCGTTGTCAGGGCAAGCTAGTCAGCGTTGTCAGGGCAAGCTAGTCAGGTGTACATAGAGTTGTCAGGGCAAGCTTGTCGGTGGATAAATCATCTTGTAGATTCCTTAACAACATGTTTCTCAGGCATTATTCCAGTTCTCGTCTGTCACAGAATTCAATCAGCCATGCACCAACTGACCTATCTGACAGTGGTCAGTGTGGTAGACAACAGTGCATGCCAACAGTACACACTGCCCAGTCTGCCCTTGACCATGCTGTGACGGCTGTGGAAACATTCAAATTTTTCTTTCCTGAAAGCTTTGCCCTGATTTGTTTATAGCAAAGTTATGATATTTTTTCAGGTAATCATATATTCTTTGGAAGCACAGATAAAGTTCTTTTGCAAAAAGGGGGAGATGCACGTTACAACATTATTGTACATAATTTGGAAGACAATGTGCATTTGTTAGCCCCAAATTAGTGAATTAAATGCTACTTATTTTAAAAAAATCTCACAAAAGGATTGTCAGCTGTTTTGTATACCTCAACATGATTTGTCTGATGTGTTGTGTTACATTATGTTAACAATATAATAGCGATGTATAAGTCCTAATAAACCAATTATTTGTTATTTGTTTGTGTACAAATACATGTGAAAAATATTCAAGGATTCTGATAATATTTCTGTCAGCATTGTCACAAAATATGCAAGTGACGGACACAATACTTGTTCAGGTCCCATGATACACAGCTCTGTGTCACGTACTTTGAAGACTGCCGGGGCTTGGCGGACCTGCATGGGCAGCTGAGAACACATTCCGTGTGCACCATTCATTGGGGACTCACAGTGGAACTACATACTACAAATAGTTCTGGTTTATTTTTGAGAAAACTGTTAGACAATATAATGCTTTTCTAAAAGTGTATCATAAATTATAGTTATGTCTGTGTAACTGTCCATTATTTTGAATGCATGCATCAGGAGTCAGGCTATGAAGCACTGCAGACACAAGCATGCAGGGACCGTTATCTGACCAGTAGTTTCTGAGCATTTGCTGGCCATGGCTGATGGCAATCAACAAGCAACTAGACGGCAGGAATGTTTGGTGTTTTGTCTGTCTAGTGGTAAATGTAGCTGAAGTAGTAAATTTGGTGAAATTTCTTTTCAAGTTTCAGACACTTTAATCAGTAGCAAAAATCTTGTGGTAACTCTCACAAACAACCGATCAGAAACTTGTAGGTGTTTGAACAGTTAAGTTCACCATAGATGTTTGTTTAGTCCTCTGCAAAATCAGTTAAGCAAAATGTTTCGAGAATTTTGCCTGGTGTTGCAAAGAATGAAAAATGTCATGTTTTGCTTACAGCGTACATGAAAACATTCATCATTGTATTGTTGTTACTGTTTGATGTACATCACCTTGAATGCTATATTTGACTGACAGTGAAGTGAGCATAAGACACTGACTTATCTCCTGTTACAGAAGGACTTCAAGGTAGGTGGAGCTGTGGCAGATAGGGCCATCAGGGGGTCGGGGACCTAGATCGGTTTTCAGTAGCAGAAACACTCCCTACCATTCTGAACTTCTGATGAACACAAATTGTGTTCTTTGTAACTGGTAATATCCTGTAATCGAGCCTTTGACACTGCTACTATGCCATATCTGGTTCCCAACAGCCTTATGCCTGCATACAGTGACGTATGTTTCACAACAGCTTCAGTCTTATGTGGAAAATGTAACTTCAGTAGCTTGGTCACCTTCATTGTTGGAGAAACAATAGAGAATATTCTGAATGCTGAGATGTCATTATTCTTTGAACATTGATGTGTACTAGTAACTTTGTTGGTTTGAAATGAAAGATATACAGTAAACTACATTTATAACGAACACCAGTGTTCGAAATACCTGCCTGCCCGACCGTCCGAGACGGGTTGATTTCAACTCGGGCTGCCAGATTTTCAAATCCCCCTGCACGACGGTCAGGTTATATTTCATATGTGAAAATATTCTAAATATTTCCCAATGATAAGCATTAATTCACATGTAAAGATGAATGATAAAATGTAACCAAAAAGAAACCCCGTTAGCTTATCCTGAGAAACATATGATTATAGTGGGCAGGCAGGTTTTGGTCAGGGCTGGCAAGTATTTCAGCTAGCCAGTCCTGTGGTCTGGCTGAAATTTTGGGGAGTTTCATACCCTGCGAACACACTTATAATGAACTTAAGTTTAGGTCCCGGCCATTTGCTGTATATATGCTTATAACTATGGTTATACAAACTAATAGTAGTGGTCCCGTTGAGTTTGTTATAACCGTAGTTTACTGTACCTAGTTTCCATGTTGTTCCTGCCAACATACACAGATTGTGTATAAGTAGAAAGACTGACACTATACAACACTGATGAAAATGAAAGTAGGAAGAATGACAACATGCATTCTTTTGTATATCAAAGACAAAATATTTCAATTACTTGATTTTAGCAGATATCAAACAATAGTTAGGCAACACTTTTTTTTACTTGCTTTACATGTTTTTTGCAGGAAGATACCTGTTGGTAGGTGAGGCACAAAAAGGCAGTCTGATTTTTTAGTTTTCTACACCACTACAGGTCGGCTGGTATAAAAAAATAAAAGGTTTAATGTGGGTGGAGAGCCTACAACACACACTGTTGTCCATCTATGCATCCTAGAAATTTCAGGAACAACAAACTCTGTTGTGACTCCAATGTTTCATACATGTCAACTTCAGTGGGTCCTTTTTGGTACAATATGCTATCAGCTTATCAGCAGGATTGAAAAAAGAGAACATTCTGACAAAAAAATCCATTACAGCAAAATTTAGTGTCCTTGGATCCGGAAAGCAATGGAAAAAAAGTGTGGCCATATTATGATGTATAATTCTTATAATTCTGCCTCTATTACATCATAACCCTGACCTTCACAGGAAATGCAACTACACATGCGGGAAAATGTTACTTCTTTCAAACCCTAACCTCGTCAACTAGATGCAGATATATTACTAATTCTATGACCGTCACTTCCAGTTCTGACATCACTTTCTGATGTCACTTCTGGTTCTGAGGTCTTCTATGGCATCACTTACGGACGATATTACATATTGCACATTTAAGCTGACATAAAAGTAGCCATTACCACCTTCTAGGTTTTATATGACATTTCCTACTGATGATACACTTGTACTTAACTTATATTTCATGTTATACCAGTACTGAGGTCTTCGATCTGTAATTGCCATGTTTATTAGTGTTATGCTCATCCCCCCACCTACCAATTTCCCAGGAAGAAAATGGGCACCACCTGGGCCACCATAACAGTTCTCTGTGAACATAGTCCCTTAAGATCAGTCTGAACTCATGCAAGTAGAAGTAAGAAAACGTATTGTGGGATTCCCTTTGGCAGCTTGCCACCATTTGTGCGATACTTTCACTTGTAGCTAGAATTCGGATGTCATGAGCTCTGCATCTTTCCCTTGTTGGTGTGGAGAGCTGTGCCTGGACAACTTGGATAGCTTCATAAATCGCTCTCACTTCCAGACAGTTGATGTGCACTTCATGTCTTGGGTAGACCATTTCCCCTGTATCGTGGCGTTGTCCATGTGAGCTCCCCATTTCTCGCCTGACACATCCATGTGGAGGTGATACAGAGGGGTGGAAATATGAGAGGTAGGCCTAGCATCACCTTATGACATAGTAGCCACTAATGTAGTTGACAGCTGAGCGTCAGTAGAAACCTCTGGATGCACCTCTGGCTCTTCATCTATTTCTGCCATGCTGTTGGAATGACTGCTCATTCTTGACATAGCTGGTCTAGGAGCGTAAAGATCTTTCATTCCAGACTGGGACATGAAAAGAATCCTGCCCAGAGGTCATGTCTTTTCTTGGGAGGATCTTGCTGCCCTTGATGGTCAGAAGGTGGCCTCTGTATCCTGGCCGCCAGGTTGATGGTTGAGTTATGGAATCTCTGGGCAGTAGACCAGGCCATCTCTTCTTTAATGGAGTACAGATTACCCTTCTATAGTCGTGGCTATAGCCTGACTCAGCTTGACTTGTGTATGGTTTGTGTATATCTTGATTAAGATCTTTCCTCTTGCTGAGAAATTGGAGTTTTTGAGCTGTAAAATCTCTTGAGTTACAGATAGATTCTAGACATTGATCAATTAGTTTGGACACTGATGAGAAAGCATTTATGTTAAGGGAACTTTGGGGGCTCTGAGATTTCTTTCAACCCTAGAGATAACCCTATCCCGACAGGCTTGGAGAAATATTGGTGGTCCCAAGACCAGAAAGGTACATGTGCTTCTTTGATAATAAAAGATGTGGGAAGGGCAACAAGATCCTACCTCTCTGGGGGAGACGGCATCCCCTTGTGACACCAACTTGTCACCCATGTGTCTCGAGGAGTATGAACTCTTCTTGCATGCTTGACATCTTGGGTGCTGCAACCTGTGCACAGCCGGCCGGCGATGGAGGAAGGTCCATCTCCCACAATATGTCTCTAAAACTATCTACCTACAAGATCAATCTTCATTATTATACTCCCTTAAATTGTCAATCTGCTGTCAGCTTGTTTGTACTTGTGTATAAGATGATCTAAAAAAGTTCCAGTGTGAAATAACAAAATGCAAAAGTGATCAGATGTGATAAAATAATATTTGATGTTTACATCTGGACACAAAGGTTGGGAAAGAGGTTTAATCTCCTTGTGCATATGCAGTTGTATTTCCTGCAAAGGATAGGGTTTTCCTCACAACTATTAGACATGTTATAACGCGATTGACAGTCAAAACAGGTTATTCAAAGGAATTATACATATCCAAATTTTAATGTTTTTAATTTTGCCACATTGCTTTCAGTGTTCGCCAGTGGAGTCGTTATCAGGCCAGAGCTTCCAGCACTAATTCTTGTTACTTGTTTTAGTGAGTGTATCACCCAGCTGCAGAGTGCCAGCCTGGCCTTGTGTCATATTGTGTCTAGTTTTGTGTTGATCCTAGAGGTGTTTCATTGATGATGTTGCTGGTTCCACTCTGCACATACATACATTCTCTTTGCACCAAACATGCACATTAGCAGAAACCGCACTGGTTTTTACAAAAATAATGACCTTAAATGCAAGGACAAACAAGATCATTACCTTCCTTTTAGACATACTTGACTTCACGGGATATTGACCACATCTCAAATGGTCAGTGGGCAGAAAGAACAAACTGTCTTGGAAGCTAAATCCACGGGCTATCCAAGTCCATGCAGAGAGCTTAAACACTTTATGTGCCTCAGTGTTATCTTGTGTTAATTAACTGTTTCAAGTACTTACCATTGTGAATTAATGTGATACTGCTGTTGGCTGTTATCTCACTGTCCACGTGATAAATACACTAGATGTAACCAACTTAACAAACATTGCAAGAGTTGGGATTCAATTATTTCTGACATACCTTCTAGCATGTCCATAGTGAAATCCTTATTGCATAACAGCTTGAAATAAACTACATCAAGTACATAGAAAATCCCATCTTACATATGTCCTGGAAATGCAGAGAACGTCAGTGCCTGGATCCGCTGTTGACCATGTCTTGCTGTCTTGCTCAAGATGTAGGTCTGTGATGTATTTTGCACATACCTGCAAGTATACTTCATTCTCTTGTCGGTCTTGGCACCAGATGCCCTCACACTGACAAATTTTCACTCATGTCTAAGGCTCTTATTGCCACTTCAAAAATTACAGGGACAAGTCAGCAGACGGAAAACACGACTGCAGTCATTTACCTGGTGGGGTCATTTAAAAAAAAAGAAATGGCCTGGTGGTTGGAAACAGCAATGACGTATAGTCCAATAAACCTGATGGCAGTTTTATGCTGCATGAATCTTGTTGAGAATGTCCACATACTGCCCTATAAATCTCACCAGCCACTGTCAACACCTGCTTCAGCTTCCTCCTAAGCTGCACTAGTGTGTGTCTGGAGGAATACAACACCTGCAATAAGGGTCATAAAGACAAACCCACTATTCATGATTTGAAAATGCTAAATTATGTCCCCAAGTCTACATGTCCAATGTAACTGACAGCCTGTTCTCCGACACCATCTACAGATGAACCTTGTGCTGCCTCCTCATGCTTGGGGTTGTCATGAAGATATAGAAAATACAGCCATGGAAAATAAGCTGTACCTCTTGACTCCCCATAAAACCTTCACAGTAACAGAAACATAAATAATGTGTTTATACCTCTGTAGAGTATTTCCCTGTCTGTGGGTGATCACTCATGTTGCTGCAGATAAGAGAGCAGCCTGCCTGCCCACCCGCCCTAAACCTGACCTATCTAGAGACTGCACAACAGTAAGAGTAACTGTAGCAATAAACATCTAGTGATGTCATCCTATTGTTTTTACAGGGCCTTTGTTTCATAGAATAACATCTCAGGAGGGACTTTCTCCAGAATAACCTCTGGCCCAGGGATATTCTCTGTCCCTTGCTAGATATTTATTTTGCATTTGAACACAATTTACATGAGGAAATGTTCAGAATGATGTAAAGTCAAACGACAAGTGCTTTCTTAAAATTTCAGTGGATTGATCTTGCAACCTTCATATATGTAGCGTAATGAGTGACTCACTAGTCTTCAGAGGCGCTGATAAACCACAATGCTTTAAAGTTTCTCTTTCAAGTACATGTGGGCCAGCAAGAGATATGTTACATCCGTCTCCCAGAGATTTCAGTGAAAGTGTTTGAAACTTAAAATTGTTCATATGTTGTTTCAGGTTCTTCTTTTGGTGTATAAGAAAGAAAAAAAACCCTCCCCTCTGGTTTTTCTTCTACACTCAACCTGTGTTAGGATATCATTTTACATTAAATTACATTATGGTAACATTGTGATCAAATAACCATTAAAATATGGAACTCTTTGATTTTGGAGATCAAGAGTGTAAAGCAACGTTCCATGCCATGGCCCAGTTTCACCAAGTGATCTAATGTCCAAGATGGTTCTAATGCTCATACTGGAAGATTGTCTTCCCACGGCTGTAGCAGTAGAACATGATAATGTTGCTTTATAGTGGTAGCCTCATGTGGGCATGTGCCAGTAAATTCAACAAAGGCTTGATCATTTGATATATCACATATATTTTGAACAAGTAACAAAACAGTTAACCATGTAGAGGATTGTAAATGAAAGAAGTGCATATTTGTATAACAACTTGATCATGTAAGGAATGATTCAGAAGGATATCTTTTGATACAAAATATATCAACAGGCACTGATTAAAGTAGGACAGTTCCTCTGATGGTGAGATTCTCAGATTCCATGTTCCATCCTCTGATTTTTTAAAACTTAACAATAAATATCAATTTTCAGGCAAATAAACAGCAGCAGATAAACATTTTTTTTGCTTGTTTCAGATACTGAAAGAAGAATTTGATAATTATTACTCTGGAGTGAGTGCGTCAATCGACAACGAAGCCTACTTTGATCTGATGATGCGCTCAGCGTATAAACTTTAACAACCTATCGTGTTGTGGAGGGAAAGCAAGGGGTGGACATTACCAAGTGGAGGCCCAAGTGTACAGACTTTATCTGTTGTGTATATTTGGATGAACTTATCGTGTCATACTGCAGCACTGTACATTCACTTTCTTACAGCAGCAACCTTGATGTTCAATGAGGATGTTTCATAAAAAGAAAACTCACTGGATCTCACATTGTTATACATATAACTTATTTAGTATGCGATGAAAGTTGGCTATCCTGATGTGTTTGTGATTGTTATACATTTCATGATGGTACAACTTTTATTTAAAGTCTGTGTTTGGTTTAGACTTGTGAGGAACAGTCCTTGCCTGCCTTGGGCAGGACATTCATCACTTCCAATAGAATACTGTGGCTGTTGTTTAATGCTGCAGGCAGCAATAGCCTAGCTATATCATGGCGTTCTGTAAATAATAAAGTCTGCACCAGTCAAACAAGTGGTGGACAGCATGAGCAAAGATCCAAGCTGTTTGTGTGTGACACACACTGTCACCATGGGGAATCCTAATTTTTGTAGGATCTCACAAACCATGGAGTCATAGCATCAACAGGATCTAAAAATGAAACTGACACAAGGGGCACTAACCCCTATGTACACAAAAGATGCTTAAGAACCTTTCAAAACCCAAAGTAATTCTGATGATAATTTTACAGTCCAAATCATGGCCCACTATTAATTATAGAGAATTACAAGTTTTCAACTAACACCCATTGCACCTTATAGGAGGGAAGGTCAAATTTGTTTTACTGAAACAGTTACAATCTGAGGGATTAAATTAGTGATTGAGGTAACCCCAGGGGAAGGGGGAAGCAAAGATATACTAGTTTGTTTCCAGAATGTATAATTTACACACATCTCTGTGTTATCTGTATGCTGTCTGTTATCCAGTGTGGAAAATGCCTGTACATATTCTTAATATACAACAATTAGCTGCTGCTTGTATTGAACCTGCTTCATCAAGGGTGTAGTGGTACACTGTCATCATTGTGCCTTGAATCTCATGTGCGACAGTACTTAGTGCCCACTCCCTAAATGCACTTGCACAGATCTTTGTTGAAAAGCAGTGATTCATAAAGAGAACAGTTGCCAGTAACACAAATAAACGAGGTACCCCTTGGATGAAATATGCCAAGTGAGCCCACGGGATGCCCCATGACAACCAGCAGGGAATTAAGCCCACTGCATTAAGAAAAGGGCATCACTAGATGTTTGTTTTTCTTTGTTTAACGCCGAACTCAGCAATATTCCAGCATATATATATGACGGCGGTCTGTATATAATCGAGTCTGGACCAGACAATCCAGTGATTGACATCACGAGCGTCAATCTACACAACTGGGATACGATGACCTGCATCAACCAAGTCCGCGAGCCTGATTACCCGATCCCGTTAGTCGCCTCTTACGACAAGCACAGTCGTTTTTTAAGACAAGCATGGGTTGCTGAAGACCATCACTAGATGTGGCTACCAGATACATGTAACTTCCTTCTTCTTAAATCATGGGCATCACTCCATGAAGTTTAATACGACTAAGTTTAGAACTTTTCTAAGGTGACGTATCACATCACCTATTATATTGCATTTTATTAATCTGTATCAAGACATTTTTTTATATGTTATTTATAGCCATGTATTACTCAGTTACACCTGCATATCTGAAAACAATTACTGATACTGTTTAACTCCTAACTTTAACTCTCATGGAGGGAAGAGAGAGATGGCTATATAATCAATGAGAAACACCAAAATGTTATCAAAAAAGTTTAATTTGTACAGCAACACATCACTTAGTGGAAATATATCATCATGATATATCTAATGACATATAGTAGGAGAAGCAGATTATGGTTATGTCGTGTAATAAAAGTATTCAACACATTTGTGTAACTTTGTTATAATGAGGATGTCACTGTTATAGCATGTAATGTTTCCATGCCAGAACGTTCAGCATATCCTACAACACTGCATTTACTCCAGTAAAGAGAATGGGATCCCTTCATCAGTTTCACACCATGGGTTACAGCACAAACACTGACTGGTCGAGTCTAGCATTGTTTCTTAAGGACCAGTAAAATAAATAAATGCTGGTCTGGTATTACTGGGACAAACAAAGTATTTTAAGTTTGTATGACTTTTGAAATCAGCGATAGATCGAGACTAAGCTCTAAGCACCACTGTCTCTAGTAGAGATCCAACAGGACCAGTAGATGGTCCTTTAGAGCAATGAGAAACTTTGGTCAGTGTCAAGCACTGCCACAGATAAAGACATGCATATTTTACTTGAGAACAAAACCAGTGCTCCATTGATGCATGTAACATGTAAGTGAAAGAGACAATGCTTCCCAAAGCCATGTAACAAATGTTGTATTATTACCTGTGGGACAGAATGACAACATTCAAAATCATGTTTAAAGTGAGATTTCAGAATGTTTAAATGACCAATTGCAAGGAACAAATGCACAAAAAATCTTAATTTTTCTAAAATACATCTTTCCACATGACAAATGTTGGCCAAAAGAAGAGTAAAAGGCTCGAATGTCAGATACTATACCAACCCCACAAAATAAGGTAACTAACGACTTGAATGACGCTATCGTTGAGGTGTACATTTATAATACTGTGGCGTTGCATCTGAACACAACATCTAATCCCAGTGACATTTCACATCATGTGATGCACACAGAGTGATTGAGTGTCTGCTTAATTTTGGAGGAAAGCCCAAAGTGATGCAGGTCTCAGACGTTTACCACTTCGGTGAAACCCACAAGCACGGGTATGGTGCTGACAAACCTAGAAACAAAATTGGGGCAAACAGGGATTCGAACCCAAAATCATAGGTTTCTGGCGTGCCCAAGGGACGCAACTCTGCACAGCGAATCGCGACGCCTTCAACGACTGGGCCGGCCGTGCCCCCTGATGCACATAGAGGCAAAAGTGTGAACAGACAAAATGGCGAATTATGGGTACGATGGAGGGGTCGTCAAACAGGTGGGGTTGCAAGGATACCTGGGCAGGGCAGGCCTAAGAAAAAGACACCCAAACAAGATCATGACACTACATTAATTGCATAATGCAATTGATTCAAATCTGCTCTTGTTATCAATAGAGAATTCTGTACAATAACAGAAAGGCGAATTTACACATATACTGTTAGAAGCACAGCCTGTAAGCAAGGTGTTCTGTGAAGGGTGTGACCCTAACAGCTTACCACAGGCAGCAAAGATTGGGGTGGGCTAAGCAACAACAGGGACAGGCTGTGTGCCACAGGTGATTTACCATGTTGACAGATGAATCAACCACAAAATGTTTTATTTTGTACATCAGCACAAGGTTTTGCCTCTTATTCACAGATGGCAGAAAATGTTGTTGGAGATGTACCAGTGAACAATTTTTAACCATAATTGGTATGGTGGCAGTAGTGTCATGGTGTGGGGCACTATCACACATAACAGGCTATTGTGAACAGACAACTTACATGCCAGCAACTGCTTTACGAAATTTTGTGTCCTGTCGTTCCATTTGCTACAATATTATCGGCAGAAACTACCGGTATGAACTGCAAGATGACAATGCCAGACCACATCATGCCCAGCCCTGATTATCTCAAACAAGCAAGCACACTGACCTTGGACTGGCCGCTGTCCCCTGACATGTCCCCAATAGAGCATCTGTGGGATGTTCTCCGGTGGAGAGTGTACGCCAGAGACCCAGCACCTGCCAACGTGGCACAGCTTGGGGTAGCTCTTCAGGCAGCCAATACCAGTTGCATCACCCCTCACTTACCAAACATGGACTGCATTCATAGGCTCAGGTGTATGATTGTATACATTGGTTCATAGACAAGTTAAGCATTTACTCATGCAACATTCTGAAATCCTACATTGTACATGTGCATCCCTGTCAAATGTCAGCCTTTGAGAAGTCCCAACCTGTCCAATTTATAGATACAGAGAACATGGCTTCCACAGCATGTATGTACTGCTGCTAATACTGTACATGGCCAACTTTATACAGTAGTATACAAGGTGATAGATACACAGCTTTTCACAGATATACAGGTTATGTACAGTAAAACACCAAGTCTTTCTAGGAGGAACTGTCCTCAATCAGGTTCACGAAGGATAATTTAGCTTCCTCATTGCGCAGATTCTTCAGGCTGTAGGTATTTCCTGGAATAAAACGTTGACGTTACATGTAGCTGTTCCTGCAAAGACCATGATAAAATCAAGCGTTACAACTGAATAAATGGCAATCTGCTAGAAATTTCTTTGTCCCCTATACATGTATTCAGTAAAAATATGCAGTGTTGAAAATTAAGCATGAAAGGGGTACTAGTGACATCCTTCATGATAAAGAGTTTTGGGGTACCTAGACCATATGGGCAAACCTCAAGGGCCCCAAGACCCCCTAAATTCTAAACAATGATATGTCATGATTAAATAATGTGTGGGTGAGGTGAGATGGGTGTAACATCATGTTCAAGATTATTACACTTTTATGGCGACATGCATGAATGTACTAGTCCGAAATAATGACGGTTTTATAGTGCTAGCCGACTGTCATACCGTGCTGCACTTCAAAAGGGACACAGTATTCTGATTCTGAGCAGACCAGTCCTTGTTTACAATCTATTTACTTTGACCATTCCGCTCTCCAGGTAGACACTCTATCAACTAGACCATGGAGGCAGTCTATTAAATGATGGAATTCACAATACATTACAAAGAACGAATGGCAATATGAAATCCCTAAGACGAATGATGGTGTGAGTTTTCTGCTTAATGTAAAGTTTTGTACTTCAACTAGCGACAACATTATGTTGCTCCAAACTGATCTCACCTCGCGGGACGAAGAACTGGTCGCCTGCCTCCAGCACAGTACTGCCCCGGTGGATGGTCACAGACAGCTTGCCATGCACAATAGTGAAGATCTGAAGCAACAGTGAACAGCTCCTGCTTTGATATGCCACAATTTACAGAATCAATAAAGTACTCAAACACAAATCAGTGGAAAGTACAAGAAAAGGCAAATATTGAAAATACCATATTTTCTTTTCATGATTCTTGGAAAAATATATGCTAAAACACAAATATATTGGTGACATTGGTGCTATTATTGGTGTGAATATCAGTTCTGAGGTTCTCACGTGACATGTCTGGGGCTAGGTGAGCTGCCAAATGAGTGTTTACCAGTGTGTTGTCTCGTAGAACCTGTGTGGGCTTTTCCCCCAGTGGAGCAATGAGCAGATGCCCAACGGTGAAGGCCGGCTGCTGTATGGCATGGCAGATGATGAAGGGGTCTCCCTCACAGGGGGGGTCTCCATCTGGGCCCACATACAGGTAGCTGTCAACTGGAGCAATGCAATCTGGAAACAATACAACCCTCCTGTCAGAACATTACAAAGATACTACTTCCAAGGACTGTATTGAGGGTCTGGGAACTTTAGTGATAAAAATCTAAATCATCTGAAATGCACATCTGAAGATGCACACAAGCTTATCATAAAGCATAAACATGTAGTTAAAAGTTAAAAACAGGGTAATAATCACTGTAAAACCACAAAAACAACTTATCATCAGTGGTGAAAACATGGGCAGCACAAATGAGAGTTTCAGATTTGAGAAGGCAAGGTGTCATGACACCATGCAGGAATCATCCATCAAAGAAATTCCAAGGGATATCCAACACATATGATGCCAATGTATGAAAATAATATACCTACAACATGCTTAAGACGAAACAAGATCTGCAGAAAAAGGCATTTTAGTAAAAATGACAAACATTTTATAAATTCACTCGGACCTTGACCTTTTACATTGATCACTCACAACCTTTCCCGATCACATCCCAAACTAAGGATGACATGTACCAAGATTCATTGCACTACAAGCTCACCTACAAGCTCCACTGACAGGGACATGACTCACCTACAGGCTCCACTGACAGGGACATGACTCACCTACAGGCTCCACTGACAGGGACATGACTCACCTACAGGCTCCACTGACAGGGAAATGGACATGGCTCACCTACAGGCTCAACAGACAGGGAAAGGGACATGACTCACCTACAGGCTCCACAGACAGGGACATGACTCACCTACAGGCTCCACTGACAGGGAAAGGGACATGATTCACCTTCAAGCTCCACTGACAGGGACATGACTCACCTACAAGTTCCACTGACAGGGAAAGGGACATGACTAACCTACAAGCTCCACTGACAGGGACATGATTTACCTACAAGCTCCACTGACAGGGAAATGGACATGACTCACCTACAAGCTCCACTGACAGGGAAATGGACATGACTCACCTACAAGCTCCACTGACAGGGACATGACTCACCTACAAGCTCCACTGACAGGAAAAGGGACATGACTCACCTACAGGCTCCACTGACAGGGACATGACTCACCTACAAGCTCCACTGACAGGGACATGATTCACCTTCAAGCTCCACTGACAGGGAAATGGACATGACTCACCTACAGGCTCAACAGACAGGGAAATGGACATGACTCACCTACAGGCTCAACAGACAGGGAAATGGACATGACTCACCTACAGGCTCCACTGACAGGGACATGACTCACCTACAGGCTCCACTGACAGGGACATGACTCACCTACAAGCTCCACTGACAGGAAAAGGGACATGACTCACCTACAGGCTCAACAGACAGGGACATGACTCACCTACAGGCTCCACTGACAGGGACATGACTCACCTACAGGCTCCACTGACAGGGACATGACTCACCTACAGGCTCCACTGACAGGGACATGATTCACCTACAGGCTCCACTGACAGGGAAAGGGACATGACTCACCTACAGGCTCAACAGACAGAGAAAGGGACATGACTCACCTACAGGCTCCACAGACAGGGACATGACTCACCTACAGGATCCACTGACAGGGACATGACTCACCTACAGGCTCCACTCACAGGAAAAGGGACATGACTCACCTACATGACAGGGAAAGGGACATGACTCACCTACAAGCTCCACTGACAGGGACATGACTCACCTACAAGCTCCACTGACAGGGACATGATTCACCTTCAAGCTCCACTGACAGGGAAATGGACATGACTCACCTACAAGCTCCACTGACAGGGACATGACTCACCTACAAGCTCCACTGACAGGGACATGAATCACCTTCAAGCTCCACTGACAGGAAAATGGACATGACTCACCTACAGGCTCAACAGACAGGGAAATGGACATGACTCACCCACAGGCTCAACAGACAGGGAAATGGACATGACTCACCTACAGGCTCCACTGACAGGGACATGACTCACCTACAGGCTCCACTGACAGGGACATGATTCACCTACAGGCTCCACTGACAGGGAAAGGGACATGACTCACCTACAGGCTCAACAGACAGGGAAAGGGACATGACTCACCTACAGGCTCCACTGACAGGGACATGATTCACCTACAGGCTCCACTGACAGGGAAAGGGACATGACTCACCTACAGGCTCCACTGACAGGGAAAGGGACATGACTCACCTACATGACAGGGAAAGGGACATGACTCACCTACAAGCTCCACTGACAGGGACATGACTCACCTACAGGCTCAACAGACAGGGAAATGGACATGACTCACCTACAAGCTCCACTGACAGGGACATGACTCACCTACAAGCTCCATTGATAGGGAAAGGGCCATGACTCACCTACAGGCTCCACTGACAGGGACATGACTCACCCACAGGCTCCACTGACAGGGACATGACTCACCCACAGGCTCCACAGACAGGGACATGACTCACCTACAAGCTCCACTGACAGGGACATGACTCACCTACAAACTCCACTGACAGGAAAAGGGACATGACTCACCTACAAGCTCCACTGACAGGAAAAGGGACATGACTCACCTACAAGTACCTCTTGTTGTGTCTCTGGGTTCATGATAGGGAAGTCAGTGCTGACCGTGTAGTCCTTGTCAGCAGAGAGATCAGTGTGTAGAGAAAGGTTTGCTTTGGCAAGTAATCTATTTCTTGATAATTTTGAACCTGTGAAAACAGAAATGTGTTATTAATAAAGCTACAAACCTTTGTTAATTTACAAAATAAGATAAGAAGATACCATTACAGGTCATTGAGTATAAGAACGTGTGAATCAAATGCTCAAAAGCAAATACTGAACTCTCAATCTACGAGGGCTGGTCAAAAAGTTCTAAGCCTGACTAACTATGGGCCATAACAAAGTGAACTAGTCAATGTAGTACATTGTTTAAGTAGTTCATTGCAAGTGTATATGGTCCGTTCAGGCTGTTTGTATATTAGTCACACCCAGTTGATTGTGATAAGGCTCCAAAAGGACACAAAAATTGAAAAGAATGAGTACCCAACAGTCATCAAGTTTTTGACTTTAGAGAAAAATACACCCCAAGAAATTCATGACCACATGTCACAAATGTATGGGGATAAGTGCCCTAGCTATCAACTGTTAACGTTGGGCAGTTATGGTTAAGGCTGGGAGAACAAGCCTTGATGATGACCCTAGGTCTGGACATCCCTCAACTTCCATCAATGAAGATGCAATAAAGGAGATAGAAAAAAACTTATACTGTCAGATTGATGTATTACCATTGCTGAACTTAAGGAAGAAGAGTCTAAGCTATTGAAACTATCCTTCATGAACATTTACAGATGAATAATATATCTGCTCATTGGGTGCCAAAGTTTCTAAATTCTGATCTTAAGAAAAAAAGAACTGACATTGCCTGAGAAAATTTAGTGCTAACTGAGGATGGTTTATGTCAAGAGGTTAGTAACGGACGATGAAACATGGGTCTACCACTATGATCCCGAGTCAAAATGTTAATCCATGGAATGGCACCATTCCACTTCTCTGGCACCAAAGAAATTCAAGTCTTCAAGATCAGTGAAGAAAGTTGTGATCCTTGTTGATTACTTAGAAAGTCAAAAGACGATTACAGGTGCCTACTATGCTGATTTGCTTCATCGCCTGAGATATTCTATCAAAGAAAAGCAGCGAGGAATAATGAGTGCTGGAGTTCTACTTTTCATGACAATGCCTCTTCTCACACCTCTTGACTTGCAAAGTCTGCAGTGCAACAATGTGGGTTCAAAGGGCTTCCTCACCCTTCATTTTCCCCAGACCTGCCACCTAAGTGATTTCCACCTGTTTCCTATACTGAAAGAACACCTTCATGGAAAGGCTATGATGACAAAGATGACCTCAAAGCTAGCCTTGAGTGGGTTTTTCAGAGTGGCTTCAGAAAACTTCTTCCTGACTGGAATTGAAAAGCTTCACTATCGATATGTTTGAAATACTGAAGTAAATATATGTGTGGCTATGAACCTGAACATAGTATTCATCATGTGTATCATGAACCTTAGGTTAAAAATGTGTCTATTATTATGCCCACTTTTAGTTTCCTTGCGCTTCATTCTGGCCCGACGCTTCTTTTGCTTTTCTGCCTCAGCAGCTAGGTATTCTGCTTCTTTTGAAGGCTGCACACCAGCAATCACAAAATTACCTGCAACATTCACAATATAATCCTCAGACTCAGCATCTTCCTTGAATGTCTTCCAAGTTCAAATTCAAGCTCTATTTTGAAAACATTATCTTCTAAATGTACAAAGACATCAAACATAGATCACAGGATGAGTAGTGGGTCAAAATACATCAGTGACCTCTATCACAAGTCAGAAAACTTTCAGATAGCTTAGCTAACAACAGTCCACATATTAACACTAAAATCCACAGAAATTGTTTCCAACAGACAGGTTAAGCTCATGGACTTGTATCCTTTGGGCTATGCTTAGGACCATACAAAAACTAAAATAATGCTTTTGAGGATATGTTAAAATGGGGTCTCACTGGATAAGGGTCATATGAAGGCCAAGGTCATAACAGGGTAAATCGAAGGCCAAGGTCATAACGTGGTAATATGATGGCCAAGGTCATTACAGGGTAATATGACGGTCAAGGTCATTACAGGCAAAGTGATGGCTATGGTCGTAACAGGGTAATTTGACGGCCAAGGTCATAACAGGGTAATAGAGTAAACATTGATACATTTATGAATGGATGTAAAATCAGAATTAATTACAATTTCAAAAGCAGTTTCATTCACTCAATGCAGCCTTTTTATACTTCTATGATGAAACTACATCACAAGTTTGGTAAGGGCCAACAGCTCTTAATCTACCATTGTATCATTTAAGTTTGATTAATAACAGTCAGAGCAAATGTAGCACTGAATGAAGACAGCCCACCTGACTTTCTTCGTTCGTAGATAACCTGTTCATTCTTAAACCACTCTATTGGCCTGAGTCGGACTCGGTTGGACCTTCTAACACCTTCAGGACCAGGGCGAGGATAGACTGAAAAGTGACACACATCTGTCGGTATGGAATCATAAACAATATATGACAGGATATAAAAACAGCAACAACTTGCCGTTGATCACTTGTCCTTTACGTGCCAAACGTGCATCAAAAATTAACTTGGCATCCTGGGGCTTATAAAGCACCCAGTGACTCTTGTCCCCAGTAACAGCTGGAATGCGCTTGTCTGATAGACATAAGTAAGAAAAAATAATCATTATTATACTCAACAATGTATAAAATCAGTACCATTATAGCCACAGACCAGTCACAACAACCAAACACTGGTTGAAGGGAGAAATATACTCCGCAATAGTGAAGGATATTGACCTGACTTTCGTATTGCAATTTATTGCAACAATTCATGTATTGCGATACGTATCACAATATTGTACATGCACTCTTTTATCTGTATTTTGTTGAGTTATCTTTGATTGTCTGATCACGTTTTCCTTTTTAAATCCAAAATGGACCCATACATCAGATTTTCCCCGTTCAAGGTCATCTACCATTTTATTAGATGTTGCTGTGGTCACAATGTATGCATAATAGACACATTATATTCAGGAATCAGTTGCTAATATCAAAAAACGCAAGATACTGGTATTTTCCAAATATATTTTGAAACATTTTCATTAGTATTTCAAATTGTGGTAGACTGGTTATACTGCACACCTCTACTCCATTATATCTTAATTTATCAGAATAAAGTCCAATGTGTGCATCTGGAGGTCTGCATTGGTATAGTCTTCTTGTTGCAGCCTCACCAGCGTGACGGTGCGCGTGTACTCACTGATCTTAGATATGGGTGGTGCTGTGATGGGATCAGGTGTTGCAGTGTTGGTCATTTCAAAAATATGGACAGGAGAGCCAGTGACATCACTCCAGTCTGGCGCTGAGATTTGGCAATTTGGTGTATGACCTATCATAAGTTCATGGTCTGACCCTGTAGAATCTGTAAAGAAAGGCACAGGATCTATTAGAACAAATGTTAGAGACCAGGGTGCCGTTGTACAAAGCGATCTTAGCGCTTAGGTGATCTTAACTCCCATACCTTAACATAGACTTACGACAGTCGTAGTGCTAAGGTTGTTTTGTGCAACGGCACCAAGAGCATTAGGCACCGGGCTACCCTTAATTCAGTTACATAAAATAGGTGAGGATATGCTAAACATGCTCATAGTATTTCAGTATTAAAACACCTCAATATTTGCTCATTTTCCAAACGTATTTGATAACTGACCTTTTGCTTGTTGGTGACCATGATTTCATAAACATGTCAAGTGGAGACATCGTCCTTCTCAAGTATGACTAGTTTGGTAACTAACTGGTTATAATAATAATCCTACTCCAATCTAGATATTTTATATATTTGTATACTTATCTTGCATTACCCATTAATGCATTTATGGCTTACTTTTGACAGAAACGAAGCTGTGATTGGTCCAGCTGATGAGAAAAAATTTGCTCCAACCACAGAAGTAGGGACCCAAGTACCATCTGCCTTGTGATACCGGAAGTGGTCACATCACAGAATCTTCATATTACTGCGGGTCACACATAATATGTCTGAATATATCGCAGGGAGGCAAGTCTGTGAGGGGTGGGCCCTTAGACTTAGTAATGCAGGAAAGGTCTACAAATATACAAAATATCTCGAATTTACTAGATTTTTTAACTTATCCTGCATTACTCTTTAATGCATCTGTATGCAACAGTATGGAGGTGGGGATACCTTATGATGTGTACTCAGTGAACACTCCCACAACAATGGAGCTGTACAGCGCATCTCTTCCCGCAGATCAGTAACTTATCAACCAATCCTGTGTGCGGAAAGGTAACGAGAGTATGATGAAACAAACAGTAATAAACAATAGTGTGCACTAGGGTCTAGAAACTGGATTACCAAGCCACTGCTTGGTAGCAGAATAACGCGAGTAATTAGCACTTCGCGAGTCGGGTAAAGCTGGTTCTAGACAGGAGTAGTTTTCTTATGGCGTCATGGATTGTTAACGTGTTGGGCTATGACCAGAGGGCCCAAACTGCAACTTCCTCAACATCTTCTAAGGCCACGTCCCTCAGGCAGTGGCTGGCAAACAATGAGTTCACCCGGATCTCATGAGGGTTGTTTCTCTTGGTGGATTGAGGTACGCAATCTTGTATGCCTGAAGGATGATGGCATGCAACCATAAAGATAGAGTATTGCGGCTGACTTCGGTTCTCCTAGGGGTAGTCAAGTGACTCAACTACGAGGAGTTTGATAGGTAGTGCTCAGAACTGAGGATAGAAGAACAGCTACTGGAAAGTTGCTTGGACCATGGCACCTTGGAGGGTTGCCTGGACCAAACCAAATCCTGTGACGTAATCTGTGACGAGGATGGGGATCCCAAACCAACCATGGGCGCGGCCACCGACGTAGAGGGGATTGAGACAGTCGCCAATGTCTGGTGGGCAGGAGGCGCTACAAGCACTTGAGATAGCTGTGTTAACCGGAGACGCAAGCTATACATAAGGTGCCTGAGGCACTAGTGTAGACAGGTGGTAGGCAGGCACACCTTTAAGGGGAGGAGCATACGCCTGCTGAAACATTGCCTGCGTAAAGGTCTGCATTCAGATGTCCATGTAGGGAGCCGACGGGAAGACGGCTTGTGGTGCTGCAGGGAACTCAGTTATCAACTGGCCATGATGGGTGGTCAGTGCATACGAAGAGGTGAAGCCCAGAGATGCAACCAATGTAGAGGTGTCAAATATTGCAAGGATCCCTGAGGCACCCAGAAGTGCAAGCATTGTAGAAGTGCCCAGAGGCGCTGGCAACGTTGAAGAGCCCTAAGGCACAGGCCTAGTAGAAGTGCCTGGAGGTGCATAGAGAGGTGCAACTGAAGACGTCATCAGTGTAGTTTGCCGGGCCAGAGCTGTCGATGCTGGCATAGATGCTATCATAGAGCTCTGCGCCTGGGTAGTCTGAGGCGACTGCGGGATGTCAGTGGTCCCCGGCGGAATGCATAGCGTCCAACCCAAAGTTTTGTTTTGTTTGTTTGTTTATTTCTTGTTTAATGCCGCACTCAGCAATATGACGGCGGTCTGTAAATAATCGAGTCTGGGCCAGAAAATCCCAATCCAGAGTAGTAGGTTGGGTGGTGATCACCAGGGAAGTCTGCAACGTATAGTCCTTGGTGTCCGACTTCCTCTTGGAGTGACGAGGAAATTGCTGAGCCAGGTGTTTGGACACACACCTGCTGATATCTGCTAAAGCTTGAGGGAGAAAGAGGTGAACAAAAATTACCTTTAACCCTGACATACAAAGTTGAGTACAATTCAAGCACTGTGGGTGAGGATCTTTAATAGATTTTTTACCACGGCAATTACTACAACGTGCAAGCGTAAATTGAAAACAAGTTAAGTTGAAGGATGATAACCCAATTATAGAGAACAAACAAAGTTTAAATCAAAATAATGGATTAACGTTATAATATAGGAATTGTATTACACTATAAAGAATAGCGGGTTAGAGTGTAAGCAACTAGCATAAATTAAAATGAAGTTGCAATGAGTACGATACCCAATTATAGAGAACAAAGTTAAATTTCAGAATAAAGGATATATATTACTATAAGATGTGTATTACACTATAAAGGTATTTACATGCAATGCTAATACCATGCCAGCACTGAAATACAGGACATGTGCCTCGAAAACACGAGAGAACAACTGCAAAATGGTAGAATCGAACAACAACATGTCACAATTTGCAACAAACTGTCACCTTCACAACCCAATATAAATATTATTGCATAAAAACAATGACAAAACCAAGAGACCACTCGTTGCAAGGAGGTCTATACTTTTGTTGGATCCAAATAGCTGGAGACCATTTTATTGGCACGACTTGTGTCCGGTGACCAGCAGTAATATGAAGATTCCGTGATGTCACCACTTCTGGTATGACATGGCAGCTGGTGAGTTGGGACCAGCTTTTCTGGTTAGAACAACTTTTCTCTCATCAGCTGGACCCATCACAGCTATGTTTCTGTCAAATGTAAGCAGTTAATGTATGATAAGTGTAAAAATTCAAGATATTGGATTCATAAGTGCAATGTCATAAATAACCTTGACCTTCAGTCAGTCTGATGCCAGATGATCTATACATATGCAGGAGCTGCCTGTAGTATGAACAGCTGTTTCAGTGAGCATGTGGTAAACAAAATTGGAGATCAAACTCATTTCACACACCTTATGTGAGACAACTGCCATGGTGGCCATTTTAATTTTTTACAAAGCTACAACCATGCTTCATTATTGTGGATGCCATCAACAATTCTCTGAACATTTGAAAGCAGGAGTTGAGGTTGGAGTTAAGATTTATTTTAGTCTCAGTTGGGTTGTGGTGGCCATTGTGACTTCGTCATGTAAATTTAGGACTTGTCATGGGAAGATGATACTAACATATGGTTGGTAGTCTTGAAGAGGAAGTGTTTTGTTTTCAGTTTGGTTGGTTGGTTGGTTGGTTTGTTGTTTAAAGCCGCACTCAGCAATATTCAAGCTATATGACGGCGGTCTGTAAATAATCGAGTCTGGACCAGACAATCCAGTGATTAATATCATAAGCATCGATCCACGCAATTGGGATCGATGACATGCATCAACCAAGTCAGCTAGCCTGACCACCCGATCCCGTTAGTCGCCTTTTACGACAAGCATGGTCACCTTTTACGGCAAGCTGAAGACATATTCTACCCCGGAATCTTCACGGGTCTTTTGCGTTCAGTAGATTGACATGTGGACAACATTATGACAAACCTGAGTAGCTGACACTGGCTTTTTCCACTATAACCTACCTGAGGAGTTGACACTGGCTTTCTCCACTATAACCTACCTGAGGAGTTGACACTGGCTTTTTCCACTATAACCTACCTGAGTAGCTGACACTGGCTTTCTCCACTATAACCTACCTGAGGAGTTGACACTGGCTTTCTCCACTATGACCTACCTGAGTAGCTGACACTGGCTTTCTCCACTATAACCTACCTGAGGAGTTGACACTGGCTTTCTCCACTATGACCTACCTGAGTAGCTGACACTGGCTTTCTCCACTATGACCTACCTGAGTAGCTGACACTGGCTTTCTCCACTATAACCTACCTGAGGAGTTGACACTGGCTTTCTCCACTATGACCTACCTGAGGAGGTGACACTGGCTTTCTCCACTGTAACCTACCTGAGGAGTTGACACTGGCTTTCTCCACTATGACCTACCTGAGTAGGTGACACTGGCTTTCTCCACTATGACCTACCTGAGGAGTTGACCCTGGCTTTCTCCACTATGACCTACCTGAGTAGGTGACACTGGCTTTCTCCACTATGACCTACCTGAGGAGTTGACACTGGCTTTCTCCACTATAACCTACCTGAGTAGCTGACACTGGCTTTCTCCACTATGACCTACCTGAGTAGCTGACACTGGCTTTCTCCACTATGACCTACCTGAGTAGCTGACACTGGCTTTCTCCACTATGACCTACCTGAGTAGGTGACATTAGCTTTCTCCACTATGACCTACCTGAGTAGCTGACACTAGCTTTCTCCACTATGACCTACCTGAGTAGCTGACACTGGCTTTCTCCACTATAACCTACCTGAGGAGTTTACACTGGCTTTCTCCACTATGACCTACCTGAGTAGCTGACACTAGCTTTCTCCACTATGACCTACCTGAGTAGCTGACACTGGCTTTCTCCACTATAACCTACCTGAGTAGCTGACACTGGCTTTCTCCACTATAACCTACCTGAGTAGCTGACACTGGCTTTCTCCACTATGACCTACCTGAGTAGCTGACACTGGCTTTCTCCACTATAACCTACCTGAGGAGTTGACACTGGCTTTCTCCACTATGATCTACCTGAGTAGCTGACACTGGCTTTCTCCACTATGACCTACCTGAGTAGCTGACACTGGCTTTCTCCACTATGACCTACCTGAGTAGCTGACACTGGCTTTCTCCACTATGACCTACCTGAGTAGCTGACACTGGCTTTCTCCACTATGACCTACCTGAGTAGCTGACACTGGCTTTCTCCACTATGACCTACCTGAGTAGGTGACACTGGCTTTCTCCACTATGACCTACCTGAGTAGCTGACACTGGCTTTATCCACTATGACCTACCTGAGTAGCTGACACTGGCTGTCTCCACTATGGCCTACCTGAGTAGCTGACACTGGCTTTCTCCACTATGACCTACCTGAGTAGCTGACACTGGCTTTCTCCACTATGTTGCTGATGGTTACTCTTCGCTTCTTTTTCTGCACTGATGTGACATCTGAGTTTGCCAAACATGGAGTGAGATGTTTTGCTGAAGTGGAAGTTGCCACTATTTTCCCTTTCAATGAGGAATTTCTCTTCTTTGTCTGTATCCTTGTTGTTTTAGACTCTACCGCGAAAAAACCCATTTACAACTAGAACATCTTGGACTGCAGAGGCATGTAATTCATCAGACACGGGGGTACAATTAAGATTACTCATATTCCTTTTCAAGCAAAACTAGAAAAGTCTTGATGTGACACATTGGGTTATTTGGAATTCAACAAACAGATGCCAGCTAACCTCAATAACATTATTATTCCAATTTTCCCCTGAAGAAAGCTTAATGATGATAGAATGTTCATGTTTGACCTGTTGCCCATAAAGTGTGAATTGTCGCTGGTGCTGTCAACTATTAGTTTGTCTGGCCACCGTGACATAACTGGAATATACTTTGGAGTAAACCAACATTTACTCCTGGAATACATGCTCTCCATGATTTTAATGAGACTGTTCAGCTACAAACACCCACGTTTCTAACTAACTTCTTTCTGAACCCAAAATTTACTTTCTCAATCACGTAAAAATCATAAACAAATGTATACCTGGTAACCTTGGCATTTGATAAGTATTAAACCAATATATGGGGCTGCAGGAAAAATAGCTAATGTTGTTAACCTACCACTTTGAGGAGAAAACTGTTCAGGACAGGACAGGTTCATACTGCTTTGCTCGCTGTCTCTGATACTTGTTCTTCTCCTCTGGCGGAATGACACCCCACTTTTGGGAGTCTCACCAGGAACAGTTAGGTTGAGATGAGATAACCGACTCACGGAGGCTGGAAAATAAACAGTACAAATGTTGTCACAGTCTGAGTGAGTTTCATGGGTAAATAAACAGTATTTCAGTTGAGATCATGCCATGTCCAGTTTCATGGGTAAATAAACAGTATTTCAGTTGAGATCATGTCATGTCCAGTTTCATGGGTAAATAAACAGTATTTCAGATGTGATCATGCCACGTCCAGTTTCATGGGGAAATAAACAGTATTTCATTTGAGATCATGCCATGTCCAGTTTCATGGGGAAATAAACAGTATTTCAGTTGAGATCATGTCATGTCCAGTTAAATGGGTAAATAAACAGTATTTCAGTTGAGACCATGTCATGTCCAGTTTCATGGGGAAATAAACTGTATTTCAGTTGAGACCATGTCATGTCCAATTTCATGAGGAAATAAACAGTATTTCAGTTTAGATCATGCCATTTCCAGTTTTATGGGGAAGTAAACAGTATTTCAGTTGAGACCATGTCATGTCCAGTTTCATGGGTAAATAAACAGTATTTCAGTTAAGATCATGCCATGTCCACTTTCATGGGTAAATAAACAGTATTTCACATGACAACATGCCATGTCCACTTTCACGTGTAAAGTAACAGTATTTCAGTTGAGACCATGTCATGTCCACTTTCATGGGTAAATAAACAGTATTTCAGTTGAGATCATGCCATTTCCAGTTTCATGGGGAAATAAACAGTATTTCAGTTGAGATCATGCCACGTTCAGTTTCATGGGTAAATAGACAGTATTTCAGTTGAGACCATGTCATGTCCAGTTTTATGGGTAAATAAACAGTATTTCAGTTGAGATCATGTCATGTCCAGTTTCATGGGTAAATAAACAGTATTTCAGTTGAGATCATGCCATGTTCAGAAGATCTTGCTTGAAGAAGTTGTTTCAACCAGCTGAGGGGCCAACCCTATCACACAGCTCCCAAATGACCTGGGAAGTGACATCACGGATCATCACATTACTGCCAAGACCGGAACATCGGAAGGCATTGAGGGTATGCCGTAATGCACAGGATAAGTATACAAATATAAATAATATCTTGGAGATTTTTTACTTATCCTGCATTACTCCTTCATGCATCTTTAGGCATACCTTCAGAAGTGGACTTTCATCTCAGAACTCTGATTCCTTCAGCCAATCATCGACTGTGCGGTCAGTCGCAATTGACCAGTCTGTAGACGGGAAAACAGGAGTTATGTATGCAGAGACCCCAGGTACAATGCAGCCAAAGACGATAAACAAGTTAAGGTTGTAGACTGATGTACCGAGCTGTAGTGCGTGGAGCATTAAACCTTCTATTCCAGGGCAATTGCCGGCGAGGTTGAGAGGCCGGCTCTCGACAGGAGGCGGCCTCAGCGGTGTCTAGTAGTGGTGACCTGCTGGGCCACAACAAACGGACCAAAGCTGTGCATGCCTTGCATGTCCTCCATGCAGGTAGTGACTGACAAAGACTGTGTCAGATCACCAGTAGCAGCCTTCCATGATGGTGTGTATGGAACAGTTACTGTGTAGCACCATGATGGAGGCGACTGCCCAGATCTCATGCGGGTTGTTGGAGCTTGGGGGGTCCAATCCCTGGGACTCGTAGGACTGGAGGATGATGGCTTGAAGCCAGAGGGCGATGGTGATGCGTCTGACTTCCACTTAAGAGGTCGCTGACACCGGACAAAAAGGTGACATTGTCTGCTGTGTTCCTCGGACCGACGAATGTAACAACGCAATGCTCTAACCGGGCATAGGAGGAGCTCTTGTTCATCATCCGAACCAGGCCCTCGCCAGCCTCCAGGACGTGACCAAAGTCAGATCGAGGCACTGCGTTGACTTGATCTTTTGGATTATCGAGGGAAGGAGAACAGGCAATGGGAAAGCGTACTCTGTTAGTCCTTCCCAGGGGATGCCGAAGGTGTCGACCGCCCAGGTTAGGGGATCCGGTACCGTGACTAGTATGTCGGTATCTGATGATTTTGGGTGATGGCTAAAAGATTGATGTTGGGGCAACCGTGGTCCTGACAAGCAAGAGCGAAGGCGTCTGGGTGGAACTTCCACTCTGTTGGAGCAACTTTGTCTGGTCAGGATAGAGCGCCGCCAGGATGTTGCGAGTCCGGAATGTGTAGGACCTGGATTTGGATCCCCAGATAATCCACTAGGTTGAAGAAGCAGAACGTCTGTTGAAGGAGGGAGGGTGAGTAAGTTGTTTCCTGGTTCCGGAGGCACCAGACGACGGTTATGTTGCCTGTTGAAATGGAAAGTCGGGCATGTTGGAGGGTCTGCCAACAGGATAAGACAGAGAGAGAGAATAAGGGCCTCCGGTTAGAGGTTGTTGATGTGCCACTGGAACTGATCGGCAGACCACAGCTCCAAGGTGAACTGTCCCTCTAGGTGTGCGCCCCATCCCTGTAGGAAGGTGTCCACGAATGGCTGTAACGAGGTCGTAAGCCTAGTCAAGGAGATGCCGTCTAAGACGTTCGATTCCACCATCTACCACCAGAGATGAGGTTTGAGGTTATCCGGGAGGACAATGGAGATCGAGGGATCTTGATGCCTGAAAATCTGGAACATCTGGACTGAGTCTTTCTCTGTACGTCAAGTTCTGTGCTGAGGTTAGAAGGCCCAGGAGGACTTGCCACTGACATTGTGTGTGGCTGGTGGAGAGCCGGGACCAAGTGTAGTTGTATATGCATCCACCGGTCCCTGGGTACAGAGAGAAGGTTTAGGTCAGTCTGAAAAAGACAGCCGATGAACTAAAAGGCGGAATGAGGGTGTCAACTCTGACTTCCTGAGGTTGATTTAAATCCCAGTTGGAGGAGATGAAGGGTGAAGTCCCTGTGACGAAGTAGAGTGACGGTGTCCAAGTGATTCAGGAAGCAGTCGTCTATGTAGCCCTCGAACTGAATATCCTGCAGATGGAGGTACGAAGCGTGTGAATAGCTATGGGGCCAAAGGAATTCCGAATTCGAGGACAGCCCATTGGTAATGGAGTTTCACTTGATGTCCTTCCGATTGCCACTCCCTCCCTTGGAGTGGCCACAGCGGGACTGGTATGATCCTGAGGACTTGCCACTGCCTCTGCTTCGAAAATTGTAGGAGGAGCCCTGACCTCAGGGCTGAAGCGAGTTGCATCTGGGCTGGTAGGAGCCAGACTGGGACAGCATGAAAGAGGCAGGCTGTGAAACTATAGCCAGGGCCTTGAGGACACCTCATCTTGAAACGGGCAAAGGCTGAAACTTGGGCATGATTCTTCGAGACTTGACTGTTAAAGAGGGCTGGATAGGACCAGGGTTGATGAAGGTCACTTGAATTCTGGGTCCCAATCGGACAAAGCTAGGTAGCCCAGGCGACACGTGGTCGTGAGTTCCACCAGTGCAGCTCGCATGTGAGAATGCATGTGCTCCATCTGTCGCTGAAGTTAATACAGGACGGTGGTGAGGTGGTCTGTGGATTGTCTTCCGACGGGTCCTGGATAATAGCCTTGGAGGTCAATGCCATGAGGGAGAGGGGCTTGAGACAGCGAAGAGTTTCAGTTTCCACGTTGGCGAGTTTAGTGTCTGAGACTTGCACAGAGGTTGGGCGGTTGAACCCGGTCATCTAATGAAGATCCTCCTCAAGATCAAGGGGGTGGTCCGCAAACTGGAGAGAGTGGATGGGGTAATCACTCTTCCTAAGACGTGGAGCTTTGAAGGACGGAGTCGGCAAAAGTTTGCTAAAGCTCTCATCAAGGGCCGAGATCATATCCTTGATCAGAGGGTCTGGTGGGACAGAGGTAGGGTGCACCTGAATAGAATGCCTTTTATTGACATCCTAGCCGGGGGAGGGTGCGACCACCTCGAGTCTGTCGGCCAACCAATCCTCCAACTTGTCTAACCCAAGGTGAGATTCGTGATCAGTGGGGGTACCCTCGTAACATGGGATGAAGACTCCCTTCGACGAGTTGGAGCGATACCCGCTGGAACATCAGTTGACAGGACAGCGGCTCCTAGACCGGTACTGCCACTACGACGAGTCCAGAGAGTATCGGGAGGTAACAGACTGATCCACTATCAAGGGGAGAGAGCTAAATGCCATGAATTAAATCAGAACAAGTAAAATCTTAGATATTTTTTATATTTGTATACTTATCCTGCATCACTCCTTATGCATTTACTGCTTGTTCTTGACAGAGAAAGAGCTGTGTAAAGATCTTAGGGTTAGCCACTCAGCTAGTTGAAACAAAAATTCTTCTTCAGAAAGACCTCACACAGCTCTTTCTCTCTGTCACGAACAAGCAGTAAATGCACAAAGGAGTAATGCAGGATCAGTTAAGAAATCTTCATTGTAGTGCTACTGCAACATATCCCACCAAAATATCATCTCTGTGAGCCAATTAGTTTTTCAGAAGATGGTGCATTTTCCATGACTTTTCAACATTTGAAGACTTTTTTCACTTAAATGACCAGCCAAGCAAGCAGGGAAACTCCAGTCAGTGGTAGCCATGGTACTCAATGTGCCCCAGAGCACCATCTTTATAATCTTACACAGAGTCGCAATGGGTGCGGTCACCATATGAACAATCAGGACAGGGGATTGTAATGTTACGAACATAACAGGTAACTGGTTGCCGACATATTAGGATTAGCAGTTTAATGTGGGAGAAATGTCTTAATGCATGATGTAGGTGAAACTGACAAACTAAGGATCATGATCAGATCAGCAGATCCTGGCATGACTAAGGGATATAACTGTGCACAGCAAATTGAAACAACCCCCCTCTCAAAATGCAGCTAGAGCCTGCTGTGCTGGACATAGCTGTTTACTGTCAAAACACATTACCATTGGCTACAGCTGGCACACTTTTCCTGGTCCCCTTCATAATCTCCATAGTCTTTGTCACCCGAGCCGGTTTGGACTTCTTTCCACCTGCAGCACATCATCAAAGTCAATGTAGTCAGCATTGTGTATTCAGTCGTGAAAAGAAAAGAACACAGAAATCCTTTTGGATTTGTGTTTAGCGGTTGTCAAGTAAATGGCTTTTAGGTGTCATAATTCCCTTTACTGTATCAACATATAATGCCTGTGGTCACATCTCCAGAAGGTACAAACCTCACACACAAGACTGTTGTATTGTAAGATCTGCCTGTGGTCACAGCTCCAGGAGATTCATACCTCACACACAAGACTGTTGTATTGTCAGATCTGCCTGTGGTCACACCTCCAGGAGATACATACCTCACACACAAGACTGTTGTATTGTCAGATCTGCCTGTGGTCACAGCTCCAGGAGATTCATACCTCACACACAAGACTGTTGTATTGTCAGATCTGCCTGTGGTCACAGCTCCAGGAGATACATACCTCACACACAAGACTGTTGTATTGTCAGATCTGCCTGTGGTCACAGATCCAGAAGGTACAAACCTCACACACAAGACTGTTGTATTGTCGGATCTGCCTGTGGTCACACCTCTTGCAGGAGATACCTCACACACAAGACTGTTGTATTGTCAGATCTGCCTGTGGTCACACCTCCAGGAGATACATACCTCACACGCAAGATTGTTGTATTGTCAGATCTGCCTGTGGTCACACCTCCAGGAGATACCTCACACACAAGACAGTTGTATTGTCAGATCTGCCTGTGGTCACACCTCCAGGAGATACATACCTCACACACAAGACTGTTGTATTGTCGGATCTGCCTGTGGTCACACCTCTTGCAGGAGATACCTCACACACAAGACTGTTGTATTGTCAGATCTACCTGTGGTCACACCTCCAGGAGATACATACCTCACACACAAGACTGTTGTATTGTCAGATCTGCCTGGTCACAGCTTCTGCAGGAGATACATACCTCACACACAAGACTGTTGTATTGTAAGATCTGCCTGTGGTCACACCTCCAGGAGATACATACCTCACACACAAGACTGTTGTAGTGTCAGATCTGCCTGTGGTCACAGCTCCAGGAGATACATACCTCACACACAAGACTGTTGTAGTGTCAGATCTGCCTGTGGTCACACCTCCAGGAGATACATACCTCACACACAAGACTGTTGTAGTGTCAGATCTGCCTGTGGTCACACCTCCAGGAGATACCTCACACACAATACTGTTGTACTGTCAGATCTGCCTGTGGTCACACCTCCAGGAGATACATACCTCACACACAAGATTGTTGTATTGTCAGATCTGCCTGGTCACACCTCCTGCAGGAGATACATACCTCACACACAAGACAGTTGTATTGTCAGATCTGCCTCTGGTCACAGATCCAGAAGGTACAAACCTCACACACAAGACTGTTGTATTGTCGGATCTGCCTGTGGTCACACCTCTTGCAGGAGATACCTCACACACAAGACTGTTGTATTGTCAGATCCGCCTGTGGTCACACCTCCAGGAGATACATACCTCACACACAAGACTGTTCTAGTGTCAGATCTGCCTGTGGTCACAGCTCCAGGAGATACATACCTCACACACAAGACTGTTGTATTGTCAGATCTGCCTGTGGTCACACCTACAGGAGATACCTCACACACAAGACAGTTGTATTGTCAGATCTGCCTGTGGTCACACCTACAGGAGATACATACCTCATACACAAGACTGTTGTAGTGTCAGATCTGCCTGTGGTCACACCTCCAGGAGATACCTCACACACAAGACAGTTGTATTGTCAGATCTGCCTGTGGTCACACCTCCAGGAGATACATACCTCACACACATGACAGTTGTAGTGTCAGATCTGCCTGTGGTCACACCTCCAGGAGATACATACCTCACACACACGACTGTTGTATTGTCAGATCTGCCTGTGGTCACACCTCCAGGAGATACCTCACACACAAGACTGTTATACACTCATAACACTTCAGGTATTACTAGGCGGAACAGCACTTATGACAAGACTTCAGGTACCACTTCACTCTTTCAACACCAGTCAACCTGAAGTGTTTACTGCTGTGACACCGAGATCCCAGAGACTCTTGTGTGATAGATGAAGCCAACATTTATCAAAGAAAATATCTGCTTGTAAAACATCTTTGCTACTATATGTTATACACAATTTGAAAGGTCTAATCCTATCGTTTATGTTTATCACATTATTTGAATGATGCATTTACAACTTAATGAAGTTGATAAATTAATTAAATAAAAACATGTAAGCTGACACATTCATAACGTTCACATTTAGGGCCAAGGAAGCAAAAATCCACTTACCTATTTCTTTTTTATTTTCAGTGTTTGAGTAATTGGAAAAGCATTTTTAAACGAATTATAAATAGTATCTGTCATCACCCATTTCCCGATAACAGCGGCTGTCCGCTCAGTAACATGAAGAAATAACCCCGTTTTCAAGGCTTAGTATGAATAACACGTTCGTCGAAGACTGGCATATGACACATCGCTAGCAAGCTTATTCTTTCATCTACACGCTCGTAACATCACCTGGAGTCTTTTCGTAGTTATAAAAAAATGATTTCATTGGATAAAAATTGGTTTCTAATGACGTTTTCTTACCGAAATCTGCTACAAGGTTCGTGATTGGTAAAATTTGAGCACATGACCTAAGGCAGTCAATCAAATTACATCTATACAGCAAATTTCAGATTTTGACGAAAGATTTTTTGTTAAATCCTGCTATTCTGAACATTTTAAGCAGGATATCGCGATCTATATTAAAAATATGGAGCTTCGTGGATGTATCGAGCTACGAACTGTGACAAAGATTTTCATGCATATATTTTTGCATTAAACATCATGTCCGAGCCGAGAATTCAAGGCGACAAAACCCGAGATGTCATTTGATTAACATTACACGCAATCGCACGAAAAGATGGAAATAATAACTTAGATGTAAGTTTGACAACTTTTATATATATTTTTGTTGATTTGATTTATTACTTTGTATACTATATTTAAAGATTTGCAAGAAACGTCTTCATTTTGCTCTTTGACATGTTCGATGTGGACCCGTTGTCAAAGCGTGTGTCTGAGAATTTTATTTTCAATAACATTGCGGGAAATAGGGAATAATTTTTTAATCTATCAATCATAAATGATAAGTTGAAATGGAACACGTAAACGGTAAAAAACCAACATTATTAACATAGAAATATTTTAAGCATGTTAAACTTGATAAGCAAAAATCGTTAAGGATTTTGAATCGATTCAAGAATCGGAAATTAAAAAAGATTGATGTATTTGGGATTGATTAATCGTCCCACCTCTAAATACCTCACACACAAGACTGTTGTATTGTCAGATCTGCCTGTGGTCACACCTCCAGGAGATACATACCTCACACACAAGACTGTTGTATTGTCAGATCTGCCTGTGGTCACACCTCCAGGAGATACATACCTCACACATAAGACTGTTGTAGTGTCAGATCTGCCCGGACACAGCTCCAGGAGATACATACCTCATGGAGGTACTAACCTCATACACAAGACTGTTGTATTGTCAGATATGCCAGAGTTAACAGATCCAGGAGATTCATACCTCACACACACGACTGTTGTATTGTGATATCTACCTGAGTTTGGGGCAGGTGGTTGTGGGGACTTTCTCTTCCTGGGCTTACATGACGTTGGTGTGTCTGTAAAGAGAGTGTGCTGGAGTAAGCTTTCCCCATCATCTGCCACAATGTCAGCCTCTGATACGACTGGAGATGCTGCATCTGAAGACACAATATTACAAGCCTTTGTTCAGTTGTAACATAAAGATGTCTCATGTTTCTTCAAAACTAAGCAACTGATACGAGTTGAACTATCCAATAGATGCTTCTTTGTTTAACAGGGTAGGTAACTGGTTTGTTTGCTCATTCATGATTGAGAGAGAGAGGGTATGGCTGTATGTTGCTTTTATCAATATTCTAGCAATATCACATCTTTGGTTGTTAGAAATGGGTTCAACACATTGTACCTATGTGGAGAATCAACCTGGGTTTGTGTGTGAAAAGCGAGCATTTTCACCATTAGGCTACTACGCTGACCCTATGTGCATAATTATCATGGTTTAATTATCCAATCATATGTTACCTTTTCTTGCACTTTTCTTCAATCGTTCTGTCTTTTGCCTTGCTTTCTTCTTTCCTTTCACAGTATTTTCCTCCATGACACCTTCTGCACTGTTCCTGTTCTGTTTAACACTTTTTCTTGGAGAGGTGCTCTTCTTCACAGGCTTCTTCTTCTTGAGTGGTTTGTCCTCTACCATCCAGAACTCATCTTCAGCTGAGTTCAGTTCTTCCTGCTGTCGGAGTGTGGCACTCCTGTTGAGGCTGGCTGGTCTGAGACAAAGGAAGTCAGCATTGGGATTGTCCTTGTCACCATGGTCACCGTCACCTTCCTCCTCCACAACTGACTCCAGTGAAGGAGGCTGTGTCAACCCAGACATAGCGGGAAGGCTGGCACTGAAACAAGTTTATAACTTCTTAAGAACGTTCATTAGCAAATGCTGCTTCATGCCATAGTCTACAAAATTACAGCCATATCCTAACAGTAAATAATGAAGCCTGGACAAGACAAACCAATGATATTCATAATGATAATATGCACAGCAATTCCCACTTTTGGGAGAACAGTTACATTCTATCCCCACTCTGGTAGACTCTTACGACTAGCACAGGGGAGTGGCAATATATTCTCTCAGAATCCTAATAGCGAGAGAAACATGAATTATCCTGCATTAGTACCTTAATGCTATTACTGCTGTTCTTTAACTAGGAAGACGGAATTGTGAGAGGTCCTGGCTACAAAAGATGTTGTACCAACCAGTTTTGTGGCTCACTTCCTCCCACAGCCACCATGTGACCGGAAGTGGCGAGGTCACGTATAACCACATCACAGCTAATAACGGACATCTGAAAAACTTTGCGGGGAGGTAGCAAATCAATAGGAGGGCACTTTAGACGTAGTAATGCAGGATAAGTATCTAAATGTAAAAAATATCAAGATTATACTAATTTTTTTTATCTTATCTAATGTATTTTTATCAAATGGAATGAAGGGGGGCAAACCTTTCAGATGGAAATTAGGATAGACCCTCCAACTAGTCTGGGTAACGAGATAGCATCCTGAATTGGAAAAACTGACTTTCCTGTCGATAGAACCACACAAGAGAGTAGGAGGTGTGAAGTCCAGTCATGGAGCAAGGAAAAGTAGATATGGGCGTCGGCCAAGTTCTAAATTCCAATTCAAGCAGTAGGATCATGGGAAAACATGAAACCCTCTAGGCTTGGGAAATTACTACCAGAGACGTTGCAGGGTCAGTTCTGATGTGTACAATACAAGACCGTCTGGGGTTTGTGACTTTCTGCACAACCACCAGGGGAACGAAACTATGAACACCTGGCACAGCCTCAAGAGCCACGCCTCGGCTATAATGACAATGGAACAATTGCTCTGAGGTCCTTGGTCGAAGCAATGGCTCGAATCTCATGGAGGCTATTGGCACTAGGCGGGTCCATACCGGCTAGGTCGTAAGCCTGCAGAATAATGTAGCGCAGCCATAGTGAGATTGTGTTACGACTAACTTCCGTCTGGGAAGTAGAATGAATGAATGAATTGTCATTTCCAAGATCCACGTTGTGTCTTGGATCAACGGAGGAAAACCCTCAAGGCTCAAACTGGGTACAGAAGTAGTGCATCCTCGTCCTCAGAACCTACTATTGATATGGGAGGAAGGATGAAAGATCTGTCCGGCGGTCCTAGGAGTTGATTAATAGCAATGAAGTCCCAGTACAGCCCAAGATGGACAGCAATGTGTGCTGTTCGCTCGAACCATACTCGGGAGATAAAGGGCGTGTAGCTCGCGGACTCCAGTCGCTGTAGCTAACACCAAGAGAAACACTGTCTTTTTAGTGCGATTGAAGAAAGATGACGAGTGTTGTTCAAAGGGAGGAGTATGGAGGGACTTCAATACTACGTTCAAATCCCATCCTGCGGTCGAAACTTGGCACGTTGATCCTCAAGACGAAATGACCGCAATAGTGATTGAAGTTCCAGGATCTTGGTCATTCTATGATCCGTAGGAACTGCCAACACCGAATTTAGGTCTACTAGATATGTACTTATGGTACTACCCTTGAGGTGACACTTGTTGCGGAGATAGAGAAGGCATTTTGGCCATAAACTGCGGTGACGCCGACATAGGGTCCTGTCTCTTATGCTCACAGAACGATTAAAGGAAGATGGCGCTGTATTTTGTGCCACCTGTCGCCTGGTACCAGGAGTGCTATTAGCAATGCAGCGCAAGCTGGGGGCACCGGGGGTATATTGATTAATGGTTGAAACCCTGGAGGTGCCAAGGAACGGCGCGATGAGGGTGTGGATCCTTGACTGATTTATTGCCCCGGCATTGTGACCAACGCAACATATAATTTCAAGAAAATAGACAAACATTGCAAGCAGAATAGACACACAAAGAAAGACAGGCATGTAAGTTCACAAGAGAAAATTACACTATAAAAAGTATAATTATACACTAAACAAGAGTGCTCTGAGAGCACAACATCCCCCGCATGAATCTTTGTATTTTTTGAAATAACAACAGTAGATGGCACTGCATTTGAAACAAATTGTGCAGAACATTTTGTTGGGAGTAATCCAGTCTGAATGCTAATGCCATAAGGATGTAGCTCACCCACAAAAGCCTTATACAAGGAAACTAACTATAGTTAGATATTGTGACATTTTCACAACAGAGACTAAATGACGATGTTTAATAATGGTTGTTACCTGAGGCAAAGTTGTACCTGTATCAGTTGACAAAAATGAGGATCATAAAAAAGGGTAGTAACTCTTTTAAAATAAATCAAATTTATAACGACTGCGATATGTGTATCAATAACACATGTTGTGTGTAGAGCGGCATGTGTTTAGAGTATCAGGGTTATTCCCTGAAAAATGTAGGAGTTGACATCACAAAAACAGTACCCTCTCTCACAGTTGTGCAAATCGAGCTTCATAAACCAAGGGCAGTAACTCTCTCAACATGAAAAGAAATGAAACGTGACTGTGATATGGATATATTAAAAATGTGCACATTTTAACTGTAGGAGGAGTTGATTTCACAAGCTTAGTACCTTCTCTCACAATTAGGCAAATGAAGCTCTGTAAAACAGGGGCAGCAACTCTATCAAAATTTGTCGAAATGAAACGGGACTGCGATATGCGTATCATCAACATGTCGACATCTTGTGTGTAGAGTGTCAGGGATATTCTCTAAAAGCTGGAGGAGGAGTTGATTTCACAAGCTTAGTACCTTCTCTCACAATTAGGCAAATTAAAACAGGGGCAGTAACTCTGTCAAAATTAGTCGAAATGAACGGGACTGTGTAAAGTTTCAGGGATATTCTCTGGAAACTGTAGGAGGAGTTGATTTCACAAGCTTTGTACCCTCTGTGGGACGGACAGATGGACGGACGGACTGCACCACGACATTATCCCCATTCGGCCATTCTGGCCCGGCAGGGGATAAAAAGCCCAGAATAAGGAAGTATATAGCTCATGAACATGAGCTAAGATAGACATATTGAATTATCAAAGCATGAGACATGTAAACATACAACATAGCAAAACAAGATGGCGGATAGGCGCGGGTAAGAGCCAAAGTCAGGCAACAGTTACGCTAAGGTAGGCCTGAAAAGACCACCCTAGTACACCAGGCTAATAAGCAAAAGGATAGGCAAAGGATGCTATCTGGTTCTTCAAACTAGCAGGCTTTATTCAAAAAACGTCTGTACAGTCTGTTGACTAGCAGCACTTCTGGTCACATGGTGGCTGCGGGAGGAAGTATGCCAGACAATTGGATGGTACGACAATTTCTGTAGCCAGGACCTCTCACAGCTCTGTCTTCCTAGTCAAAGAACAGCAGTAGTTTCATAAAGGTGGTGATGCAGGATAAGATAAAATTTTTTTTACCTTGTTTCAGTCTGTGACCTTCTCTCGAGGCTGTCATTCAGCAGTTTGGAGTAGGACAACCTGTGAGGTGTGGAACATAAGAGAAAAAGATTTGGTCATGGTTCTTTTCAAAACAAAGCTGTAGCTCTCCTGGTTATATAATTATCAGCTTAAAACAAGAGTCGTCAGGAAATGACATATGGTGTTTGTCTATTAATACTCCACTTTTAGTTCCTTGCCATTGGATACCTTCAATTCAGTGAAGAAAAAGAAGAAAAAAACAAATGCTTCTCAGTATTTTTCAACATTCCAACTTGTCATGAACACAGCAAGTTTCATCTACAAATAGTTGATGGTTTCGGAGTTCTGCTCAGGAAACGACTACTACCTTCATGTTCAGGAAAGTCCAACTTGTCGTCATGAAAAATAAAAATAATAAAAAAATATCCCAAATCATCAAAAGGCACCGATTCACTACTTTAATGATCTGTATAGCAAGTTTCATCTACAAATATTCAACAGTTTTGGAGTACTGCTCTGGAAATGAGCACTGACCTCATTTTCAGTAAATTCCATCTTGTCGTTGAGGAAAAAAATAAAAATATAAAATACAAATCCCAAATCATCAAAAGGCACCAGTTCACCACAAAGCTGATCTGTATAGCAAGTTTCATCTTCAAATATTTAATGCCATTTTAGTTCTGCTCAGGCTCAGTACTACCCTCATTTTTGGGAAAAGTCCAACTTGTCGGCTCACTAATGCCCCCGACCCGCCTAGTGTGTCAGTAGTTACAAATTAAATAGCTAGGATAGGGTTTGGGAAGGGTTCCCCCTAGACTCCAATATCTGAGAGTCACCTTGACTCAGCCTATGAATTTTGGGAGTCAAAAATATTTTTTGAGAGTCAAATGTTTTATTGTATGATTAATGAAATGTTCACTGTTAATGTTACACTTAAAGTTAAGTATCTTTTAAATATAATATGTCTTTAGTTTAAGTTAACAAGTGCTAATTAATGTTCTAAGCTGATTGTACTACAGAGAAATAAAGGATATAAGAATGAAGTTTGTTGGTTTTATTTTTTCACAATCTTTAATTACTTCACAGCTCATGAAACAATTTACAGTGACACTAATACAGGATGAATAAATAACATCAGTCTCAACTGTGAGACATCACTTTTAATCATGGATGGATATTAAAATACATTTCATGTCAGATTATAATTTAATACCACTAACTCATTTACATGTTTTATCTAGTTATCTTGTATTATCTATCAACAGTGAAGTTGAACTGAAGAATTGTGAACACTCGTAATATTTTCTAGTTGAATACAGTTTATTAGCAACAACAAACACGCCCAAAGCTTTACATTTCGTATATATACCATATTTATTCGTGTATAATACGCACCCCTAATTATGGGCAATTAAATCCTGAAAAAAATATCTCTCGTGTATAATACGCACAGACTTTTCTTCAGTCTCATTTCAGGCTGTCATGATCCGTCATCGGAAATAGCATAACAAATCCGAATTGAATTACGCAAGTTAATCCTGTTGTTACACTATCTGGTAATAAAAATGTGTTCCCTGTATATCTGACCTTATGCTTGTCATCTATTTTATTTATTTTATTAATTTTATTTAAAATTTCGTTCAATAATGTTTACCTAAATTTCGGCCAAAACATGTGTCCCTCCGATACTTACAACTTCCGTTTACCCCGTTCCATAAGGTTCCGCTGAACCACATACTGTGACCGCGCCAAATCACATTATTCACCGCAACAATGAAAATATTTTCTTCTGTTTCATTTTTTACGAGTCTACACATATAGATAAACATATGTCATGGTTAACAGTGGTGTTATGCGAAGTTATGTTACTTCTAAAAACGAAGATTAATTTAAAACTAGACTTAAATTTTGCATATATTGTCTTCAGAAAATGTTTATAAATTAAGTTCAGGTGAGTAGTTGTAATATTTTCATTCCAAAGCTGGTAAACAACAACATAGATATTTTGAAATTGCGTCAGTCTTTTATTTCTAGACGTATTTTTCCTTAATTGAGAGTCATATACGCAAGAATTCTGCGTCAGGGGACACCCTGGTTAGGGTTTGAAAAATTCATAAAAAAATGGAAAAGTAATAAAAACAATTTTTTTCTTTTGACTGCACCCCTCCATATGACACAGATTATATGTACTAAGTTTGAGATGAATCCACAGAATAGTTTAAGAGAAATTGCGTGGACAAAATTTTCGGACGGACGTTATGGTTTGAAAAATTCATAAAAAAATGGAAAATTAATAATAACAATTTTTTTCTTATGACTGCATCCCTCTATATGACACAGATTATATGTACTAAGTTTGAGATGAATCCACTGAACAGTTTAAGAGAAATCGCGTGGACAAAGTTTTTGGAAGGACGTTAGGGTTTGAAAAATTCTTTAAAAAAATGGCAAATTAATGAAAATAACTTTTTTCTTTTGACTGCACCCCTCCATATGACACAGATTATATGTACTAAGTTTGAGATGAATCCACTGAATAGTTTAAGAGAAATCGCGCGGACAAAGTTTTCGGACGGACGGACGGAATCTTGGTATTACTATATACCCCCGACATTTTGTCGGGGGTATAATAAAAAAATATCCCGAATCATCAAAAGGCACCAATCGACCACTTGACAGATCTGTAAAGCAAGTTTCTGCTCTGAAAACGGAAAACGGTCGGCTGACGAATGGACAGACATGCTGACAGCTGTATCATGTAAATCCCTCCATGTTTCGTTTTTGTCTTTTGTTTAACGCCGCACTCAACAATATTCCAGCTATATGACAGCTAGTGTTGGATAGTTAACAGATAGTTGAATAGTTAACAGACAGATGAATAGTTAACAGATAGTTGGATAGTTAACAGATGTAGCTGAATAGTTGGTGAGGAGTTGAATAGTTGAATAGTTAACAGATATAGTTGGATAGTTAACAGACAGTTGAATACTTAACAGATAGAGTTGAATAGTTAACAGATAGTGTTGGATAGTTAACAGATAGATGAATAGTTAACAGACAGTTGAATAATTAAAAGATAGAGTTGGATAGTTAACAGACAGATGAATAGTTAACAGATAGAGTTGGATAGTTAACAGATGTAGCTGAATAGTTGGTGAGGAGTTGAATAGTTAAATAGTTAACAGATTGAGTTGGATAGTTAACAAATAGAGTCGAATAGTTAACAGACAGTTGAATATTTAACAGATAGAGTTGGATATTTAAGAGATAGAGTTTGATAGTTAACAAATAGAGTTGAATAGTTAAAAGATGTAGCTGAATAGTTGGTGAGGAGTTGAATAGTTAACAGATTGAGTTGGATAGTTAACAAATAGAGTTGAATAGTTAACAGACAGTTGAATAGTTAAGAGATATAGCTGAATAGTTGGTGAGGAGTTGAATAGTTGAATAGTTAACAGATATAGTTGGATAGTTAACAGACAGTTGAATACTTAACAGATAGAGTTGAATAGTTAACAGATAGTGTTGGATAGTTAACAGATAGTTGAATAGTTAACAGACAGTTGAATAATTAAAAGATAGAGTTGGATAGTTAACAGATAGAGTTAAATAGTTGTAGGTGAATAGTTAGTGAGGGGTTGAATAGTTGAATAGTTAACAGATAGAGTTGGATGATTAACAGTTGAATGGTTAACAGACAGTTGCACAGATAAGGACAATGCTCTGCAATGAAAAAAATTCTATTTGACTAAATCTTGTACCTAGTGTAATGCGGGTCATATCAACACGATGAAAACTCAGGTAACATGTGTAATGTCACAAACACATTTACATGTATTTCTTGTTTGTGATGGCATCCTATATTATGTTTTCTGACGTTGCTATTTGAAAATCAATATGCTGCTGTTTCTTGTTTTGTTCATTTAGCTACAAATTATATCCATTTTAGCTATAATAGCAGTAACATTATTTTACCAAGCACTATCATTTGCAGAGGTCCTCTGGGTGTTCTAATGACCTCCTTCGTCGTGCAGTTAATGGCAGACCTTGGTCTTCTCCAAATGATAATGCCCTGAAAAATAATGTTTCCCTCATAACATAATAATCAAAGTATGACTACTATTTCTCACCTTTTCTTTGTTCTGAAGCTAAGCATCGGTGTGTGGGATGGGATAATGCTAACAGTTGCATTTGTATTCTTTGAGATTGATCCTGTCACGTCACCTCCAATGTCCAGTCCAGCTGCATTGACTGACTTCTGACCACGACCTTGTTCATTTAAGTCTGCTGGAGTTGTGTCCCCTCCATGTAAACACCCAGCCTGCTTGTTAACACGTGGCAGGTCCCCTGGGGTGTCAAAATGTTCAGATGGGGGAGCATCGTCTTTACTAAGATCCGGTGCAGTACCAGTCATACCACTCTCATCACTATCTTGGTTGGCACTATGTGTTCTAGCATTGCTTTCATCTTGTTTTTTATCTGTATAAATGGCACTAAGTGTTTGAGATATATTTTCCACCCCACTTGTTTTGACAGATCTGGTTGATTTTACAGACTTAAGTTTTACATGGGTAACAGCTCTACACTCTTCAGCATTCACTTTCTGTTCAAGTTCCTCATCGACTGAAAGCCTCTCAGATGCAGTCTTGCTTCTGCCATTATTTGATGATATTTTGTTCACAGAAGAGTTATTTATTTCATGATCTGTTGTTTCTAAAACACTTTCCTCACTTGACTGTTCTGCTTTTTTCAAAATTTTGTCATCAGTTATTTTATTGACTGTAGCATCAAAACCTGCCTCCAGTGCTGCTTGGTTACTTTCTGTGGCATCTAAACCTGCCTCCAGTGCTGCTTGGTTACTTTCTGTGGCATCTAAACCTGCCTCCAGTGCTGCTTGGTTACTTTCTGTGGCATCTGAATCTGCCTCCAGTGCTGCTTGGTTACTTTCTGTGGTATCTAAACCTGCCTCCAGTTCTGCTTGGTTACTTTCTGTGGCATCTAAACCTGCCTCCAGTTCTGCTTGGTTACTTTCTGTGGCATCTAAACCTGCCTCCAGTTCTGCTTGGTTACTTTCTGTGGCATCTAAACCTGCCTCCAGTTCTGCTTGGTTACTTTCTGTGGCATCTAAACCTGCCTTCATAACCTCATCTGTCATTCTCTTTGTCATATTCTCTTCATGGTCACTACAATTTGCAGTTTTAACCTTATTCATAGACTTTTTGTTTTCCTTTTTGTTACTCATACGTATGAGGCTTTTCTCTGCAGAAGCATTTATATCAGAGCAAGATGATTTGTCTGACACATATACTTTTTTTTTACTTCTGCTATTCCTTCTATGGGAGTTTACTTTTACTGCTGTTTCAGTGTGTGTCTGTTCAACAGTCACATCCCCTGAGTTTGATAGGCTCTTGTTCTGCCGTTTTCTGCCCTTATTGGATGAAGCTTCCAGGGTCCCAATCTCTGCATTAACAGCTACATCCCTAGAGTTTGATAGGCTCTTGTTCTGCTGTTTTCTGCCCTTATTGGATGAAGCTTCCAGGGGCCCAACCTCTGCATCAATAGTCACGTCCCAAGAGTTTGATAGGCTCTTGTTCTGCTGTTTTCTGCCCTTATTGGATGAAGCTTCCAGGGGCCCAATCTCTGCATCAACAGCCACATCCCCTGAGTTTGATAGCCTCTTGTTCTGCCGTTTTCTGCCCTTACTGGATGAAGCTTCTGGGGGCCCAATCTCTGCATCAACAGCCACATCCCCTGAGTTTGATAGGCTCTTGTTCTGCCGTTTTCTGCCCTTATTGGATGAAGCTTCTGGGGGCCTGTCCTCCGTTGCCCCAAGACTCTGCTTGCTCTGGCTGCGGGTTCGCCTGGTAGACAGTCTCCCTGTCACATCTTCACTTATACTTGCATTACTTTCCTCTCCAAGAGAAGTCTTTCCACACCTTGACCTGTTCAATGTTGGTTTGTTCCTGGGCTTGCCCTTCTTTTTACTATATTTACCTGTGGAAGACAAGTTTGCACTTTGTTGTCCTTGGCTAGTCTCAGTCTCTGTCAGCTGGGAAGAACTATCAGCTGTTCGGTCATCCATGGTTGACTGAAAAGAACCAAGGAAACAGTACAATGCAGTATTGCAGGCAGAGATCAAATAGAAAAGCTTCTTTACTCTTCATACTAGAAAAGACACAAAACTTTGGCATGTAACCTTTTGGAAACTCTCCAACTGTATGCTGGCAACCTCAGTGGTGACATGTTTCTCCTCCCTGTGAGCTGGTAGCTCCCCTTTCATGTGACTTAGTTGGCTGCGACTCAGGGTGTCAGGTCTCTTCAGGACAGTCCCTGTCACGTCATCATCCTGGACGCTTTCACTGCATGCTGAACAGTCAAACGAAATGGTTCTAGATAATGGAAAATATTTGCATGTTGCCATAACATTTGCCTATTCTATCCGGACAATAGCTGTGCCCAAGGTTTTTGTTAAATCACATTCAGCAATATTTCAGCTATATGACAGTGGTCTGTAAATAATCGAGTCTGGAACAGACAACCCAGTGATTGACATCATGAGCATTGATCAATTCAATAGGGTTATGATGCCATGCACCAAGCAAGTTGGCTAGCCTGACCAACTGATCCCGTTAGTCGCCTCTGACTACAAGCATGGGTTGATGGAGAACAATTCTAACCCAGATTTTCGAGGGTCCATTGTTTGTTGTTTTATGTCACAGTACAACATTGAAACATTTTACTTGGCAACAGTAAGAACATTGTTGTTGATGCATGATGAACCTACTTGACTGGGATGATTGCTCCAACGGTACTCCCTCTGTGCTCTGGCTATACTCCCCAGTAGACTCTGGCAGAGACTCTGCATCTTCCACAACAGATTGTTCACTCTCACTCCAGACTGTGGAATCTTCTGGTACATCATGAGCTTGTTTAAGGTTAGAGGGGTGTTGTCGATGAGTGTAGGTACCCTGGACACTCCCTGTGTCACAGCACCTCTGTTCCTCTGCACTATCATGAAGGTTGTCCTCCACCAGCTCAGTGGAATCCTCCATGGGATGTCTGCCCCCAGTCCCCCACACATCTCCCTCATTATCTGCACCCTGCCCCAAATCACTGTTTTCCCACCCGGTGCCAGCATATCGGTGTCTTGAGTTGATCACCACCTCACCTTCAGACCCATCCTCTCCAGTCACAGAGGAACTGAAACATTCGCCACAAAACAATTCTCTATTAGTTGGGACCATATTTTAGTATTTCCAGAAATGGGGAAGAACACAACAGACTACATAAGGCACAACAACCGCAGACAGGCATTGAGACAGGCCAGTGGATGGCCTGACAGGAGGATACCCTGCATCAATAAGCAGATGGCAGTGAGAGTGTGAGTGTGAGAGAGAGAGAGAGAGAGAGAGAGTGAGAGTGAGAGTAAGAGAGTGTGAGAGAGAGAGAGAGAGAGAGAGAGAGAGAGAGAGAGAGAGAGAGAGAGTATGTACATAGCTAATGACTGTATGATAATGATTTTTAACATATATGTGTTTTTCAGAATAAAAACGATGTTTTATTGGTCTGTTTTCAGTCGTACAAATGGGTATCTCTCATACCCTCACTTCTAGTCGCACGTTTAAAAGGAAGCCAGAAGCTGGAATGTAAACATTAAACTTGTTTCCGTCCGGTTGCGCACGCACCTCCCTATGACATGTCACAAATCTCGAAGAATAAGCCATCATTCAGGACTGGACTGAATTACTACCCTGTGGGGATGGCTGGGTGGGAACATACGACTGAAAACAGACCAATAAAACATCGTTTTTATTCTGAAAAACACATGTCTTAGTCTGTTTTCAGTCGTACAAATGGGTAGAATTCGACGGAACACTGGAAGGAAGGTCGGGAAAGTAATCAGGAAGTGACCTCTTTCACGTCGAATGTACGAAGTTCCTCACCCCTGTAGTGACAATAGAACATTCGACCAGATGCACGGACGAGACAAGTTGTTTATCACGAACCCACAGCATGGTTAATGCTCTTTGACACACAACTAATTATCGATGCGACAGGACAACTGCATACATCAGTTGAATTGCAATCGAAGTGTGGTCGGCATATAATTTAGTTACAGAACAACTTGCCGTATACAAGGTAACTAAAAATAGCATGGTTAATGCTCTTCGACACACAACTTATTATCGATGTGACAGGACAACTGCACACGTCAGTTGAACTGCGATCGAAGTGTGGTCGGCGCATAATTTAGTTACAGAGCAACTCGCAGTATACAAGGTAACTAAAAAATACGAGCAGTACTACAAAGTATGGGAAGACGATGCATACATCGAATAACCATAATAAAAAAAAGCCGAAGTACTGCACGCAACAAAAAAACATAAGAATGCGTACATTCACCGACAGCTTTTATTGTAACATGTTATATGGCACGAAGTGTCGAGCAAAAAGTCCAAAGTGAATAAAGCACAAATTCACTGTCTTTTCTGGGAGATCTGTTGTGCCACCACGAGTAGACCAAACTGTTTGAGTCCTTCAACATCTTCTGTTGAGATATCTCTGAGATAATGCGAAGCAAACACTGAAGTAGATCTCCAAAAGCAGCCCTCCATAATAGCTTGCAGCGAACAATTACTGTGGAGTGCTAATGTTGAAGCTGTGGCTCGAACTTCGTGCAGATGAGAGGAGGTGGGAGGTGCGAGTCCTTGCGCCTCGTAAGCTCTGAGAATTACCCCTCTCAACCAAAAGGAGAGAGTATTACGTGTAATCTCTTTGCATTGGTTGAGAGCGGTATGAACAGCCATCGAAAATGTTGTCGTCGCTGTTCAGATCGCTGCAGGTAAATACAAGCGCACGAACTGGGCACAGGGAGAGATCAGCGTGATCATGAGGGCCCATAATGGCAGACAGGGAAGGAATGTGGAACATTCTCGAATCTTGGCCAGGAAGTTGATTTTTCGCTAAAAAATCCCATCTGAGACCAAGATGGACTACTGCCGGGTTGAAGCCATGAGACCTGGCGAAAATGGAGAAAAGGGTCCACTTGTCATCGTACAGCTTACGAGTCGTAACTCGATGTGCCGACGAGACAAGCGCTGCTGCTTTAGCCGAATATCCTTTCTTCATAAATGAGGTCTTAAGCCAACCCAGGCGTGAAGCTGGAAGTTCTTTATCCCCGGATGCAAGTCGTCGGTGTGAGGATGAAGAAGCAGGTCGTCTCGATCTGGCAACGGGATCTGAAGAAGTTCCGGGAACCCCGTTCTGGCCGGCCAATAAGGCGCGACCAAAAGCAGACGAAGGTTGGCCGTTTGACGAACTTTCTCCAGTATCGATGGTAACAGCACCATTGGCGGAAACGCGTAAGCGTCTAGAACCTCCCCATGATATCGCTAGAGCGTCGTGGTCCCATGCCCGTGGGTCTGGAACCGGCGACACGAATTGAGGGAGGCGGTTGTTGTACCGGGTTGCGAAGAGATCTACTTGGGGCAACCAGAGTCGATCTGTCAGCAGATGAAAGACTGTCGGATGGATCATCCACTCCATGGGAGACGTCCTTGATGGTCTCGACAGGGCGTCGGCTATCACATTCTTGGCCCCCGGGATGTGACGGGCTTTTACGCACATATCCAAGTCGTCGACGAGTGTGAAGAAACTGAATGTCCGGTCCGAGTCGTTCCCGGTTTGTTGATGCAGTGGACGACTGTGGAGTTGTTGGACTGTATCATACGCCGTTTCCGTCGAGGTCGAAGTTTCCAGAACTTGACTACCCAAATCACTGCTTCCATCTCGAGGCAGTTGATGTGGAGGACCTTTTCTTCTGGCGACCACAGCCCAGCCGCTTCGTCGTCCCCGAAGTGCGCTCCCCAGCCTTCCAATGACGCGTCTACGAATAGGTGAAGTATCAATGGAGGCTCGCTCATAAAGACGCCTATGCAAACGTTGGACGGCTGGAGCCACCAGGTGGGGGTACAGCAATCTCTGCAGCGGACGAAGTTGAAGACGACCTCGGCGAGTCAGGTCTTGGGCCGATGTCAACAGACCGAGGACTTCCTGCCACGTGTGCACCCACGCCGGGGCATGTAGAAGTCTCGAAACGCTGCTGACAATCTTGTCCCAACGGTCTTGAGGTACCTTGACCAGATTAACCCCCGTCTGGAAGCGTATCCTGATGTACTGTAGATCCCGAGTTGGTACCAAGTCCGACTTATAGAAGTCAAGTGCTCACATTCTTTACAACGTTTATCCCACAAACACGTTGAAAACCCGCCCTTAATGATGCAGGAAGGACAATACTTGTGAGGATCTAATTTAGACAGTTTTCTTTGACACGAGGCACAAATGCCCGACATGTTGCTACGTGTATAATCAAGTCAAACAGTGAAACACGTGTTGAACACAAACAATGGATTACCAAGGATTACATTCCAGGAGTCTACAGGTAAGACATATTATTATTACTTTATTAGAACAACAACTGTAGACAAGCGATAAGTACTAGTAGAATACACACTAGCAGTCTTCTGCGAAAGTCTTTCTCAAGCAACCAGTCTCAGAGGCGCGCTGAGAGATTTGTGACATGTCATAGGGAGGTGCGTGCGCAACCGGATGGAAACAAGTTTAATGTTTACATTCCAGCTTCTGGCTTCCTTTTAAACGTGCGACTAGAAGTGAGGGTATGAGAGATACCCATTTGTACGACTGAAAACAGACTAAAACAAATATTTTGCCTATGACTCCACTATGACAGTGCAAGTGTACTTACATATTTTCATCCCGTTCCTGTGGTGTACCTGCAGCCAGCTGAAACATGACCATCAGTCAGAGTAACTATAGTACCTCCTGAAGGTTCCTCAACAGTCACTTACAGCAAGTAAAGGATTTATTTGCTTGACAACATGTGTAGTGTTTTAGAGATTGACAGTCCTTTTGCTAGGCTTCTAAAAGATAATTTCTTCTCTTGCATGAAAATAGCTTGTTAAATAGAAATGACTAATGTTATATTTTTGAAAATTTCAATTTGTTTCTGAATTCTGATTTGGGATCAAAGCATGTTCTTCTTTTCAACTCACATAATCCTATCATAAAAAACAAAAACAGAAATGGTAAAAACGACAACAATGGATTCAATCACTTCTGAACCAAAGGCACCACCACTTCTGCTCTGCAGCTCTGGCTGATGATAAAAAGGTTCTCAATTGAAACACAAGCAGATGGACAAAACTATATCAGTATCAAGTGGTCACTTTGTTGTGGAGGAAGAACAGAAGAGGCTCAGACAAGGAAGAAATGAATATGAGAAATTTACAAGTGACATGTAGGCAACTCACAAAACTCCTGGTGTCATTAGTCCGAATGCTCTTGTGGAAGGACAGTATGCTGTCAGCTTCTGTAAACACAACAAATGGTTATTTTAACATTGTATACTTTGTGCTACCTTAATGAAAAATGGTTATAAGAAGTTCCAGTCTAATAACCTTGACCACCAATTTCAGCCATGAGCTGTCTGAACATTTCAAATTAAAAGTATGTGTGGCGTTACAACTGTAATCCTACCACAGCAAGAGTTAGAATTATAGTCCAAATTATCACAATGACTTTGACATGGCAGTCCCAACATATGACAGGTGTTGAGTTAGTTATTTAGAGATATTCTTCTCTTATTAGAAATAGCTATAATTTTTCTTGAACTAATCCAACATTTCCTGCATTTAAGCAATGTTTCTTGTGACCTCAAATGACTTTCACCTCAGAGGCCACCCAAATGTTCATGTGGATTGAACCCTACATAATTATTAGCAACATATACTACATACAATCTAAACCAAACATAAAGTGATACACCAGTTAATGATTCAAGACAGTATTGGTACTACAGACAGTATTTCAAAGAACACAATACACTTTAGGCTTAGTTTGAAAGATTTTAGCTCTCTCTTTGGCTTACACCTTTACAAATCTCTGTTTTGATCGTACCAATGCATTATTAGTTCACAAACTACAACATACAAGTTTAAGCAAAGTGTGAATAAACCAAGCAAATATTTCAAGGGGTAACAAATATATTTGTGCTGATATTTTCCTTTTGCCAATCTGGAGAGGTAAGAAATGTATGAGATTCCAGTCTGGAGGTTGCTGGTGCCACTCAGTTCCTGTACTGCCACAAAGATTCAAGTAAAATCTAGATATTTTTACATTTGTATATCTATCCTGCATTCCTTCTTAATGCATTTATTGCTTGTTCTTGACAGAGAAAGAGCTGTGTGGGGTCTTGCTGAAGAATGATGGCACGTAGACACAGAGCGATCATTTTGCAGCTTACTTCCACCTGCAAGGTCATAGAAATCGGATGAAAAGACGATGACATTGTCCCCAACATTCCTTGGAGTTGAATGGAACATCTCAGCGCACGCCCTGGACATAGTAGAAGCTCCTGCTCATCTTCAACCCCCACAAATGAAGAGAGATGCAGGATGGTGTATGAAAAATCTGGCAGTCTTGGGAGTTGATTTGGTGATGAAGTCCCTCCACAGCCCATGATGAACGGCTCCATGCGCTCCTCTCTCAAATCTTAAGTAGTTAACTCACCTGTGCTGCCGTAGGCAGGGCTAAGAGGAAGACCATCTTCATGGTGAGGAAGTAGTAGCAGAATGAAGCGGCTCAAACGCCACGCCTCTCAGCTGGGCATCTGAACTTGGCCTTCTGGTCTTCTAGATGAAAGGAGCGCAGCAAGGCTTAGAGTTCCAGAATCTTAGTCATGTTACAATTTTCTGGGACAGTCAAGACACTGTTGAGGGCCACAAGGTAGGTAGGGATGGTGCTTCCCTTCAGGTGATGCTTGTGGCGTAGAAAAAGGAGGAATTCAGCCAAGAATGGAGGTGACGCAGAGGTGGGATCCTGGTGTTTCTCCTTGCAGAAACTCTCAAAGGACCACCACTTGTCGTCATAAAGGCTCCAGTAGAAGGGCTGTGCGCCAATGTGATGACTATCGCTGCCGTTGCCGAGTCGTCCTTGGCTTTTAGAGCTCTTTGTAGGTGGACCAGGCTTGAAGATATAACCTGTCTGGAGCTGGGTGGGGCCATTTGCTGTGAGGGTGGATTGACAGGTTTGGTCAACCTGGCAGTTTGAGGGGGTCAATGGCAGACATCTTGAGATCCACGAACCTGAGGGCCACCAAGATGCTATCAAAATCAGAGCGGGGCTAAGGGACCCAGGAAAAGAGGACAGGAAGCGGAAAAGCATTTGCTTTTAATCCTTCCCAGGGGACACTGTGGCCGTCGAGCGCCCAGGCTTGCAGATCTGGTATTGAAGATATGTAGGTCTGGATCTGGAAGTTGTGGCTGGTGGCAAACAGGTCGATGTTGGGGTAGTCAAGGTGTTGACAGACAAAATTTAAGACGTTTGGGTGGAGCCTCCTTGTCTGATCTGAAGAGTGCGTCTGCTAGAAAGTCTCTGGCTCTGAGCGCCGAACCACAGTCCCGAGGTGACCTGGCCCTCCAGATGTGCTCTCCAACATTAAAAAGAGGTGTCGACAAACAGGTGTAGTGAGAGCATGAACTGTCAAGAAGACACCTTCTAAGACATTCGACTCCACCGACTAACAGTGGAGATGCGACTTGAGGTTTTCCGGGACGACGATGGAGATTGACCAATTCCTGGCATTTGATGTAGTGAGCAGGGAACATTTGTATCAGGTGCAGTCAAAGCTGGCCTATGGAGGTCAAGTCCTGCACTGACGTAAGGAGACACAAAAGCGCCTGGGAGTAGGTGGTTCTGGATTCAGTCCAGTTCAGTTTAGTTTAGTTCAGTATGAATTGCAGGTTGAATGAGGGCGTGAGCTCCGATTTATGCATGTTGACGATCCAAACCTGCTGGTGGAGGAGGCATTGTGTAAAATCCCTGTGGTGAATGTTCTAAACTTGACATTCCTCAGGAAGGAGAGGCAGAGCCAGGTGAGGATGAAACAAGGACGAGACAGGAGAAAGTGGAAAGCAATCACTACTATTAGTAGCTCTGGAGTTAATATCAGTACAGTTCAAACACAACTGACGAGGATTCCACCCAGACTTATTACTCTGGCACTTGGTACAACATGGCATGTATCTGCAATGATGGCAGAGGTGTAATGACAATGCGTTCCCAACCCAAGTGTGTATGCTATAATCTCAATCCCAACATGTGGGTTTATGGAGAACAGGCTTATGCAAGGAACGCAAAAAAACAATCACTTTAATAACGATTATATAGCACCAAGCAACTTAAAGAATACGTAAAAATGTGACCAAGCAAGGAATTCAAAATATAACTCTTGTTCTTGTGATTTATAATCTTATGATTTGTGTCTTCATATATTTCATATGATTTCTACCATGGCATTAATATTTAACCCTTGATGGTGGCTTTTTGTCACGGTATATACATGTATCAGGAGTATTGTTGTTGTAATTAGCCAGTTTGAATTAATTAAGAGGTCACATTTTTTCGTGTAATGCCTTCTGTATTCTTTATGTTGCTTGGTACCGAATTTCTTGAGTATTGTGCACACTTTTTTTTCAGAAGATGAAGCAGCGCAGTGGGGGTTGCTCATTATACACGCACCCAGATTTCAGGTACTTTCCCCCCAGAAATTGAGTGTCAACAAACTGAATGAAATACAGATACATTCGTCTGTACTATTTTCATATTTATATGAAGATTATTACATCGAACGAACATGGAATACTATTACATGAATGGTTACATATGAATATTTACTTATTTTGTTTTGATATAGGCTATAAAGTCATTCAAACATGTCATTTTAGGCATAATCCTGCTTAAGGCGTTTCCACTGGCTCACCGTTATTAACAGCTACACCAACTTGACTGACGCCATCTGCGACTTGTTGTTGATAAAGAATGAATAAATATATATTATATCCAATATGTCAACCCATAAGAAGTCGAAATTGTTGTTATTTGTCCTGTTATAGTCAATGCTCTGACTTTTTTCATTGTGGTAGCATGGCTTCAGCACGTGACTCAATCCCAGTCAATGACTAGTCTGACCGGTGTCTAGTCAAAATTGTCCCATACCCTGGGAACATTAACGAGAGCCACCTTGAGTCCATCACCATGACTGTTCTCTACCAGGTATGTCCAGGTGAACAGTCTTTCATTCTGCATTCTAGTCATCTCATCCAATGCTTTTCTGTTTTCTACAATTCTGTGTTAATCACAACCTACAAGTTTTAGGTCTTTCCTTGATTTGACCCTACTGAGAATTGTTTACACTTGACCAGGCTGGGATTTAAATTTGAAGTCAAGGGGTAAACATCTCAATTAGATAATTATGGGAAAGGTTCTCAGACAATCCTGCATAGATCTTTTTGTAGAATGTGTAAATGGAGTTATGCTCCGGAAACGAATGCTACACGTATTTGAGCATAAGTCAAGTTTCTTGCCAAGAAAACATTCTGAAACAAGTGCAAAAGTGAGCGTGGCTCACTAATACCCCCGACCCGCCTAGTGTGTCAGTAGTTACAAATTAAATAGCTAGGATAGGGTTAGCCTTTAGGGTTTGAAAAATATTAATAAAAACATTTTTTTTCTTTTGACTGCACCCCTTCATATGACACAGATTATCTGTACTAAGTTGGAGATGAATCCACTGAATAGTTTAAGAGAAATCGCGCGGACAAAGTTTTCAGACGGACATTAGGGTTTGAAAAATTAATAAAAAAATGGAAAATTAATAAAAACAATTTTTTTCTTTTGACTGCACCCCTCCATATGACACAGATTATATGTACTAAGTTTGAGATGAATCCTCTGAATAGTTTAAGAGAAATCACGCGGACAAAGTTTTCAGACGGACGTTAGGGTTTGAAAAATTCATAAAAAAATGGAAAATTAATAAAAACATTTTTTTTCTTTTGACTGCACCCCTCCATATGACACAGATTATATGTACTAAGTTTGAGATGAATCCACTGAATAGTTTAAGAGAAATCGCGCGGACAAAGTTTTCGGACGGACGGAATCTTGGTATAACTATATACCCCCGACATTTTGTCGGGGTTATAAAAAACCCAAACTGTCAAAAGACACCTGTTCACCACTAGACTTAACTATGTGTCAAGTTTGGTGAAGAAATATCATACAGTTTTCAAGATCTGCTCCGGAAACAAGCACTAACAGTATTTTCAGTCTACCATATTTTCCATGTCAACAAATCCGTACTGGAGTACACAATGTAATCTTGTAATTACACTGTCTGGTTATAAAAAGCATTCATTGTATATCTGGACTTATGTTTGTAACTTTTCATTAATTTTATTAAAAATTCCTTTTAATAATGTTTTAATTAATTTCGGCGAAATCGTGTGTGGCACGAATACTGTTATTAACAGCAACCAGGGTCAGATTACTGATATTGACGCCTAGAAATGAACTTCAGTTGACAGAGAATGGATACCTTTATCATAAATGCCATACTTTGACTTGTTAAAAGTCATATTTGTTGTAGTTTGACGATTCTATGTCAACAAGTAGTTCTCGCGAGCCTCGACGGTGACTGGTCAAATTGGCAAAATAACTGGCAATAGTGATCAGCTATACGGAAGTGCTATGCTTAGGGTTATTATTATTCTAAATATATTTAGTAAAAGCTGCAACCAAAATAACATGATATTGAAATATATTATTCCAAAATACTGAAGACTGCTAGAGGAGTGTGCGCATTATTCTTGGGTGCACACTATACTCAAAAAAGTACGGTAAGTCAAACTTGTTGCTTTGGAAACTCGAAAAAACTTAAATGTCAAAAGGCAACAGTTCTTCACTAGCCCTATCTAGTGCCAAGTTTGGTGAATAAATATTGTACGGTTTGCAAGATCTGCTCCGGAATGAGCACTACCGACATTTTCAGTCCAAGTTAAAATCATTGCTACAGAAACTCGAAAAATAAAGTTGTAAAAAATCCCAAACAACCAAAAGGCACCAGTTCACCACTAAAGTACTCATGGAAATGAAAAAAACCCTGTTTTTTCGATCTCAGATTTTAAATAAATGCAGTTAATATACAAAATATATAAATATTCAAACAACTTAATTCGTACTAATTGGGCCTTGGCACAAATACAGCGTATCAAAGGTTTTTATGTCTTTTTACACGTAAATGTATGTAAAAATATGAACAAAACAGACTATTGTGAAACTGAGCATAACCAGGTGTTAGTAGATCAAGGTGAATGTCCATGACCTATGAAACCTTGACGACAGGTGAAGAAACCCACGTGCATGTGATTTGTGAGTGGTTAGTGATTTGTGAGTGGCATTGTGGGATAGTGAATCATCGTCAAAATATCAGAACGTAAAAGTAACATATTCCCTTCTCAAACAACAACTTACATGTCATTATTATTATGTACATAAACATAGCTGTTATTTTTATTGTTGTTTTGATAACTTTTTTCCAGGCTAATTTGCATAATGCCTATAGCCTGTTTCTGCCATGTCAATTTGGACTTAGTTTTATTTTTGAATGTTGAAAGTGCCTACAAATTACCTCCTGTAAAGTACATTTTGTATTGAGCACTGAGATAAAACTAGCAAATCCAGAATAGTACTTTTTCGAGTTGTTTTGTTATTTCGTATTTACATCTATGTAATGCTTTGTGTCGTTTATTAAATCCAGCAAAACAGGTTTTTTTCATTTCCATGAGTACTTTAGACCTGTGCCAAGTTTGGTTAAGATATCTCTCATGGTTTTTGAGTTCTGCTCCGGAAACGAAACGTGATGGACGGACAGCACCCATTCCTTTGTCCCCCTTCCACTTTGTGGCAGGGGATAAAAATCTAGCTTATCTGTAGACATGACATTGTATATATTGTGGGCATTTGTACATCACCTGATTCAGACCAATAGTCATCAAAGTTTTCAATGCCATCATCACATTTGCGGATATTTTTCCCTGCTTTAATATTCTTCCCTGTACGACTGAAATGAAAAAATTTTTAAGCAAATATTATGAATATAGCATATTTGTTTTTGAAAAAAAAGTATTGAGCATAAGACCTCTTCCATTGTAGACATGCATAGTGTGAATAATAAAATTGATAACAGTCAAGTTGTAAACCCAATGAATAGCCATATTTTGTATTGGACAGGAACAGGGGATTTTTTAAGAAGCATTATTTAATATGTATAGAGCAAGTCTTTGACCCAAGCTGATATTTTCAGATGAAGATAAAAACAGTACAAATAAAAAAGACTTACTTTGGTTACAGGCATGCTCACAGTTTTCTCACCAAGATGGAAATATTGTCTTTTCAGTGGTTATTTTATCCTATTTTATGCAATTGAACATGCCAGCAGAAAACAGGTTGCAAGTGTAAGAAAAACAAGCATATAGTTGACAAAGTCATCTATATCCCCTGCCCATTTTAACACGTTATGGTCCCAAACCAGGTAACTGACCAACATTTCTCTTAGCCCATGTCAAAATAGCTGCAATGGAAATTCTAAAATAAACATTTCCAAAACTCCTTAATATCAAATGGCACTAGTTCAGTATGCGCTTTATATATAGACATGCAATGTTTGGCAAGGAAATATTTAACAGTTTATTTGTTATACTACTTAAGTAAACCAATCCTATATTAAAACTTAAATCCAACTTGTTGTCATGGAAACATACACAATAAAAAATTCTAAAAGTACTATATATCAAAAGGCACCAGTTCAGTATGTGCCTGGTAGACATGCAAAGTTTTGTAAGAAAGTATTTAACGGTTTTTGAGTTACACTCTGGAAACGAACACCACCCCTGTAGAACCTAAGTCCAACTTATTGCCAGGGAAACGTGAAAAATAAAAATTTCTAAAATTCCTAAATAGCAAGAGGCACCAGTCCAGTATGTGTCTGGTAAACATGCACAGTTTTTGTTGGAAAGTATTGAATGGGTTTTGAGTTATGCTCCGGAAACAAACTCTACCCTATAGAACCTAAGTCCAACTTGTTGCAATGGAAACGTAAAAAATAAAAATTTATAAAATTCCTAAATAGCAAAAGGCACCAGTTCAGTATGTGCCTAGTAGACATGCTAAGTTTTGTAAGAAAGAATTTAACACTTTTTGGGTTATGCTCCGGAAACGAACACCACCTTTATAGAACCTAAGTCCAACTTGTTGCCATGGAAACTTAAAACATAAAAATTTACAAAACTCCTAAATAGCTAAAGGCACCAGTTCAGTATGTGTCTGGTAAACATGCAAAGTTTTGTAAGAAATTATTTAACAGTTTTTGAGTTATGCTCCGGAAACGAACAGCACCCTTATAGAACCTAAGTCCAACTTGTTGCAATGGAAACGTAAAAAATAAAAATTTATAAAATTCCTAAATAGCAAAAGTCACCAGTTCAGTATGTGCCTATTAGACATGCAAAGTTTTGTAAGAAAGTATTAAACGGTTTTTGAGTTACACTCTGGAAACGAACAGCACCCTTATAGAACCTAAGTCTAACTTGTTGCAATGGAAACGTAAAAAATAAAAATTTATAAAATTCCTAAATAGCAAAAGGCACCAGTTCAGTATGTGCCTAGTAGACATGCTAAGTTTTGTAAGAAAGGATTTAACAGTTTTTGAGTTATGCTCCGGAAACGAAAACCACCCTTATAGAACCTAAGTCCAACTTGTTGCCATGGAAACATAAAAAAATTAAAATTTATAAAACACCTAAATAGCAAAAGGCACCAGTTCGGTATGTGTTTGGTAAACATGCAAAGTTTTGTAAGAAATTATTTAACGGTTTTTGAGTTACGCTCCGGAAACGAACAGCACCCTTATAGAACTTAAGTCCAACTTGTTGCAATGGAAACGTAAAAAATAAAAATTTCTAAAATTCCTAAATAGCAAAAGTCACCAGTTCAGTATGTGCCTATTAGACATGCAAAGTTTTGTAAGAAAGTATTAAACGGTTTTTGAGTTACACTCTGGAAACGAACAGCACCCTTATAGAACCTAAGTCTAACTTGTTGCAATGGAAACGTAAAAAATAAAAATTTATAAAATTCCTAAATAGCAAAAGGCACCAGTTCAGTATGTGCCTAGTAGACATGCTAAGTTTTGTAAGAAAGGATTTAACAGTTTTTGAGTTATGCTCCGGAAACGAAAACCACCCTTATAGAACCTAAGTCCAACTTGTTGCCATGGAAATATAAAAAATTAAAATTTATAAAACACCTAAATAGCAAAAGGCACCAGTTCAGTATGTGTTTGGTAAACATGCAAAGTTTTGTAAGAAATTATTTAACGGTTTTTGAGTTATGCTCCGGCAACGAACAGCACCCTTATAGAACCTAAGTCCAACTTGTTGCCATGGAAACGTAAAAAATAAAAAATAAAAATTTCTAAAATTCCTAAATAGCAAAAGGCACCAGTTCAGCATGAGTCTGATAGACATGCAAAGTTTCGTAGAGACATATTTAACGGTTATTGAGTTATGCTCGGGAAACGATTTCGGGACGCACACACACACGCACACACACGCACACGCACACGCACACGCACACACACACACGGACAGAACCCATTTCTATATCCCCCGCCAACTTCTTTGGTGCGGGGGATAAAAAAGGATAGTTGGCAACCACTTGCACATGTCTGATAATTTTCAAAGCACTATTACAACGTTTTCTGTAACTTTGAACTGTGACATATCTAGCAGGCAACAAAGGGCCTTTATCCTTCCTCCTCCTGTTGGTGGTAATTGTGCATGTGGTGGACAAACAGCAGTCATTGTCAGATGACCTCAAGTTAGTAGCAATGACCGTACCTCCCTATTACACGGTTCCCGAGGTAGTAAGTTCCAGTTCCACCAACTCGTAGTGACTGCAAAAGAGGACAGCATTCATTTCTCTTCAACTGTTCACACAATATATAGTTCACAATCATTTAATTTATCATCATATCTATAAAGTCACAATTAATTAATTATAAGATTTTCAAAGGAGATGCATCATATCTATAAAGTCACAATTAATTAATTATAAGATTTTCAAAGGAGATGCAAGGAACTTGTCCTCTTATAAAGACTTTTACAAATAAATCAATTTTAGACATGTTAATATTAACATTTGATTCCAATGGGTGAGTGCAGGGATTTAACTAGGATTCCAAATTTAGTGTCTTTGGCGGGGTCATTGGGCCAAAAATTCTGATATTGTTGAAAATGAGAATTTTCAATGTTCATAATTTTGTAAATTCTGAGGTATTGTTCTTAAAATTCAAATTGGGAATTTTTATTGTCATTTACTGCAGACGTAGGCTGAAAATAGGCCCCTGAGCAGGTCTTGACAAACCCCTGGAGTGAGTGAGGTGGATTTTAAGCTGCTTCATGCAATATTTACCAGAAATATTCCAGCAGTATCACAATGGGGGACACCAGAAATGGGCTGCACACATTGACCCTTGTGGGAAATAAAACCCAGGTGTCCTTCAGGACAAGTGAACACCTTAACCACAGATCTACCCAACCCCATGATTCAAACAAATGTTTGCTGGACTATGCACAAAGTGCATTTCATCAAGCAAAGAGAGAAGCATGTTAGCATACATACAAGAACAAGTGTTCTTCTATCTAGTTTCTGTTTTACATGATCAGCTCATCATGGTCACTTACATCACAGGACCCTGTTTACATTATTGATAGTTGTAATTATTGTTCATAACTTTGAACGGCATTTCCTGATTTGGATCCATTAACATATTACAACCTTGCCACAAAAGCTCACATCCTATGACCACTGCTATTGTGATGTGGCTGCTGTTACCCTAGCAGGATACGGAGGTGGCATCATAGTGAAATCAATACCTCGTCTGCTTCTGACTAGTAGATTAGGACAAAATTGCTGAAAAAATCTCACAAACAAACATTATTTTCCCACCACTCAAAAATGAGTATCATCCATATACCATGTATACTGTCTCTTATTTCCATATTCATTTTACTCAAGAAATACAAGCTGACATCAGACACAAAGAGGAAACTCACAATACACTATTCATACATAGAGACATGACAAACGCTAATAATGCCATAATGCTTTCAATGTTTCACTATAACTACCTATAAATGAACATTCAGCTTCGAAATTGGCATTTGTCTAACCATGGTAACAGTGTTCCCGCTGGCTTTTGAAACTGCCAGTCCTAGTGGACTGGGAACTCTAAAAATTACCAGTCCCCCCTAATTTTTGCCAGTACCAACTTTCAACAAATAAAACAACGTATGAAAATTATTTGGTTCTAATTCTTTCAACTTCATGTTCAGTGCAAAGATGTCATCTCTGAAGTAACTTAGTTACATCTTTACGTCATTCACACAAACTTCAGTCACAATTTTCTTTTTGTTTTTTAATATTTCGAGACGAAGTCGCTAAAAATGGATATTTAACCTAGAAATAGACATGGTAACAGACAAGCTGACTTTGTTCGAAAAATGTACTTATATGAATATCACCGATGTTTTGTTCAACAACAAAGATTAATAAGTACTTTATTTGCCAGTCCCTGTCACATGAATTACCGATAAAAAACTGGTAATTACCGATAAATGGGAACACTGGGTAACAAGCAACTGACTGACAATTTAAGCTTCAACACTAACCGTACAAGTATCTACTGACTGAAGAGTAGATGTGCGCCCGAGTGTTGTCTGAGCCTGGTTCTCCTTCTCTGTCCGGCCACTCACAGAGGAAAGCTTGGAGTGGAGGGTGGTGTTGTTTGTCACGTCTGCATCTGGTTTATACATGTTGGTTTTGTGTTTCTTAATTCTGTATTTCGATATCTGGATGCTAGATATCTACATCTGACAAACTGCCCATAATAAGAGCATAATTCTTCTTAAACAAAATAAGATTCCTTCTGCAAATAGTTAATATCGTGTGAGAACTGTTCATCTCTAAATTCGTAAAATCAAAATATTTTCTACATGTGGATACTTACCCTGCATTACTACCTTAATGCTATTACTGCTGTTCTTTGACTAGGAAGACGGAATTGTGAGAGGTCCTGGCTACAAAAGATGTTGTACCAACCAGTTTTGTGGCTTACTTCCTCCCACAGCCACCATGTGACCGGAAGTGGCGAGGTCACGTATAACCACATCACAGCTAATAACGGACATCTGAAGAAGCTTCGCGGGAAGGTAGCAAAGCAATGGGAGGGCACTTTAGACGTAGTAATGCAGGATAAGTATCCATATGTAAAAAATATTGAGATTTTACTGAAGTTTTTATCTTATCCCGCATTACTACCTTAGTAGTATAGGTAATGATGGTTCTGCCGCAACCCCACTGGAGCTGGATTTATTTACCAATACTGCTACTACAGATGGAATTTTTTATGCGTAAACGCTAATGCGATTCAATGATAGTCATGAGATTAAGTTAAATTGGCTCTAGCTCACCAATACCCGGGGCCAATAATTGCTTTAGATGTGTCTAAATGGTAATGAAAATATTTTTCATTATTCTTATTAATAAAGCGATATTCAACATTTTTATTAAGTTCTTCGTTCATTTTACTAGGAGACCAGACTATATAACTACACTTTTCTTGTAAATTGATAAGAAACAATTTATAACCGTATTTGGTTGGTTTGACATCACTGATATATAGGGCTGAAACGATATCCCGGGACACCGATGCATCGCGATTCACTCCATACGATACGGTGTGCGATTTGTGAGGTGCTGTATCTCGATTTTTCACGATACGTTTTTTCAAAGACGTATGTATTTACGTACGTCTTTTTTTTTGTAAATAAACTTTCATCACAGATACGTTTCAAATGTGTTTTAATTTTTTTCAACACCATAGGCCGGTAGACCGGCCAAGAAGCATCGAGTCCCCAGGCACTGTAGGCCGGTTATCCGGCCAAGCCTTAGTCACGCCAAAATAGAGTCAGTTCTCCGAATATCGTACACTTTTGGTCGCCGGTCTCAACCACCAAGCTTTGTATGCAGATACTGCGTCATGGGGCATACCAGACGAAAGATTATCCAATCATCTTGCCACCCCATTAAACAGGTTGTACATTCCGATTTCCGTTTTGACCACACGTTCAGTCGAATGAGGCTAATAACGATCACTTAAATTCGTACAGTGTGACTGTAATATCGTATGCAATTTCTTCTAATATCGTACATGTATTTTAATTCCGTACAGCACCTGAACTGTACTCCCGTGGTTGTTATTTCTTATGAAAATTTGTATATATTGGTTGAATCAAAATTCGAATTATCGCACGAAAGGAAATGCTTAGGTTCAAAAACTATATAAATATGTAGATCTATATCCCAGTATTATTAATCATTAGTAGAATTTATTAATTTATTAATAAACTTAATTTATTAATAAACTCCAGGGCCTGCTTAGAGTACTGGCGTCTTTTTCCCATCTAAAATATTAAGCACAAAACTAACTTTATGAATTTTAATACTGCCCCGTTTGAATCAAAACAGAACGAACAAGTTGGAGCATTGATGAAGTCCATTTTTTTCGAAATATTCGAGAACACGTCTTGCCAAAAATGTGGCAGACACGGGGTCGTTTATAATTTTCCGATATGCCATGCAGAACACGACAAACAACATTCGCCACTGCAGACCCTCATTTGGGATGATCTAAGGATTTCTGTAGCAAACCAATTATTATTTCAGCTTCATTTTCAAAATAAACATCATCCAGAGTTAGGGTGTTTATAGTTGAACGTGCGACCGCGATCACTATTTCACGTCCGACGCTGAACGGATTTTGAAAGTGCCATTTTCTGTAAAGTTGACAGAAAACGTATAAACAGCTGAATAATTGTAATTAAGACAGACATATCTTTGTATTGGGTTAAAACGTATTCCTAATGTTTTATTAGCTACAGTATGAATAATACAGTTGTACCTCGCTGATACCGATTGTTTTACCGATTTTGCTCATCAGTTATCAATACTTACACAGTCAACACTTATTAGATAGAGTTTTGGTGTTGACTAGAAATTTTCTACATGTTTCTTTAGTCGTTAGGCCATCTATAATATTTTATGTGTTTGTCATCTCCAACCTCAACCAACAAGGAAGCGGGCGGGCGAAATTTAAAAAATAAATAAATCCTTTTCACTAATTTTTAACATATTCTACCTTGGTACCAGTCTTCAAATTAATTTTGGACGTATTTAGGTGGGTTTTTTCGGAAACAACTTTTTAATACACGTAGTTGAAGAAAGATCTAGGCATTTTATGAATGTGCAATGATGGTGGTACTTTTGTTATTACGTCGGGGCAAAATTAATACAGGCAGCCTGACAATGTTTGTAGCATCTTTTTGTAATATATCTTAAACCATGTACAGTTACTAGGTGTATAGTCTTTGTGTTGTCGTTTTACTGTAAGGCTGCGTACTAATGTGGCACTGGACGCGTGATAAGAGATAAACAATGTTTTTGGATAGATCTAAATGAAAACAGGGATAAGGTGTCCTGATGTCTGTTACTTAATATTTCATATAAATAATTTTTAAGCTTATGACAGTGAGCGACTACTTCAAAATGGACTTCAACAATGACCATACACTAAGGTGACAATATATATATATATTCTTTTTGTCATTTTAATTTGTTTATCAATGCTTATTCAAGTGTTTCATAAGAGGGTATATCAAATGGAAAATTGAAAATTTCACTGTACGAAATTAGAAGCATAGCAAAATATTATAATAATTTGGGCATCAAATATCGTACGTCCCACATTTTGTTAATTTTGAAAATAACTTTTATGAAACCTATTAATAATTCTCAATATGAAATGTTTATGGCAGCTGATATGCATTATTTCGTGTTTCCGTACCGTTCGTGCTTTTTAAATTTACCGCAATGACCTGTCACATGTAGAGGTTCTCGAATCGTGACCTTGACGTCAACCCAGCAAGAAATGGAGAGAACCGCTTCTGCGCAAGTGCACTTCGCGATAACCAATCATATCTCGTAAGAGAAAGCGCATGACAAATACACGTGATAGCTGAAAATAGAGTTGGGGATTACCACATTTCAACCAACGAAAGTAGTTTGACGCCGCATGAAAGCATTGAAAGCAATCAAGGAAACATCAAAGTGTACGGAACTTAGGAGCCTGTACGATATTCGGAGACCTGACTCTAGTATATATATTTATGGACCTACCTGTCATACCATTCATTTATTAAATCTATCACATCTCACAATGTCTGAAATTTGTATTCTATTTCCATTTATCATTTTTTATCGATAGATTAAAAAGTTATTCACTATTTCCCGCTTATGTTATTGAAGATATAATTCTCGGACAGACACTTAGACAACGGGTGCACATCGAACATGTCAAAGAGCATAACAAAGACGTTTCAAGCAAATCTTTAAATAAATAATTATACAAAGTGGTAAATAAAATCAACAAATATATATCTAAAAGTGGTCAAACTTACAGCTAGGTTATTATTTCCATCTTTTCGTGCGATCGCGTGTAATGTTAGTCAAATGACATCTCGGCTTTCGTCGCCTCGAATTCCCGGCTCGGACACGATGTTCAATGCCAAAATATATGCATGAAAACTCTTTGTCACAGCTTGTAACCTAGCATGATACATCCACGAAGCTCCATATTTTTAATATAGATCGCGATTTCCTGCTTAAAACGTTCAGGATAACACAATCTAACCAAAATATTTCGTAAAAATCTGAAATTCACGAGGATTTGTAATTTGATTGCCTGCCTCAGGTCACGTGTTCAAATTTGACCAATCATGAACCATGTAGCAGATTTCGGCAAGAAAGCGTCATTAGAAACCATTTTTTATCCAATGAAATCTTATGTTATAGCTACGAAAAGACTCCAGGCAATGTTACGAGCGTGGACATGAAAAAACAAGCTTTCTAGCGAGGTGTCATATGTCAGTCACCGACGAACGTGTTATTCATACGAAGCTTTCGAAAACGGAGGTATTTCTTCATGTTACTTAGCGGACTGCCGCTGTTATCTGGAAATGAGTGAAAACAGATACTATTCATAATTCTTTTTAAAATAATTTTCCAATTACGTAAACAATGAAAATCTTTAGATCTTTTGAAACTTATATTTGCCCCAAATCGTCAAATTGTCGCTTCCTTGGTCCTTAATCTGGACGTTATGAATGTGTTAGCTTACATTTTTATTTATTTTACAACAAACTTAATTAAGTTGTCAATGCATTATTTAAATAATGTGATAAACATAACTTTCATATTTATAAACACTAGGATAAGACCTTTCAAATGGTGTATAACATGGCTGTTGCTATAGATCTAATTGTTTTTAAATTGTTTTTTTGCCTTTATACATAAAAATGGCAAATCATTAGTTACTGGACACTGGTACATTTAGTATTTACTCCTACCATCAAGTCACAACTCACAAATATGGCAGATGATTCATTAAGTTAAAATACTCATTACAGTATATATTTTATGACTCATGAACATTCATTTAATTTTTCATTTTTAATAAACTAAGTTTAATTCATTCATCTCTTGTCTTCTCTTGTCACTATGTGTATCGTAGCGTATCGAGATACGTATCGAATCGTGATGTAAGTATCGAGGTACATATCGTATCGTGACCTAGGTGTATCGTTGCAGCCCTACTGATATAATAAAAACCTTGTGGTAATTCTTTCCATTTAATAGTTTTTTCTATTTCCATTATTATATATATTTATGTAAGCATTTGTCTAA